CAAAAATCGGGCGATTTTCGCCGCTACGGCCAAAAACCGCGCGATTTTCGCCGCTAGCGGCCAAAAACCATGCGATTTTCGCAGATCGTGCGAATTTCGCCGCTAGCGGCCAAAAATCGCGCGATTTTCGCCGCTAGCGGCCAAAAACCATGCGATTTTCACAGCGCGCGATTTCGCCGCTAGCGGCCAGAAACTATGCGATTTTTGCAGATGGCGGGGCAAAAATAGCGCGATTTTCGCCGCTACCGGCCAAAAACCGCGCGATTTTCGCCGCTAGCGGCCAAAAACCATGCGATTTTCGCAGCTAGCGGCCAAAAATAGCGCGATTTTCGCCGCTAGCGGCCAAAAACCGTGCGATTTTCGCCGCTAGCGGCCAAAAATCGGGCGATTTTCGCCGCTAGCGGCCAAAAAACATGCGATTTTCACAGCAAGCGAGCAAAAATCGCGATTTCGCCTCTAGCGGCCAGAAACTATGCGATTTTTGCAGCTTGCGGGCAAAAATAGCGCGATTTTCGACGCTACCGGCCAAAAACCGCGCGATTTTCGCCGCTAGCGGCCAAAAACCATGCGATTTTCGCAGCTGGCGGGCAAAAATCGCGTGATTATCGCCGCTACCGCCCAAAAACCGCGTGATTGTCGCCGCTAGCGGCCAAAAACCGTGCGATTTTCGCAGCTGGCGGGCAAAAATCGCGATTTTCGCCGCTACCGGCCAAAAATAGCGCGATTTTCGCTGCTAGCGGCCAAAAACCGTGCGAATTTCGCCGCTAGCGGCAAAAAATCGCGCGATTTTCGCCGCTAGCGGCCAGAATCTATGCGATTTTTGCAGCTGGCGGGCAAAAACCGCGCGAATTTCGCCGCTACCGGCCGAAAACTGCGCGATTTTCGCCGCTAGCGGCCAAAAACCATGCGATTTTCGCAGCTGGCGGGCAAATATCGCGTGATTATCGCCGCTACCGCCCAAAAACCGCGTGATTGTCGCCGCTATCGGCCAAAAACCGTGCGATTTTCACAGCTGGCCAGCAAAAATCGCGCGATTTAAGCCGCTACCGGCCAAAAATCGCGCGATTTAAGCCGCTAGCGGCCAAAAATCGTGCAAATTCCGCCGCTACCTGCCAAAAATCGTGCGAATTTCTTCGCTAGCGGCCAAAAATCGCGCGATTTTTCCCGCTAGCGGCCAGAAACTATGCAATTTTTGCAGCTGGCGGGCAAAAATAGCGCGATTTTCGCCGCTAGCGGGCAAAAATCATGCGATTTTCGCAGCTGGCGGGCAAAAATCGCGATTTTCGCCGCTACCGGCCAAAAATAGCGCGATTTTCGCCGCTTGCGGCCAAAAACAGTGCAAATTTCGCCGCTAGCGGCCAAAAATCGCGCGAATTTTGCCGCTACCGGCCAAAAACTGCGCGATTTTCGCCGCTAGCGGCCAAAAACCATGCGATTTTCGCAGCTGGCGGGCAAAAATCGCGTGATTTTCGCCGCTACCGGCCAGAAACCGCGTGATTGTCGCCGCTAGCGGCCAGAAACCGTGCGATTTTTACAGCTGGCCGGCAAAAATCGTGCAAATTTCGCCGCTAGCGGCCAAAAATCGTGCGAATTTCGCCGCTAGCGGCCAAAAATCGCGCGATTTTCGCCGCTACCGGCCAAAAACTGCGCGATTTTCGCCGCTAGCGGCCAAAAACCATGCGATTTTCGCAGCTGGCGGGCAAAAATCGCGTGATTATCGCCGCTACCAGCCAAAAACCGCGTGATTGTCGCCGCTAGCAGCCAAAAACCGTGCGATTTTCACAGCTGGCCGGCAAAATTTAAGCCGCTAGCGGCCAAAAATCGTGCAAATTTCGCCGCTAGCTGCCAAAAATCGTGCGAATTTTCCCACTAGCGGCCACAAACTATGCAATTTTTGCAGCTTGCGGGCAAAAATAGCGCGATTTTCGCCGCTACCGGCCAAAAACTGCGCGATTTTCGCCGCTAGCGGCCAAAAACCATACGATTTTCGCAGCTGGCAGGCAAAAATCGCGTGATTTTCGCCGCTACCGGCCAAAAACCGCGCGATTTTCGCAGCTGGCGGGCAAAAATCGCGATTTTCGCCGCTGCCGGCCAAAAATAGCGCGATTTTCGCCGCTAGCGGCCAAAAATCGCGCGATTTTCGCCTCTAGCGGCCAGAAACTATGCGATTTTTGCAGCTTGCGGGCAAAAATAGCGCGATTTTCGCCGCTACCGGCCAAAAACCGCGTGATTTTCGCCGCTAGCGGCCAAAAACCATGCGATTTCCGCAGGTGCCGGGCAAAAATCGCGATATTCGCCGCTACCGGCGAAAAATAGCGCGATTTTCGCCGCTAGCGGCCAAAAACCGAGCGAATTTCGCCGCTAGCGGCCAAAAATCGCGCGAATTTCGCCGCTACCGGCCAAAAACAGCGCGATTTTCGCCGCTAGCGGCCAAAAACCATACGATTTTCGCAGCTGGCGGGCAAAAATCGCGTGATTTTCGCCGCTACCGGCCAAAAACCGCGTGATTGTCGCCGCTAGTGACCAAAAACCGTGCGAATTTCGCCGCTAGCGGCCAAAAATCGCGCGATTTTCGCCGCTAGAGGCCAGAAACTATGCGATTTTTGCTACTGGCGGGCAAGAATAGCGCGATTTTCGTCGCTAGCGGCCAAAAACCATGCGATTTTCGCAGCTGGCGGGCAAAAATCGCGCGAATTTCTCCGCTATCTGCCAAAAATCGACCGATTTTCGCCGCTAGCGGCCAAAAATGGGGCGATTTTCGCATCTAGCAGCCAAAAATCGTGCAAATTTCGCCACTAGTGGCCAAAAATCGTGCGAATTTTGCCGCTAGCGGCCAAAAATCGCGCGATTTTCGCCGCTGGCGGCCAAAAACCATGCGATTTTCGCAGCTGGCGGGCAAAAATCGCGATTTTCGCCGCTACCGGCCAAAAATAGCGCGATTTTCGCCGCTAGCGGCCAAAAACCGTGCGATTTTCGCCGCTAGCGGCCAAAAATCGGGCGGTTTTTGCCGCTAACGGCCGAAAACCGCGCTATTTTCGACGCTAGCAGCCAGAAACCATGCGATTTTTGCAGCTGACGGGCAAAAATCGCGCGAATTTCGCCGCTACCTGCCAAAAATCGACCGATTTTCGCCCCTAGCGGCCATAAAAGGGGCTATTTTCGCCGCTAGCGGCCAAAAACCGTGCGATTTTCGCAACTAGCGGGCAAAAATCGCGTGATTTTCGCCGCTAGCGACCAAAAATTGCGCGATTTTCGCAGGTAAAAAACAAAAATTGCGCAATTTTCGCCGCTAGCGGCCAAAAATCGGGCGATTTTTGCCGCTAACGGCCGAAAACCGCGCTATTTTCGACGCTAGCTGGCAAAAATCGACTGATTTTCGCCGCTAGCGGCCAAAAATCAGACGATTTTCGCCGCTAGCAGCCAAAAATCGCCCGGTTTTTGGCCGCTAGCGGCAAGCTAATCTGCAAACTACTTAACAAAGTAGCGAAAGTAGCCCAATTTTGGGCTGCAAAGTAGCGAAAGTAGCCCAATTTTGGGCTAGTAGCGAAAGTAGCCCAATTTTGGGCTACGAAGTAGCGAAAGTAGCCCAATTTTGTGCTAAAGCGAAGTAGCGAAATTTTGGGCAAAAAGTAGTGAAAGTAGCGAAATTTTGGGCTAAAAAGTAGCGAAATTTTGGGCTAAAAAGGAGCGAAATTTTAGGCTAAAAGTAGCGAAATTTTGGGCTAAAAAGTAGCGAAAGTAGCCCAATTTTGGCTAAAAAGTAGCAAAAGTAGCCCAATTTTGGGCAGAAAGTAGCCCAATTTTGGCCTAAAAAGTAGCGAAAGTAGCCCAATTTTGGGCTAAAAAGTAGCGAAATTTTTGGGCTAAAAGTAGCGAAAGTAACCCAATTTTGGCAAAAAGTAGCGAAAGTAGCCCAATTTTGGGCTAAAAAGTAGCGAAAGTAGCGAAATTTTGGGCTAAAAAGTAGCGAAATTTTGGGCTAAAAGTAGCGAAATTTTTGGCTAAAAAGTAGCGAAAGTAGCGAAATTTTGGGCTAAAAAGTAGCGAAAGTAGCCCAATTTAGGGCTAAAAAGTAGCGAAAGTAGCCCAATTTTGGCTAAAAAGTAGCGAAAGTAGCCCAATTTTGGGCTAAAAAGTAGCGAAATTTTGGGCTAAAAAGTAGCGAAATTTTGGGCTAAAAGTAGCGAAATTTTGGGCAAAAAGTAGCGAAAGTAGCCAAATTTTGGGCTAAAAAGTAGCGAAAGTAGCCCAATTTTGGGCTAAAAAGTAGCGAAATTTGGGGCTAAAAAGTAGCGAAATTTTGGGCTAAAAGTAGCGAAATTTTGGGCTAGCGAAAGTAGCGAAAGTTTTGGGCTAAAAAGTAGCGAAATTTTGGGCTAAAAAGTAGCGAAAGTTGCGACATTTTTGGCTAAAAAGTAGCGAAATTTTGGGCTAAAAGTTGCGAAATTAGCAAAATTTTGGGCTAAAAAGTAGCGAAATTTTGGGCTAAAAAGTAGCAAAATTTTGGGCTAAAAAGTAGCGAAATTTTGGGCTAAAAAGTAGCGAAATTTTGGGCTAAAAGTAGCGAAATTTTGGGCTAAAAAGTAGCGAAATTTTGGGCAAAAAGTAGCGAAAGTAGCCCAATTTTGGGCTAAAAAGTAGCGAAATTTTGGGCTAAAAAGTAGCGAAATTTTGGGCTAAAAAGTAGCAAAATTTTGGGCTAAAAAGTAGCGAAATTTTGGGGAAAAAGTAGCGAAAGTAGCCCAATTTTGGGCTAAAAAGTAGCAAAGTAGCCCAATTTTGGGCTAAAAGTAGCGAAAGTAGCCCAATTTTTTGGCTAAAAAGTAGCAAAAGTAGCGAAATTTTGCATTTATGGCTTTGGCAGATAGGCAGTTCCAAGGTTTCATAACCCAGTTGGTGAAAATGCACTTCCTGTCCTACACTTTGGCATGTTGTCCTTTATATGCATTACATCTGACATTTGGAAGTGGTCTGGATAGGTGGGATGACAAAGCTAGCAGTGGCTAGTACAGTATTGTTTAATGTCTTTGGTACAATCACATTATATACAGTATCATCAATGACAACCTCTTCCACTCTACCATTGGAGTGCCACAAGGCAGCATCTTGAGGCCTCTCCAGTTTCTTATACATATCAATGACTTGCCATGTATGCCATGGAACTTTGACTTGTCTCAAGTTCTTAAACATACACTATTTGCTGTCCAGTCTATACTTTATTCAAAAAGTAGAATATTGAAGTACCTAACTTCATCTCTAAGTATCCACCTTGTGCTAACAACTCTCAGTATGCACAAAGAAATCACATTAACATGATGTATCAATGAGAAAATGAGTAGGAGCCGTGATGAGGATTCGAATCTATACTCGGGTACTCCTAAGCAAATGCCTTAGACCACTACACGGTAAAGCAATGTAACCCGAGATTTGTCTGAATCCTCTAGGGTGTAAGCCTTGGGAACCCTTGAGGATTCAGTTGAATCCCAGGCTGTAATGCTTTTATCATGTTGTGATGTAGTACCCAGAGTATAGGTTCGAATCCCACTCATGGTTCCTACCGATTTAACTCCTAGTATCTTGTGCTACCCACTCATCTAATATCCTACCATCTAGAAATGCAACTTTATCAATATATTTAATCACTATGCTTAAGTATTTATTAGGTACATTGTAACATTTTAATTCACATAACATTTGTTCACCTAAGGACCTGCCCAAAATGCTATTCATGTTAGTGGCTCTGCAAGTATATCACCACGTTTGTACTCAACCCATTGTGAATAGTACCTCAACTATGAACAGTGTGTACACACACAACCATACTGGACAACAGATCCTGACAAGCCGTTCCACCATGACATGTACACAATCAATACCAGTAGAAGTAATGGTACTAACAAAACACTGACACAATTTCACGCTCAGACTCTCGCTCTAATACCTCTCGTGCTGGACATTGCAGTGACAAACTTCCTACTTCCTTGCATTCAAGCAGTCCTTTTAGGAGCTATGAAACTATGCTCACATTATGACTTGCTGCTATATTTAAATGGAAGTGTGGTCAAATTCAGAAAACGGACAACAACAATTGTGTATACAGACCACTTTATCATGTCACTTAGGTAATCCTATTTTACAGAATTTCAATGGCTACAATATTCAGAATATAAAATGCCAATAATCAATTTTAAGATGACACTCAAGATATCAAATCATCCATAATATTGTCCAAATTTTTTCTTCCATCATGTTCATAAATTGCCAAATTCAATTGTGATACATAAGATGTAAATAGAGAGCCTTATTCAGGTAAGCACATAGTCCTTCACATACACTAATGCAACTTTAGATTTATCCTGCACATTTCAGGATCAGTTACAGTACTGTATGCCAATACAATATTATGTCTCAACACTGAGCATCAAAGCAATAATATTAACTATGCAATTATAGTTAATAGTGTACCGTATGTACAGTATCTGAAAGAAGCTATAAAATCTTGGTTTTAATGAAGTAATCACACAGTATATTATAAATAGGATATACATATTCTTAAAGAAAATATAAGCAACCTTTGTTTAAAAAAATATAATGTGTAAATATACAGGAACTGATTAAATGTAACAAAATTAGAATTATTGCATGAAAACCTGAATAACTTGTGACTAAAACATTGTCTTAATATAAGAATGCACTCTTAACCTAAAAAGTATGGTGTTGGCTCCTTAAGTAGCCACTAACAGTTCATCGTAATCTATAGACTAACAATCAGAGCTACCAAAACATCACAGTTCATCCCCTGAATATGTATAGCTATCAAGACATACCACTGTCAAGGAAGGTGTAACCTAACATATGTAATACATGTTTTTTACAATATATCCACATTAAACTAATGTCCCTGAAAACATGGAAACATAATAAAGTCTTAACAAAAAAATTTTTACCTTTCATGCCACACCATGAAAGTGGGGAAAATTCATAATCACATATATTTGTATGTTGACTGTAAGAATTCCACAGCAAGCTCCAGCTAGGCCTGGAAATTTGCCGATGAGAATTCTTCATATTGCTGCAGTGTCTTTGGGGAAACTGTCTTCGGAGTTGTCTGAATAGCCATCAGGAAATCCTTTATTTCTACATCACGAGCAACAACCTGAAAAAAATATGTTCAGTACTGTAATCATTCACAAAAAAAATAACTTTATTTAAAATATTAGACAAAATATTACATCAAATAAAGTCTACTTTCAATTTAATGTTTCTCTTAATGGATTCTAACGTGTAAAAAAAAATAGTGTACAGTATTCACAGTTTCTCATTCCAAGATGATTTTGCAATATAAATGCTATATTGAAATTTAACTCTCGTCTTTTCTAAGAAAAAGGTTCAAATGTACCCTGTGTACAGGGTCGAGATTTAAAAAGCTACAATACCTGATCTGCTGGTAGCTTGCTCAAGGGATACTGCATTGCACCGAGGGTGTCGCTGGAGCACGGCGTAATCTTGTTGTCTGAAAGTGACAAATTGTGTAAAATAACTAATACACTTATAAACAGTGTGTGAAAGGCAAGTCAGGTAGTTATTTTAGACAATATCAATTATAAAAATTAGTTAAATGTAATCATGAGAGCCAAAGATCTATGAAAGTCTTGATTTTTCTGAAGAAAGTTAAAAGGATCAAAACTTCAAGCAAAGATTTAAAAAGAAATCTAATCTACATTGAGGCTAAAACTATGACTGTTCCTATCTACTACAGTACATGTATGGTTAAAAACAAGAGGGAAAGGCAGAGAAAGGCAAAAAAAAAAAAAAAAGCATAAAAATCCAGTATAGGTTCTGTTGCCTATAAATTTTAGCACAGTAGTCCAAGTACTCTACACTCGATTAAGGATCCACTTGGCCTGAACGGTAGAGCGACAGTCTCGCTTCATGCAGGTCGGCGTTTAATCCCCAACCGTCCTAGTGGTTGGGCACCATTCCTTTTCCCCGTCCCATCCCAAATCCTTATCCTGATCCCTTCCAAGTGCTATATAGTCATAATGTCTTGACACTTTCCCATGATAATTCAGTTTAGTTCAATAAAGGATGTGGGATTTGATCTCCTGAACAGGGCAGAAATAGTTGGGCACATTTCCCTTCACCTGATGCCTCTATTTACCTACCAGTAAATAGGTATACCAAGAGTTAAGTAATTGTTGTCGGATACATCCTGGGGAGGATCAGAAGTTAACCTAAGGGGAAACTTCAATACAAGTTTTAGAATAAGCTTTCTGTCCCCAACAACAGGACTTGGATTTAAAATATTACAGTACTTCAGTCACATACAACTGGCTACATTTCTAAATGACAAGACTTAGAAATAAATATACACAGGAAGGTACACACGTACTGAGCGTGCACAAGTTACGAATTAGTAACTCGCATAACTTGTGAAACTGATATTAAACATAATTAACATATTGTAATTATTTTACTCGTGCAACCCAGCCAGGGTTTTCTAATTTCCGAGTGTGACTTAGACAGTAAAGGTGTTGGTGACAATGGTTCATATAGACCTGCACAGCCATGAATGCCATCGTCACACTCGCCATGTCATCCCATTCTCTAATACTCAATTACCTCAAATTCATTAATACATTTAACACTATCTTCACTGCCTACCATCATCATCAAACCATTCAACATGGAAAAAACATCTAACTGCACTCCACAATCTTGCCATTTACATGTGAAGCAAAAAAAAAAGTCTAATGTGATGATAACATTATGTACAAAATTCCTGTTGAAGTAAATTACAAACTAAGTCAAATATTATCCCACCAATAACTCATTATCCTACCATGCATACCAGATCAGATTAAGGACAATACAAGTTAACTCTTTAAATGAGACTTGACAGTAAGTCTCTGTCGTATCTCTTGATAACAAACACTAATGTTTGTGCAAAGTTATTTAAAGTAACAAAAATATCAGCAACTTGACTATTGCAAGGCTCTATATGTAAAACAAACCCAAGGAAATCATTGTGTGTGTCAAGGCTGTCAAAGCAAGGAGTACCTGCATTACTGACTGCAATGTAAATAGAAAATTTGATAAAATGAGAGATGACTTTCATAAGCTTTAGGCTTCCAATCCCCAAAGAAATAATACCTGCCAGGCAAATCATAAGCTTTCTGTATTTCTATTATTGTTAATAAACAGATGTATTATCAATGGATTAGTCTATTGTTACCTTTAAACTTAAGTATTAAAATGTAAATCAAAGCAATGCAGCCAAAAAAAAAAAAAAAATCTAAATATTGGATAAAACACATGCAGAGTCAAGCATAAACATTCAAAACACATCCTCTTATTTCCAAAGTACAGTACCGTTTGTGAACCTCCAAAAGCGAGACGAGTGCAAATCTCTAATAGGCTGAAATGCTGCAGCCATTGTCAGGTGAGTGAGATCAGCACCTGAGTAGCCCTCGGTAGCATCCAGGAGTGTCAGCCATTCAGAGTCCGTAAGGTGGAGAAGCACGGTGGAAAACTGATTTGAAATTATAGTGCGGCGCCCTTTCCTGGAGAAGTAGTATAAATTTGGTTGGCATTATGTATAATCCAGATTTATAATTAAAATATGCATTTAAGGCTCATACTGGCTTGTTGATAGATTTAATTCGGCTCCAGAAATTGGACCCGGGAATAAAAGTCATTCAGCACTGTTCAAATTTTAATACTAAATGTAAAGTAAGCTAACATATATAGGATGTTTAAGAAATATAACAAATGATATACAACATAAATGTGATAATAAACATACTTGAATCATTAAGAGAGACAATAAGATACATCTCAAAAGAATAGAGTAGCTTTGGCTATTTCTACCCTCGTCCATACTTAATGATGACAGCCAATGGCAACAGTTCTTAGTAACCAAACAGCCAATAATACATTAGAGATAGGACCTGCACGGTTTGTTACCTGTCGGGAAGAGGAATAAATATGCGCCTCTGGAAACGTCTGAGGAAGGCAGGGTCAAGATCCCAGGGGCAATTGGTGGCACCTAGCAAGAACACACTTGCATTCTTACTGTCCTCGATGCCCTCCATTTGCCGCAACAGTTCTGACTTCACTCTGTAACAATGAAATTTTGTCATCCTTAACATTTACATTTCAATTACTGGTAATTATTGCACAGCTTATTATTTTATTATAAATATATTAAATTATTAGTACTGTAGAAGTATTAGTACAATCTTTTTTTAATTATTGTATACCCTATACTCATCCTGCAAGGAGAAGCCCATGAAATTACAGAGGACAAATAGTATTCATCATACCCCAGTGGATGTTACCTGACTAAAGTTTTTCCAATTTATCTGTACACCTCATATTTAATTGTAATAATAGCTAGTAACTAAGCATTACTTGCACTGCAACTGCCTTGCATTACAATATAATATTACACATTGAATCCCAATTAAGTTAGGTAATACACTTAATTTCAACACAGAATATTACTGGGTAATAGATTTGTTGCTATTTATGGTATTAGGCTTCATAGCTTTTGGACACATTCTTCTTTCTCTGCTTGAGGCAAAATACTAGTATGGATACAGCGAAAGATTTGTCATTTCATGCAAACTAATTTTATTATTTTGTATTTGATTATAATCTTAAAAGTACAAAGCCATAAGGTATTCAAACTGGGAATAATACCTCGTAAGGAGTAAACCTTCAAATTTGCTAGGACAAAACATTGAACAGATTAATCATTAAGAAAACTATGTTCATTACACACCTTCGTGAGTGCTCATCTTCTGTTTGTGAACGTTTCCTACACAAACTGTCAATTTCATCCATGAAGATAATAGTCTGGCCTGCTTGTTGCTGGGCATGACGGAACAAGTCTCTAATCAATCTGCGATAAAAACAATATTAGAATATCTAACATTTTAGTTGAAAACCTAAAATAGCATTAAATTTGCTGAGGTTAAAAGAATAAATGCATAGGACAATTTTCTAACAAACATTTTTACAATGTAAAATATTATGCATTTTTTCTTTCTTTATGAATTAGTAGAATTTACATACAAAATCTTTTTATATTACTACACTAAAATGTGCTTACCAAGGCCATTAATGTGTCAACCCTTAACTGCAGCATACATCTTCAAAGGAAACATATTCCTCAAGAGTGCATTAATGAATTACCTACTTTTCAGATTCTCCAACCCAGGAGGAGAGAAGGCTAGCAGATGATACACAATAAAATGGACAGCAAAGTTCCGAGGCTAAAGATCGAGCAAGTTTTGTCTTCCCAGTTCCTGGAGGTCCATAGAGAAGCAAGCGAGTCCAGGGTTTTGCTCCACCTGTGAATTATCCGACATAGAATGCTTAATGGAGTATGCACCTTGGGATCACAAATTAAAATAAATTAGTTTTCTATATTTCTCCCGTACATCACTCTACAAATTCTAAATCATTCTAGGCTATTTACAAAAACTTCAATACCTTTAAAGAGCTGCGGGTATTGGATGGGCATGATCACCGCTTCCTTTAATATTTGCTTAACCTCATCGAGACCAGCAACATCTTGCATCGAGACACCTATCGCACTGCACGGTAATAACATATCTTGTATTGTCAAGCTATGATCTGTTTCGCTGTGAATTGCATTTGCACTTTGTTTTAAGCAGTCTACACAGGTCTTTCTCTTGTTATCTGTAAAGATTTAATGTAAAATAATTTAAAATTAATTACATATTGAGGATTACAACTGGGTATTAACAGGTATACAGTTAAAAATCTAAATTCATATTTTATTTAAATCATTTATATACAGTACTGAAAATATGTGGAAGCCCCCACAAGGCTTCCCTGGATGCTACCTATCCTCTTATTCATGGGTGAGGGTCCCTATAAACACAACCAGAGGTGGCACCCCAATAATTATTATTATTATTATTATTATTATTACTACACAGAGAAATCACATTATCATGATATATCAATGAGCAAATCCACAGGAGCCGTGATGAGGACTCGAACCTATGTGCTGGGTGTTCCCAGATGCACGCTCTAGTCAACTATACCACAACATGGTCAAAAGAATTGTAACCTGGAGTACTACTGCGCCGTCAAGGATTCCCGAGGCTTTCATTGAAACTGAACCGGGGTTTCACACAATTCCCCAATGCACTCTGGCTCTGTCGTCCAGTATTGGCTCCTGTGGAGTTTCTCATTGATGTATCACGATAACGTGATTTCTCCGAGTATCGAAAGAGGGGCGTCAGCGGTAGAAGTACTGGACGACAGAAATCGAGTGCATGGGGAAAATTGTGTGAAACCTTGGTTCGGCTTCAGTGGAAACCTCTGAAATATTCAAGGGTGCAGTAGTACTCCAGGTTGCAATTCATTTGACCATGTCATGACATAGTTGACTAGAGCCTGCATCTGGGAACACCCAGTGCATATGTTCGAATCCTTATCATGGCTCCCATGGATTTTCTCATTATTATTATTATTATTATTAGAAAATCAGAAGGAGCCTTGAGGAGGATTCAAACCCGCTCACTTGGTTCTCCCAAGTTAGCGCTCTAAACCACCATGCCACATCATGGTACATTAAAGCAATGCAATCAGGGTTTTAAGCATTGCCCTCATGCACTCTGGCTAATGATCCAGTAGTTCTCCAATGCTTCTCATCAAATGCACAACAAAATCACATTAACATTTTTGTCCTGCCTGGGACTCAAACCCAAAATTTCATTTAGCGAGTTGAGAACGAACCCGTCTGTACTACCAGGACCCTAACAATGACAAAGAATCACTGTATACTATTTGTTCTGAATGATGGATGCTCTGATGAAGTACTGTTGATATAAGAAAACATGCTAACAATACAGTACTTGCCATACCTCAGGGCCTTCAAAACATATGTATGGTCTTCAGTGGAATAATAGATTAAGGGAAAATTTAAACAAAAATCAACTTACTAGAATATTGAAATGTTCCCTCACTGACTGTACGTCGTCTGCCATGGCCACCATAACGGCGAGTATCGAGCAGGGATTTTTGGAAGCTTAATGTGTCCAAGAGATTCTCCAAGGATGCCTGAAAAAATAATTATTAATAGTGTGTTTTCCAATGTTTTTTGAGTTAAAGCGCTTAATATTTCACTACTAGTCATAATATAATGAATCCTTTTGATTGTCTCGATAATTACAGATTTGCTACACACACACTAACCAGCTTTCAATTAAGTTTTTATCCTATAACTACGAGCCTGTCACTCAAGGGCATGCCACTCATGCCTTGCACCACCCATAGCTCTGCTATTCAACAAATCTCTAAAGTGTTATACTTTTCCCGACATCCTTAAAATTCCTGACATCCTTAAAAAAGCAGGAGTAATGCCAGTTCATAAAGGAGGTGATACAGCTGACAAACAATTACAAACCAATATCAAATTTACCATTGCCAAATTTACCAATATTCTAAAATTGTTTGAAAAACTTGTTTACAATCAGTTCTACTCCTACCTTGTAAAATTCTATATACAGTATTAAGTCCCTGCTAGTTTGGCTTCCATTCTCAAAAGAATATCAATGATGCCATTATTAGTCTGCTTGATATAATCTACACAGCCATTGACAAAAATAAGTTCCCAATTGGCCTCTTTATTGACCTGAGAAAGGCTTTTGATACTGTAAACCATAACTACCTCTTACTTACACTTCACCATTGTGGAATCCGAGGCCTTGCTCTGAAATGTATTTGATGATCTTAATGACAGGCACCCATATGTAGCCATCAATGACATAACCTCACCCACTCTACAATTAACCGTAGACTCCCACAGGGCAGCATCTTAGGGCCTCTCCTATTTCTTATATATATCAATGCAAAGGAAGTCTCGGTCTCCATAATGAATTAAAAAAATTGTCCCACCTATGCATTATTCAACAGTAAAACCAAAAAAACCTAATTTCATCCTCATAATTTCCTACCGTGTGCTTCACACTTTTACTGTATCTTGTCCTACCCACTCCCCAATACGTATCAGTACATAACACACAAAAATACAGCATCAATTTATATGTAGTTATTATGTTAAACTCAAAATTTGCTACAATGTACCTCTTAATAAACCCCATCTATCGGATTAAGGAACGATCCAAAACACTTTCCAAGAATATAAGAATACCAATATTATGTACTGTACTCTTACAAACCCAATGTACCTTGAACAAATCCACAAGGGCCGTGATGAGGATTCGAACCTACGTCCGAGAGCATCCCAGACGCTGCCTTAATCGACTGAGCTACGACATGGTAAAAGAATTGAAGCCAGAAGTTCTACTGAACTTACTTGGATCCTGCAGCCTCTCCGAGACACAAACCAGGGTTTTACATAATTCCCCCATGCACTCGAGCTATGTCAATAGGCCGTTCTCCTTCTTCCCCCTTACTTCATTACACACGACCCTTGTGGATTTGTTCATTTGATGCATCATACTATTGTAAATAACATACCGATATATGTGGGTTGGGCTGAGACGTGCGCAACGTACTGATGGCAGAGCTGCACTTCTCATACAGATGATCCACCACAGGGTAGTCAGTGTTGCTCTCCAACTGGGAAGCGATGAGCTCCAAACTGAAAAATATATTATTATTGTACCAGAGGAAACAAAATTCACAAGCATTAAAAAGCTACACCTGCATGCAACATACCAAAAATACTTTTAGACAAATGACAGAAGGAAGATGTGCAACATACTTCAATAATCAAAGCCAAATTGATTAATTTATGAATTTCAGAAGCTTTGGAACTTGGTCGAGTACTGGGACTGACTGGAGCATTCAGCACAATTAAAACAAGAATAATACAGAATAATATTCTAAAATACTGATATTAGTTTTTCATTTTTTCCCCCTCTTCATGAATAATTATAGATCAACTGAAGTTGAATATATTATCTGGTGCATTACGATTAGAGTACAGTACAGTACTGTACTCTGTGATAATGAACATCATTATTCTGTACTATATAACCAATGCCTAGTGTACTGTACTGCACTGCATGATCTACACCAAGCCTCATTAAGTTTTTAAATACTAAACTAGTGTTTGTTACTAGGTGCTCACAACAGTTATAATCCAGATTTCTTGCACAAAATACAACATAATCAACAATTATTAAAAGTACAGAATACATCTACAGTACTTGATGTAATGCAAGGTTATGCTGTTGCTGGAAAATCTACATACTGGTTAAGACTTAATGCAAACTTTATAAATCGTCCAAAAGCACATAAATCTAATAAACTCGGTATACTAGAACTGTAAAATGTTGACTTTGAATTCAACTACATCACATTTAATATAAAAATAAAGCAAACATGATTTATTTGTAAAATAGCTGTACTCTGTATCCAGTATTGAACAATGTTTTGACAACAGTTAGCTGTCACATAACACAGGAATTCATACTTTGATCAACAAATACAATATTTAGAAATGCTGAATAGCATTTTACCAGCTCTTATCACATATGCTATCAATTTTAGCACATACAGCATATCAAAATCATGTACAATAGCACAATCCAACACATTTGTTGCATTTACCAAGCAGCAGACTTTTGTTAACCCTACTGCATCTATCCAGGTGCTGGGGCTAGCCTCAGTTAGACAAGTGTGTGTATGTAAAGTCAAGGGAACTGCCACTATTTGACACTTTTTCTGGAGGTAAAACTAGTCTTAAATCTAAAAGTACAGAACGCTTCATAACATTATTTTCAAAATACGATTAAACACGTCTTTGAGCAGTTCTGTACACCCAGCTGGCCTCCAAGGTAATATACATGCTTCTGAAAAGGATCTTCCACAGTCAGGGCAGTTTGACATCCCACACCATTGTGGTAGGGAACCTTTCAAACCCTCAGTCATGTCACACAAGTATTAGGGAGAAGTAAGTAATGCAACTTGTTAGGACAACAGAACAAAAATCCTTAGGAGAAAGCCCCTCGATACCAGGTTTCCAAATAGGAAGAACAATCACCTCAAGCTAGTCTTCAGGAACTAACAATTTCTTCCAAGTACAATTATAACTAGTCAATAAAAAGTGAAAGGCACCTTGAGGAAGATGGCAAAGCATCTCATAATGAATGCTACCCAAGCCCCCCACTGTAGAACCTTCAGAGACAGGGCAGACTGAAGTTATGATACAAGGGATTGTTATAGGGGATCTGGAGGCGAGGGCAAAAAACCAAGGAAGAAGATTCAAGAAGGGGCTTATGAGCAAGTAAAGTAGAAAGAAAATGAGTACCGGAGTTAATGGCTGTAAATTGTGAACACAGTTTGTTTGTGACCAACACCAGATCTGCCACAACAGAACCACAGAAATGAAAGACGGGTAACACGTCAGGAACAAACTTGCCAGTAATCTTATAGATTTCTTCCAGATCTGAGAGAAAGAGGGGTCAACCATAATGGTGAGGAGATAGGACTTTCAACTCCCATTTAGCTGGTCAGATAAGCCTACTACACTCACCATACAAAAAAAAATAAAAGAATAAGGAGTCTATCAGCATCAGTGTTTTTTCCCAGGCACTTTCAGTACACTTACAGCGTACAGCCCTAGCAAAGTCCAAATTCTACGAAGTAATGCACTTCTGCATATCACTGGAGGCAGAGTGAAGAACAGAGCAGAGGGCAGATTCTAACAAGGTGTCATGAAAAAGGAGGAGGGCTCGAGGAATAGGCAAATCAGATTGGTAGGAAATGGGGGGAGCACAAAGGGTGAAAAAGATTCAGTCCACCTTATCAAACTGCCACTGACGAAACAAAACAGGAGGGTAGGGAAAAATAAAGGTTGCAAAGATGGAGAAATTGGTCACTGTTATAGAGGTCATCAAGGGTCTCCCACAATAAGTTTAAATAAATGGAGGGGGCACAGAGGCAAAGACCAATAAAGGAAAGGGTGTGAGTACATGAGTCAACAACATCAATCAGCTTGCTGGAATTCAGGCGAGATAGAAGAGAGGACGAAAGGTTCTCAGGTTGTTACTTATAGTGTATCTTGCCACAGTGGGTTAAGGGATTCAAACTGGAATGCTGGTTCGAATCCCCGGATTGCTCCAATTATTTTCACGAAGACACATCATGCCATTGTGATTTCCTAGTATATTTGAACAAAACACACGGTGGGGAATCCCATTACCTACACCAGAGTGTACGCGTAAAATTTATAAACCACTTGGTTTTCGTTATCAGCTCGGTACCTCAAGACCCCTAGTGGATTCAGAAGGATCTCAGGTTAAATTACTTATTTATTTATTTATTTATTTATTTATATACAAGAAGGTACATTGGGTTTGTGAGAATACATTGGATAGTACAGTATTTACACTCTTGTAAAGCCACTAGTACGCGCAGCGTTTCGGGCAGGTCCTTAATCTAACATAATTTTAAGTAGGTAATTTCTATCAGAATTGATAAATGATAAAGATACATTGCAAGAGAAAAATGAGATGAGAGAGCTTAGTAAGTATATTAAAGCACATTGTTATATTAAAGCTCTGATTGATTACATTGACAGCTTGATTAGTAATTTAAACAAGATTAATAGACACCATACAGCAGATTGACAGCACATATAAGACAGCAATGATCACAATGGTAAAGATGTTCAGATTGGGTACATAAAGATTGGGAGACTGGGTAGCAAAAGATACAGATAAACAAGATTAATAAACACCATACAGCAGATTGGCAGCACATAAGAAGACAGCAATGATCACAATGGTAAAGATGTTCAAATTGGGAACATAAAGGTTGGGAGATTGGGTAGCAATAGATACAGTGCAATTTTAAGGCAAAAAGTGTAATGGTAATGTCTTCTTGCAGACATAATAACATAGGATAAAAACCCACACTTGTCTATTTGTGAAATTAATGTAAGGAATTTACACCAAGTCTTTTGCACTCTCCTGAGTGCTTTGTCAAGGTCTGAGTGTGTGGTTAGGATGAGACTTCTCATCTCAACGTCTAATCATTAGATGTTGAGATGTAAGTCTCATCCTAATCACACACTCAGACCTTGACAAGCACTCAGAAGAGTGCAAAAGACTTGGTGTAAATTCCTTACATAAATTTCACAAATACACAAGTGTGGATTTTTATCCTATCAAATTTAGCAAATTCTATAGTACAGGTACATTATATAGATTGGGTTTATGAGAAAAAATCTTATAACAGTGGGATCATCAAACAAAATATTTTTCAAATTCAATATAAGGAACACCACTTTTTGGTGTATTGACTATGGATACAGAACACCTTAATATTTATACCTACCATGACAAGGCCTCTGCCACAGCAGTCACCAACATGAAATGGAAAAACATTAATGAACCTTCTATATTTAGAAATATATAATAAAAAGTGTTAAAACACAAAACATATCATTAAAATAGTGTTAAAACCCAAAACAGCTATCTGAATAATATTCTTTCTTATTCAAATAGAAAAATCTAATGTATAAAAACACACACACACACACACACATCGCTGGAAGACAGAAGAGTTAGGGGGGACATGATCACCACATTCAAGATTCTCAAGGGAATTGATAGGGTAGATAAAGACAGGCTATTTAACACAAGGGGCACACGCACTAGGGGACACAGGTGGAAACTGAGTGCCCAAATGAGCCACAGAGATATTAGAAAGAAATTTTTTAGTGTCAGAGTAGTTGACAAATGGAATTCATTAGGAAGTGATGTGGTGGAGGCTGACTTCATACACAGTTTCAAGTATAGATATGATAGAGCCCAATAGGCTCAGGAACCTGTACACCTGTTGATTCACGGTTGAGAGGCGGGACTAAAGAGCCAGAGCTCAACCCCCGCAAGCACAATTAGGCGAGTACACTCACTCACACATTCACACACTCGCTAACACTCACACTCTCACTCTCTCCCACGCTCTCACTCTCCCACGCACTCTCGTACTCACGCTCTCATGCACTCTCGCACTCATGCACTCACGCTCTCATGCACTCTCGCACTCATGCACTCTCACACTCATACACTCTCACACTCTCACACTCATACACTCTCACACTCATACACTCTCACACTCATACACTCTCACACTCATACACTCTCACACTCTCACACTCATACACTCTCACACTCTCACACTCATACACTCTCACACTCATACACTCTCACACTCTCACACTCATACACTCTCACACTCATACACTCATACACTCTCACACTCATACACTCTCACACTCATACACTCTCACACTCATACACTCACACACTCATACACTCTCACACTCATACACTCTCACACTCATACACTCTCACGCTCATACACTCTCACGCTCATACACTCTCACACTCTCACACTCATACACTCTCACACTCATACACTCATACACTCTCACACTCATACACTCTCACACTCACACTACACACACTCATACTCTCACTCTCACACTCATACACTCTCACACTCACACTCATACACTCTCACACTCATACACTCTCACTCATACACTCTCACACTCTCACTCTCACACTCATACACTCTCACACTCATACACTCTCACACTCATACACTCTCACACTCATACACTCTCACACACTCATACACTCTCACACTCATACACTCATACACTCTCACACTCATACACTCATCACACTCTCACACTCATACACTCACACTCATACACTCTCACACTCATACACTCTCACACTCATACACTCTCACACTCATACACTCTCACACTCTCACACTCATACACTCTCACACTCATACACTCTCACACTCATACACTCTCACACTCATACACTCATACACTCATACACTCATACACTCATACACTCACACTCACACACACTCACACACACTCACACACACTCACACACACTCACACACACTCACACACACTCACACACACTCACACACACACACACACACACACACACACACACACACACACACACACACACACTCACACACACTCACACACACTCACACACACTCACACACACTCACACACACTCACACAAACTCACACAAACTCACACAAACTCACACAAACTCACACAAACTCTCACAAACTCTCACAAACTCTCACAAACTCTCACAAACTCTCACAAACTCTCACAAACTCTCACAAACTCTCACAAACTCTCACAAACTCACACAAACTCACACAAACTCTCACAAACTCTCACAAACTCTCACAAACTCACACAAACTCTCACTCACACAAACTCTCACTCACACTCACACAAACTCTCACTCACACTCACACAAACTCTCACTCACACTCACACAAACTCTCACTCACACTCACACAAACTCACACTCACACTCCCTCGCACTCACACTCCCTCACACTCGTACTCATACTCACACTCATACTCATACTCACTCACACTCACTCATACTAATACTCATACTCACACTTGCTCACACTCTCACACAGGGAAAGTCGCTGGCTAACATCAGAACTGCCTTCAGGAACCTGTGTAAGGAATCATTTAGAACCTTGTATACCACATATGAAAGACCAATCTTGGAGCATGCAGCCCCACATAGAGCCCGTATCTTGTCAAGCACAAGATAAAGCTGGAAAAAGTTCAGAGGTATGCCACTAGGCTAGTCCCAGAACTAAGAGGCATGAGTTATGAGGAAAGGCTGCGTGAAATGCACCTCACGACATTGGAAGACAGAAGAGTAAGGGGAGACATGATCACGACCTACAAAATTCCCAGAGGAATTGACAGAGTTGAAAAGGATAAACTGTTGAACACGGGGGTACACGAACAAGGGGGGACAGGTGGAAACTGAGTACCCAAATGAGCCACAAGGACGTTAGAAAGAACTTTTTCAGTGTCAGAGTAGTTTACAGATGGAATGCACTAGGAAGTGATGTGGTGGAGGCTGACTCCATACACAGTTTGAAATGTAGATATGATAGAGTCCAGTAGGCTCAGGAACCTGTACACCAGTTGATTGACAGTTGAGAGGCAGGACTAAAGAGCCAAAGCTCAACCCCTGCAAGCACAACTAGGTGAGTACACACTCACACAGTCACTCCAGATATATTTGGTTAATTCTGGACCGAGCCTGCTGACATGAGTGCATTGGTCCTCAAGCTATCAGGTAATGCGTAGCTGGCCAACTATGCCAAGACTCCTCAGTACACATAGAACAAGGGTGAAAATACCTTCCAAGATACTAACATGTGAGATTAGGGAGATAAATGTGGAGCACAAGATAGTATGGCCTGTAAGGCACATGTCTTTTGAGACTACTTTTTTCGTAGTCTTTATCTAATCAACACTTTTTCACACTGCCATATTTGTGGTTCAGTGAAAAACAGAAGATTGTACTGTGCCTTGTTTCCAATCTGCTTGAAAACTGGGAGAAGTCATTTGTGAATAAAACACAATAACACTAAACAATAAAAAACATCATAAAGAGAATAATTTTGACAATTTGCCACCTTGTAATCAGATACCATCTAACTGAAGCATAATGCAATATACATTACCTTGACAATTAATCATTAATATACCTGGTCCCAAACACACCAATACTGAACCAACACGTCAGGAGGTAGAGGTGCCCCTCACACCTCAGGAGGTAGAGGCGCCCCTCACACCTCAGGAGGTAGAGGCCCCCCTCACACCTCAGAAGGTAGAGGCCCCCCCTCACACCTCAGGAGGTAGAGCCCCCCCCCTCATACCTCAGGAGGTAGAGGCCCCCCCTCACACCTCAGGAGGTAGAGGCGCCCCTCACACCTCAGGAGGTAGAGGCGCCCCCTCACACCTCAGAAGGTAGAGGCCCCCCCTCACACCTCAGGAGGTAGAGGCCCCCCCTCACACCTCAGGAGGTAGAGGCCCCCCCTCACACCTCAGAAGGTAGAGGCCCCCCCCTCACACCTCAGGAGGTAGAGGCCCCCCCCCTCACACCTCAGGAGGTAGAGGCCCCCCTCACACCTCAGGAGGTAGAGGCCCCCCCCCTCACACCTCAGGAGGTAGAGGCCCCCCCCCTCACACCTCAGGAGGTAGAGGCCCCCCCCCTCACACCTCAGGAGGTAGAGGCCCCCCAATCACACCTCAGGAGGTAGAGGCCCCCCAATCACACCTCAGGAGGTAGAGGCCCCCCTCACACCTCAGGAGGTAGAGGCCCCCCTCACACCTCAGGAGGTAGAGGCCCTTTGTAATGTCACCTCCTATAATGAAGCAGTAGCTGGCTGCTGAAACTTGTCCTCAAACTCAAACCCTCACGACAAACTTGTCGTGAAGGGATACACAATTTTTCAGTGGATTCAGGGATTTTTCAGTGTCAGAGTAGTTAACGGATGGAATGCACTAGGAAGTGATGTGGTGGAGGCAGATGCCATACACAGTTTCAAATGTAGATATGATAGAGCCCAGTAGGCTCAGAAATCTGTACACCAGTTGATTGACAGTTGAGAGGCGGGACCAAAGAGCCAGAGCTCAACCCCCGCAAGCACAACTAGGTGAGTACAATTAGGCGAGTACAAGTCTACCAACACACACTGACACTCATTCTTTGGTTTAACATTTGGCCTTGCACGGAATCAATAGCAATTACCGCAGCAACTTCAAAAATTGATGTTGATATCAAATCTTGTTGCAACGTGGGAAGGCAGGCTACTACTGTCAACTGCATTACTCGTTCCTTGTCACAGAACATGACACACCATTTTACAAATTGCAATCAATCTGCCCAATTCTAAACGTGGAACCTCTTTAACAGTATAACATCTAAGACCAGCAAACACTTCCAAGACACGTGACTACTCACCTTGATACAGCAGCAAGTCGCTGCACCCAGCATTAGTAGTGGCTTCTGGCGCCTCTGTACACTTCATCTTCAGGTGGCGTTGGGTGTGGCACGAGATGTGGTCCCCAAGATGTGGCCCCCAAGATGCGGTCCAAGATGCGGCGGGGTCTTCCCTCCACCAGCTGTCACTCTTCTGTCTCGTGACGACGTTCCCGCAGCGCCACATGGGAAGGCTACCATCAAGCGGGCACTTTTTAAATATATATATTTTCTTTTTTTAACCTAGCAAACGCTTAGTAAAGTTCCTATATGACTTGGGCGATTGATTTAATTTGTAAATCATAATGTGTGGTTATAAGTGGTTTTGATAATTATATCCAGGGAAATGGAAAATAATTACAAAAAAATTTAATGACACTGGTAACACACTGGTAAACAGAGGCTCTCGACCAATCAGATGCCGCCGTCCGAGTGACGTAGGTGGGTGTGACGGAATCATTAACAATGCCTTAATAATTAACAAATATAATGCTTTTGGTTTGCTTTTATAGCGGTAATGATGTATGTATGTTAGTGCTAAGCGAGTTGTAACCTTTTACAATAAAGAACACATTATAAAATACAGGGTGGTGGTAGAAAGCAAATAATACTCATACGAAATCAGCAATCCCCGTGGCGAAGTGGTTACACACTCGCCTGGCGTTTCGCGAGCGCTTTGGCCTGGGTTCGTATCCTGGCCGGGGACGATTGACTGGGCGCCAATCCTTAACTGTAGACTCTGTTCACCTAGCAGTGAATGGGTGCCTCGTTGTTAAACAATTTGACGAGTCGTATTCCGGGGAAAATTTGGATTAAGGACTTGCCCGAAACGCTATGCGTGCTAGTGGCTGTGTAAGAACTCATATATAAATAAATACAAACGACAAAAATTGTCTCTGAATAACAAATAATAAAAAGAAATAAATATATTTAATATTCCAAGAGAAGTTCAACGAAGATCAATTCCAGCTACTCTGCTATGGAATAGAAAATAATTCAACAATCCTATTTGAAATCAATATTTACCAGTCTTAATTTCTCAATATAAATTTATCAAGTTTGTATCCTTCGTTGTGTGTTCAAATTTGATAAATTTGACAAATTTATATCACCCTATTAATATCCCCTTAATTTGTTAGTCCTTTCATCCATTCGAATAATTTAGTCATTCACCCCTTACTCTTCACCTTTTTAGACATATAAACTGAGTTTTCTTGTAGTCTCACCATATAGGAAATTTTGAATTACTGAAATTAACACATCGAAGGAAATTTATGTCCCTTCTGTAGTACCATGATCAAGACTTGAACCACATTAAATGAAGCGTAATCTAAAAGCAAGATAATACTCGATTGATTGTTGTTGCCAGTGGCTGCAATTTTATTATGCATGATAGCGCCCCCACACTCATCCTGTGAGTGGTAGTTTATTGTTATCCCACATTCGTCCTATGAGCAGTGTGTAAAAAGATCCTAGAAAGCATAAAAGGTCTTTAATCCGAGCCAGTGAATGTTGTATGACACCAGTTTTAGCAATTTATCTGTACATTTTATACTTTATTATAATGATAGTACAGACTACTGCTTGCACTGCAACTACTATCTACAACAATATAATACTATACATTGGAAAAGGAAGGAAATTATGAGAAGGAAGCACTAAGACATTATGACTACATAGTACATAAAAGGGACACTAGTATAGGATAGGGGAACAGTGTGAAGGAACTTACTGTATTATATATTGAAGCAAAGCCATTTTCTGCTATGGTACATAAATTTGCAACAGTTTTATTATGTTTTCCTTTATCTGCAAGAAGTGACATTTTAGCATTAGCAATTAAATGTTTTGTCATTTCATTAAAAGTAAGTTTAGATCTATCTGTACATAAAGTTCAATTTTCACACAGTTTGTGCCTGATAGTTCCCTTTCCCCCCATCCTTGTTATCTGATGCACACATTTCATGCCACCTGGATCCCCCATGCAAGCTGAACTGCCAAATATGCTTGTAGCCAAGTAAAATTCAAGCTGTGATATGTCAGTCAATGCAGACACAACATGACATGTCATATACAGTTCCTGTGGCGCAGTGGTAAGACACTCGCCCAGCACTTTGCGAGCGCTCTGACCTGAGTTCGTATCCTGGCCGGGCGCCAATCCTTAACTGTAGCCTCTGTTTACCCAACAGTGAATGGGTACCTAGTTGTTAAATGATTTGGGGAGGTCGTATTCCAGGGAATATTAGGATCAAGGACATGCCGAAAGCGCTATGTGCGCTAGTGGCTTTACAAAAATGTAAGAACTCTTGTATATAAACACAAATAACAAAAAAGTTAGATTTTGTTACTTGCCCTATCCTTTTTTTTTTTTTTTTTCATTTAATCGTGACAGACAATTGGACTGCTAGTACCTCTTTACACTCGGTTTCTTCAAATTCATCTTGGAGTTTTCATCTAATGACACTTTATAGACTGTTTAATAGCCCAAGATTACAATCAGCCTGTCTACTGCAATGTTTTTAATCATTTTGAGTAATACAAGAATAGGTAACAGCTTTACAAGCTGTATGTAATTTAAGATCGTTTTCATCTGCGTCCTCGACCAGGAGGCCTGGTCGAGGACCGGGCCGCAGGGATGCTAAGCCCCAAAACCATCTTAAGGTAACCAAGTAATCTTACTGTGGGATTTAGCATGTACTGTACAATGCCATCTACATATATAATTATAATTTTTTTAACAAAGTTGAGATTGATTTTAGTAAGGCATGTATTAGTACACTGAACAAGTTAGGGCTAGGAATTTCACCTTCACGAGTGCCTAGTTGTTAATTTAGTTTCAGTTTTGGGGCATTGCAGAGGACTTTCAGTTCGCAAATAAACCTTTTATCTCTCGGCAGAAGATCTTGCTTTCCTCGACAATTTTTTACCACCTGGATCCCCCATACAAGCTGAATAGACAAAGATACGTTTAGCAAAGTATTATTTGAGCTATGATAACATCTTTCAGTCTACAAACTTTGGTTATTATTTCCCTGTCTCCTGGCCAAGAATCCTGGTTCTTTGGACAGGCCCCATGATTATCATACTTTAGAAATTTGTATCATAAGTACTATACACAGAATTTTAATAAACTTCCTTGAATCTAAAATACATCTGAACAAAATTAAATGAATAAATTCATCAAAAGTCACATACTTCTTTGAGGTTACCTTTATATGTAAAAATCAGATATCTGCAAATGATTTATTTTTAACAATTACATACAAATAATCACAGCAACATTTGGAAATAAATCACAATTTTGGGTTATTGAATGCAATTCACTGCTATTACAAACAAGTGTTAAAAAGGAATTTTAGATCAAGCATTGCATGACAAATGTCCAATACAGTAATTGGAAAATAATTGTTTTCCACCTTATTATGAATATTGCGCATATTAACTCCATTGTAAATTATAAAACTTACTTCACCCCAAAGAAAGAAAATTCCTTTTAAGAAAACAAATATATACAAGGTAAATGATAGTTCATTTGGCAAAACATCTTCACATTAGTGCCAAGGCTTTATGAAATGCAAGTCTTAAATCTAAATATATATTAACTGTGTATTATACTCATGATTTAAACAACTACGTCACTGTGCAAGCCAGTCTGATACACTACAATTAAGTAACAACAAACTGCAGCACCAGGCAGGTTGGCAATATATAAAAATCTTTGGGATTTACATAGGAAAACGTCACTATTGATAACCAAATCACCATAGTGTAAAATAGGACTGTAAACCTACAAGATCAGATTCCCACAAAATTGCATAAAAACCATAAATCTTTTCAAGTAATTATTCTTTAGCCAAACATTACCCTCATGATGATCAAACGTTCATGCCATCATGGGTTCCTCATAAGTCTATGAGGTCTACTTTAAAAAGCCTTATAGGTCAAATCATTTTACAGTATAATTAATGAAATCTGGCATTTCATACACCAGAATCACAAATTAAAATAAGTTTATTTACATGGGATTAATAAGTAAACTAAAGGATAAAAGAACATTGCAATGAATTATTTTTTGTACATTTAACAACCCTTTGTGAATTTATGTACACTGATAATGACAATGGTAAGAATATAAAAATGAACTAATATTTAGCTTTCACTTAAAACATACCTGAAAATCAATATTTTTTTCAATGCAAAGCTTTTGTATTTGCTAGGCCATAATTCCTTGCCACAAGAAGAACTATTTTTAATAGTATTAAAGCAATGACCAAATTATCTTCTTATTTGACAAGAAATTTAAGTAATGGAAAAGAAACATACTAAATATGGTACGTAAATAAAGCCTCATTCAACACATGACTGAAGAACTATTTTAGTATTAAATACTATTTTAAATAAGAATAAGCAAGGAACTCATACTTTCTGGAAACAAAGAAAATGAATCTTCAAAAGATATGGGAATAGATAAACTGCACTGTACACACAGAAAAAAATGACTCAAAATGTAAACGAGTTTCACTACAATGGCACATACTTCACTACATTCATTCCAACAATCTCTCAAATGCTCGCAAGTTTACAACACATCAACAGCAAGGCCAGATTAACCCAAGTGATCCTTAATGACACAAGGATTACTCTCCCAACAAACCATTTCTCATATACTTGACTTTAAGTCAATTTCATCGTTGATTATGCCATGGCTCCAAATACTGGGTTGTGTCTGCAGATGCTCGGCCCCTTCTCCTCGTACTCTGCTTTTGTGTGACACACCTGGTAGAAGTCAGGCTGAAAAAAACAAAAAAATAAATATGTAACCAAGGAAGGAAAGAAAATTATCAGGAGAGTACTAAGCCAGTATGACTACATTGTGTAGCACTAGAAAGGGATATGAGGCAGCCCTGTCCTCCTAAGGTTTCCCCAACATCAAGAAAACTGTCAATTTAAAGTGTCCTCTACTAACCTACCAGATGACCTAAAACAGAAAACGGGACAGTACGAGGACAAAGAAACAAAGAGCCAGAGCTCAACACCCGCAAGCACAACTAGGCGAGTACATTTATGTCTCCCACTTTGACATTGTATAACTAAAGCATTACATATTCAGTCTTAGGTACAAGTCCAATATATCATTAAGTGTTCCAATATTCATATAGTATTTACAGAGTTCAGCATACCTCAGCCCAGGAGGGCAAAAGTCAGTCAATAGTGGACATTCTACAATATAATGTTCAAGAGCGTGCATATTTTCTCTTTCACAAAGTTGACATTGTGTATTCAACATTTGGGGTTTGAGAAAGCTGCCAGATATGTCTATATCCCAGGAGTATTCTGGCCACTATAGAATCACATTGCAGTTCTTGCTCTAATAGATTCATATATGAATGTCTCCTCATGATATTTATCATAATGTTTAATGGTACAGCTTTCCTGTCTTTGTGAATTTGGCAGGTCAGTAAGATTTTCACAAAATATTTGTTTGAGTATTCTCTTTGTCACTGCTAATGAAATGCCCATATCAATTTCTACTACAAGTACTGGTTTTATAAAGGCTGTTTTTGCAAGCATGTCAACAGCATCATGCTTTGAGATGCCAACATGTGATGGTATTCAAAGGAAATTAATATAAAAACCATTTTCTTTAACAGCTAAATCATTCCTTCAAATATCACTGACTATTTACTTGGTGTTCAATGCCAGGAGTGCACTCTGCGAGTCACCATATACAAGTCCACTACCTTTGTCTTTTAAAAATTCAGTGGCAAGGTATATGCCGGCAAGTTTAGTTTGAGTTGTACTAGTCCAGTCATTGACATGGTTCACTGCTGTATGTACGAGAAGATTGCTTAAATATATTACATGCACATCTGGTACACCTTCTACAGAACCGTCAGTATAGCACTGATACACGTCGTTACCCATAACCTGGGTACTCTTGAGTGCTTTCTACTGTGCAAGATATGGTGAATAGATCAGTGTAATTCTGCATTACACAACAGTGTCTGTAATCATCTTTTTCTATACACTTTCCTATCATTTCCATGATGATACCTTCAAACCCCATAAAAATGGGAAATAAGGTAAAGATCATATTCAGCCTGAATAAATAATGTGCCAATGACAGATGAACTTATAAGCAGGGCATAGCAGCTCTAGCAATTCTACTGCCTAACCACATTAGGCATATGTATATCTCCAAAGAATTGTCATGTTCAAAAAAGGAAAATCTGGGAGAGACTGATTTTAAGGGAAAAGTTATCAAGTCATAAAACGTGTTAAAAAGCAGCTTTGAAAGTTCAAGAATTTTTGCATGATATATTACCAGAACCCACTCTGCATCTTATACTTGGGAAAATATGAAATTTTCACCCTCCCCTCCCCCTCCCTGATGTGATGCCTCTCCACCCATGAAATTGAGAAAGTGGGCAATGATAATGAATTACTTAGCATACTTACAGTTGATGCAAGCATAGAGCCACCAAACCAAACTGCATAACGCTGCATTTTGTGCGCAATAACATTTACATCAATGGGCTTGGGCTGAAAAAGAATGCAATTACATATCTTAGTAAGACCCACTAAAGAAACTGTAGTACTAGTCCTTACTGTTCTGATCACCCTGATAAAGAAAACAATACAAGTTTATTTAATTATATAATGTGGATCTTTACTTATATTTTAATATTAGAACACACCTTAATGCGACCACCACTGAGTTGTTCTGTGATTCGTAGTCTAGCATCAACAATACGCTTCACATCCCTCTGTAGACGGCGATCGAAGTCTTTAAACATGGTTGATCCACCAGACAAAACGATATTCTTATATAGAGGACGACGGACATCGATGGGGCAGTTCTGGATCACATTATCTACAACTTCACTGATTGGAACAGTGAAGTCAGGGTTAGCAAACTGAAATTGAGGTGGCAAGACCATTAATTGTAATTGGTGATCTGAATGGTAAATTAACAATATAATACCGAGATTTACATAATAGGTGAAAATGGTGTCCCAAGAATAAAATGAAAGCTACAGATTTAATAATTTATGCAATGAAAGCATTAATACTAATACATTCTGTGTTTTAAATAATGAAATTGTGTGGTAGAACAGTGATCACAAGAGTACCATTCATGAAATTACAGATAACTTTATCAATGATGTACAAGGTGGATACTGTGGTGGAAGAGGGTGTGTAAAGGTATTTGCATCGAGATGGCTTGCAGAGAAGGCACTCAAGAGACTAAAGTCTACGATATTTTTTACTTTAAAAAGAAAACACGTATGAAAACGTTAATGGAAAAGGACTCTGAAGAATGTTGAGCTTGTATGGAACTGGTAGAGCTAAAAGCTGATTAACTGTGTAATAAGTTTCTATGCAAGTAGCAGAATATGTGTAAAGTTAACGATATAATGATTGTCTGCTCTAATGTTAACACTATCGGTCACCGGGCATGCGCGCGGTCAACTTAGGGGTCATGCACCCAACGTGCGGGCGAGCGTGCGGGTAAGCGCGTGTTGACACCTAAATGTGTATACTCGTTTCAGCTTTCTCACCTTAATTCTCGTGCTACGTCGTTCGTTTTGGCATCATGTTCGCAATTAAATTCCCGACAGGTGTGTATAAATATAATGTCCAAAAGACTAGCGTGACTCCCAACAGCAAAGCCTAAAGTCGGCAAAAGTTACCCGTGAGCGCACAAAATCAGTAAAATGTGCATACTCATTCCATTTTTCTCACCTTAATTCTCATGCTACGTCGCTCGTCTTGGTATCATTGTGTTTGCAATTAAATTCCCTACAGATGTGTATGAATATAATGTACAAAAGCCTGGAGTGCCTGCCCACAGAAAAGCCTAAAGTTACCCGTGAACAAGCACCAATTTGTACACTGCGACCTAATGTGTATACTCGTTCAGTTTGATAACATCAATTTTCATGTTACGTCTTTCATTTCGGTATCAAATGGTTCGCAATAAAAAGGAGCGTATTTTAAAACTAGTCCCATAATAATAAGAGCATTAACTGGAATTTTAACAAATATTTTAATTCTGGAAGCTCATCATAAAATTATTTATATCTTTCCAGTGTTCTGACATAAATGTGTGTGTTACATCTTATATTTTGGTATCAAATTGTTCGTGACATAAAGGCGTGCATTTTAAAACTAGTCCCAACATAATAGCACAATAAATAGAATTTTAACAAATACTGTATTATAAAATTTTGACCAAAAACCTATTTATAATCATATAAGTGTTCGGACATCAAGTTTCACGTTACATCTTTCATTTTGGTATCAAATTGTGCGCATTCTAAAGGCGCTTATTTTGATACTATCCCTAGGTCGATTGGATAAAAAATTAATTTTATACAAATATTTTTGTAGTGGACGCAAGTCCAGTTCTCGGTTAGGACTCGGGAGAAAAATAATGGGAGAGAGTCCGGTCCAAAGTTACCGATAGTGTTAATGAAGATGTTTGTCGGAGTTTGTCACTCGCGTTATTCAATCTAAATATGTTATGAAGGAGGTGTATGCCTAGGGTAAGGTATAATCCTAATGAATAACTGGAGAGTGGCCATTGCAAATTTGATATACAGTACAATATGTAGTTTATATGGTTTCACTCTTTTTAGTAGAATGAAAGAACTATGTGGACCAGTTAAGGACCTTTCAGATCTGTATAAGAGAAGACTTTAAAGTGAATATGAACAAAAGGTAGGGAATAAATATGAAAATTCCGAGTGCCAACTTGTATGACAGAGACGAGAATGTGGTATGGAGCGTAATGGAATGAGGAATGAAAATGCAATATAGAGATGTGGCATGCAAAAGTTAATTCACTTTAAGATTAAGGCGAGCATATTGAGCAAACAATGGTTGACTGATGAAGAGCACATGTTCGGGTGAATTTAAGGATACGAGGAGGAGAAGGCCAGGAAGAAGTCACAGAGACACGACGAGCGAGAGTGAAACAGTGGGGAGCGAATGCAAATAAGCTGTGAACAAGTGAGGAAGGATGAAGTGAATGCAAGGAAGCAGGGTGCAAGTGTGATCAAGTAGGAACAACACAAGGATATGGTATGAGTAAAGGCAATGGAAGTGGAAGAATGGAGTAAATATATTTGTATATACAACCATTCACAAGGAGCACTGTCATCTAGTCTAAAAAGTGATGAGGCTGCTGCTACTATGGCTGACGGCTAGTGTTAATGAATTGTGAATAGTATAATGGACGATCAAGTAATATTTTTAATGTTTTTATTTTCTTTTTACTAAATCACACACTTACCATTTTATCTACATCTGATACCTTACCACACCATGAAAGTGGGAACTGGGTAATAATATGTATGAAACCATTACCAATTGTCAACTTTAAAATTAATATCCTACAGAAACAAAACAAAAAATGCAAAGCTATCATTTTATATATTAAGTCGTTCAACAATAACAAACATTATCCAGATCCATTCATTAACAAAATTTCAAAATTTACTCTTATCAAGCATACTATCTAGAAAATGCTGGTTTAAAAAGTAGAGAACACGACATAATTAAATAATTTTAGGCCGAGTGAACTTGGCCAATATAATTCAGAGTTCATTTGGGCAGTAGGAATGTACAATTACACAAACACCATCATTCTAAATGTGTCAGCATTAATACCTCTGGATGAAAGAAGATCTCGGGTCCCAGGAAGCGCTCATAGCCAATATCAATACCAAAGGTCTGGTTGTTCACCGGATTCTTTCCTTCGTATCTCTTAATCCATTTTGACTGGTCACTATCGTACTTATTGAATTCTTTTGCAATATCTGGGCAGATGTAGCTGAACTTCTCTGTAAACAATCACTATAATAAATATCATATTCAAAACTGATATTATGCTAAATATTCACCAGTACAAAGGAACACTTAAAAAAGAGAATAGCTGCATCACAAAATATAGGCTTTTAAGTATACAGCAAAAACACACACAATAGCTAGATAGTTATTACAGTACATATGAATAGGACAGAGCTCCAAAATGGTTTGAGCATGTTCACGGAATGAGATAAAGAGTGCTGAAGTGTACAAGAGTAAAATATAAGAATAGGAGGAAAGAATGGCCAAGATGATGATCACAAGTTTGAAAGAGAATTAGCCAATTAGTACAAGGGCACAATAGGCAATTATCTATGAGAAACTTTGTAACTAGATGATCTAATGCTTGATTCACCTCTTACCTTTCACAGCCTTAGCAGTCTCCATACTCAACTGTGGTGGAATATTTGGTTCCCTCTCTCTCAACAAGCTCTGCACAAAGTATGTGATGTCTCGGCCGGCAATCGGAATGTGTTTGATGCAGCTTCCAATGACGTACCCATCAGCCTAAATGAGAAGATACAGCATTATAATTTTAAATATTGTACTGCATTTTCGAACTATAATACATCCTGCACATTCAAATTGAAGCAACCAGAAAAAATGTCCATTAAATATTTAAGTAATCAGTCAATGCAAAGTTAAGAAAAATGTTTTATGATGAAAATTATATTTTCCACCCAAATGACAAAGTTCAAAAAATTTCCGTAATAGGGGTCACAGACTCCCAAAAGAGTACAGTAATGATAATATAATAATGCCAAGGAATGGTATTTCTAATTTAGATCACATAAGGTTAGCATAGAAAGCTAGCCATTATAAGAAGTGTTAGTTCTTAAAACTACAAGATTATGGAAATCCATAGAAGTATCAAAGTGTGAATTAGTTGGTGTCGTCAGGTATTGACGGGATATATCGGAAACACCTACCCAGCGGGCGCTGACAAGTTTAACAAATTCTATACCCAAAACTGTCACCATTGTGTTGGGGAAGTTGGTACTCCAAAACTAAAAAGCAAAATATATGTATATATATATAACTCAACACAGTAGCCTACAGTACAGCACTCGACTGCATGGCCTAAAGCAATTTGACTGAATCAACTCCACAACTACAAACTAAAACACTTGCATAAATGTAACCGCACCAGGATAATTTATCTTTGAGAAACGTTGGGGCCACAAAGCTTCTAAGTGGTATAGTACAAGGAACATGGATTTTGTTCTTCATCGTAAAGAACCTCAACACGGTAGGGGGGGGGAAAAAACATCCTTAACTATACAGTAAATTCTCAAAACTGTCACCAAGACAGTACAGAGACCTGAATAAAATCAATTTATATAACTGTTATAAATGTACTTCTAACTGTTGAGATAACCAAAATTTAGATGCAGAACAGGATACAAAAATAGAATTACCTCAAAAATTACCACCAAAAATGTTAAAACACCACAGCATATTATAATTTGGACACACATACCAAAATAAAAAATTCACTAAAATAATCATCGACCTTGATTAGCGAGAGATTAGACTTGGAGGGGGGGGGGGAGGGAAGCTATGTATGGTAACCCCTACAACTTATTCCCCATTCACTCTACTCTCCATGTACAAATCCTATGATATTATCACCCAATTTTCAAAATGTCCAGATAGCCAGTGTGAGCATTCTTGAAATTGCAGGTTGGTATACAGTGATTAGGGCTAACACTGGGGGATCCGGTCGGCCGAGCGGACAGCACGCTGGACTTGTAATCCTGTGGTCCTGGGTTCAATCCCAGGCACCAGCGAGAAATAATGGGCAGAGTTTCTTTCACCCTATGCCCTGTTACCTAGCAGTAAAATAGGTACCCGGGTGTTAGTCAGCTGTCACGGGCTGCTTCCTGGGGGTGGAGGCCTGGTGGAGGCCTGGTCGAGGACCGGGCCGCGGGGACACTAAAGCTCCGAAATCATCAAGATAACCACCCTCTCAAGAACACTGAAAAATTACTTTCTCCAACTGTCTAAACAACTAAATCTTACAATATTAGGACATCCTACTTTGTAAATGAGTGCCAATAAACAGATTTAATTTTCACATTTTATAAATACAATACAAATTTTGTAATATAGTATAAATTCACAGATTGGAAAAAAATAAGGTACGAAAAATCATCTAAATTGCTTTTGCGATATAAAAATACAGATACTGTTCATACAGCATATTTTAGAAAGTTCAAGTAACTCATACACCGGCTACACTAACCACTGGTATAACATGAGTAACACCATCGCCCGAGTCGATCACAGTTCCAGTTAGAGAGCGCTCCGTCGCTTGACGGGATGCCCAGGAAGCTGCCAACGAGAGCACTGCCTGCACCGCAATATACAGACCTGGCACGTTGAAAGACTCGAACATGATTTCTGTGCAAGAGAAACAAACATTTATACCTTTTGTGTACAAGACAAAAATGTTGAATTCATTTGTGTTAGTGAGCAATTATAATTTATCAAAACAATTGCTAAACATTAAAATTTCAAGAAAACAAAGGTCTCACTTGAAACTATATACATGTTGAACCTCTGCTTTGCCTTAAGTACTTTTCAAACCTTCCTTGGCAAACACCTTGCTTCCTAATGCAAGTCATATTGACAATAATGGCAATGATGAAAAGAATACTAATAGATACATGTCTGATACATAGATACTAATTCTGCTGTGAACTGATAAAATGCTTGGGTATGAAGAGAGGTAAAAACTTCCCATGCCACTGACACGTTATAAAAACATACAGTACTGTACAGTATTAAAAGTCAAAGTACAAAGAGGGGGAGGGAGGAGGCTATGAGCATTACCGAAACACTATGTGTACTAGTGGCTTTAGGTATTGTATGTACTAGCTCTATCAATAAATCCAACATTATGTTTGTAAATCAACTATGTATGTATTTTCCTGAATAAAACTTACTTTATTTTACATTCCAGTGACAGCAAACATTGTACAGAAGAAATAAAAAAAAAAAAAAAAATTCTAAGACCTTTTACAATGACAGACCGTCACAGACATATTTGGTGGAAGATTTTCACACACACAAAAGATGATGACAATTTGAAACAAATGATAAAAGCATCCACAACACATTAAAAATCATTGCAAGACTACACTAACCTGCCGTGTACTCGCGATTCTCTGGAGTGTTGAGTGGAGGTTCTGTCAACAGGAAGTAGTGATCCTCAGGTTCAGCTCGGAGATATTTGAATATACACTGCTCCATGAACTTCTCCATAAGATCCCAGTCCTCCACAATGCCATGCCGTACTGGATACTATCACAGTCCAAATTATGACAACAATTAATATAATATATAATTAATAACAGTATGTGCTCTTTACACACTCTTTGTAAAATACACTACTCTCTAGCTTTATATATAAAACACAGCTTTTTGTTACAATATGTTATTTCATTGTGTGTATTTGGGACCTGGCCTTCCAGTATCTCCCGTGGATTTATTATGTGACTGATAACGATTTTGACTGATGATTGAGATGCTGATGACTGTGCCAACTGATAACTGCATCTCATAACTGCCCATGTCCGATGACTTGACTATCAGCTGACCATATTTGCCAACTAATGAGTGTCTGCTGGCTAATAACTGTTAATTAATGTGCGAGATAATTGATGAATCTTGACTCTTGAATATTCATGATAAACTTGATTTTGAATACCCGTTTCTTTTAATAGCCCAAGATTCATTAACTTGTTTATATTTATTGACTGGACACTTAAACGGATCTCACAATCTCATTTTACCCATCTTAGCATTCAAGATGACGGCCATAAAATCCTATTTAATAACGAAGGACTTTGCAGGGAGGTATCACTTTCTCTAAAAAGTACCCTCACTGATATATTCAAATAGGTTCCAGTGATGTCATATATACAGTATCATCATCAAGGGAAGCCCAAACTAGCAATCAAAACACCTACCTACTTCCTCTATATCACTGCAACACTGGGTAGCTATTAAAAATAGTAATGGATTGTTTTTGGTATTTACTAATCGGTAATCACTGATGTCGAGACCATTTACAAGGTCACTGTGTGGATTCCTCAGAAATAGTTATGCTGTGATTATTATAAAGATTTGCAGGTGCTTCTCATTTACTATGTCATTGTCTGCAAGCCCTCAGACCACAATATATAATGTTGTCTTCAGTTTTAACAATTACAATGAATAAGTATCAGTCTTTCTGCAGTATCTACCAAAAAAAACCAAATTGGTACCTGTACAGTTCTAAGCACCAGTTTACATGAACTTGAAACATTTTTGTTATATGTTTTTACAAGTTGTTAATTGTTGTTGCATTTGTACCATATATAAATAATTGTAGCTTATTCAAGTTTCAGTACCAGCTAATGACATCAGCGGCAACACTTCCTGACCACAGTACCCAGTGATTAGTGCAGGTAATTTAATCTGATAACAACAAGTCTTGACAACTTACTTTAACAGCATATCCAGTAGCATCCATAGCTTCATCGCCAATGAAGAAGTCTAAATCTTCAACGCCCTTACATAGTCTGCGTTGGGACTGTTCCCCAACCTTGGCCGTCTCCTTGATGGCCACTGCCGAGGGAATAATCATCTGGGGTTCATGGTTCCCAGCAAACCCCAATTTAGTATACCTGAAAATATAAAATAGTTAATTTAGCAAATAATTTGTAGAATGATTATTTTATGGCTTAAGCCAGAACTTTTGGTCTAATAAAAAAATTTGGGCCCAAAATACAAAATAAAATAAGATACTGTAAATGTTACAGTACTGTATATGGCATTGGTATTCTCAGTGGAACTGCCAGAAACAAAATATTTTTTACTGTAAATTACAGTACAGGGAATAAATAAATAAAATATTTATATTTATATATCCTGTATATTATATTATATTTATATATTATATTATATTTATATATTATATTATATTTATATATTATATTATATTTATATATTATATTATATATATATATATATTTATATATTATATTATATTTATATATTATATTATATTTATATATTATATTATATTTATATATACTGTATATTATATTTATATACTAGCAGTACCCGGCCACGCGTTGCTGTGGCAGCATTGCCGAGCCACAGCAACCGTCCCTGTCCCCCAGTCTTCCCCATCATTCCCCCCCCTCACCCGTCTCCTCAGCCTCCTAACCATTCCCCACTACACCGTCCCCTCTTCCTTCCCACCATGCCCCACTCCCCTGTCCATTTGTCCTCCCCACCATGCCCTACTCCCAAGTCCCTTTGTCCTCCCCACTATTCTCCATTTCCCCCATCCCTTCGTCCCCACCATCCCAAACTCCCCCGTCCCTTCATCCTTCCCCACCATTACCCCCTCCCTTGTCCCCTCGTCCTCCGCACCATCTCACACTTCCGTCCCATCATCATCCCAACCATTACCCACTCCCTCGCCCGATGCCTTCCCAAATGGTCTGATGTTCCCATCAGAAAATTGGGAACATTAAGTAATCTAATATTCCTATCACTGTTATATAAGAAAAACAGTTAAAAAATGAAATGAAAATATGAAAAAATAAAAAAATAAACTACTCTCACGAAATGAATGGCCTGGAAAAACAACACAGCTCAATTCCAACACTATTCACACAAAATAATTAAATCAAAATGAAAATAAATCAAAATCTAGGAAAATTCAATTTATCAATGCAATCAGAAACATTGAAATGGAATTCGTGATATATCAAGTATAACATGTCTGTTGCTCTTACATGCAACAGATGGCGCTGTTCTTCAAGAAAAGAATAGTTTTACCTGTCACAGGTGTGGTATCTATACTTATACTTATGAAATGAACGGTATGGTAAACAACACAGCTCAATTCCAACACAACGTCACAAAATAATTCAATAAAAATAAAATAAATCTAAATCTATGAAAATAAAATTTATCAATGCAATCGGAAACATTGAAATGGAATTCGTGATATATTTAGTGCATGTTGCCATTATGTGCAACAGATGGCGCTGTTTTTCAAAAATGCATGTTTTTACCTGTCACAGGGTTGGCATCTATATAGTAGGTATATAAAAAGATGCGCCTATTCGAATGCTACGTTGTGTCAAAATTTCAAAGCAATTGGTGAAGAACTTTCGGAGATTACGGTGTGTGTTGCCCTAACGTCCAACAGATGGTGCTGTTTTTTCAAAAATAGTATGTTTTTTCCTGTAGGTAAGGCAGGTATATAGTAGATATATAAAAATATGCGCCTATTCGAATGCAACGTTGTGTCAAAATTTCAAAGCAATCGGTAAAGAGGTTTCGAAGATTTCCCTCACATGAAAATCAAATTTTCAGAAAACGCATGTTTTTTACCATCACAGACATGATAACTATATAGTATGTATATAAAAACCTGCTCGCAGGCGAATGGAACCTGGTTGATACCTGGTTGATGGGGTTCTGGGAGTTCTTCTACTCCCCAAGCCCGGCCCGAGGCCAGGCTTGACTTGTGAGAGTTTGGTCCACCAGGCTGTTGCTTGGAGCGGCCCGCAGGCCCACATACCCACCACAGCCCGGTTGGTCCGGCACTCCTTGAAGGAAACAATCTAGTTTCCTCTTGAAGATGTCCACGGTTGTTCCTGTAATATTTCTGTTACTCGTTGGTAGGACGCTGAACAACCGTGGACCTCTGATGTTCATAAGTTGTGTGAAAATTTCAAAGCAATCGGTGAAGTACTTTTGGTGATTAGCGATTTTGAACAAACAAACATTTCCTTTTATTTATATAGATTACATATATTGATTATATAATTGAACCAGATCAATTATCTTTCCCATGCCCAAAACTCTTGTTAATTCAAGATTTTCTACGAAATATCTTGGGAAGTTGTAACAATAAAGGATTAAGATTATATAGTTTCATAACTATTTTCAGAATAACATTTTGGCACTTGCATTGAACAAAATTTATCAAAACCTATGCCATCTAAAATAGAAACTATACATGATTTCTTCCAATATGGACCCATTGGCTTTCCCACACCTGCAGCTAAATTATATTTACTAATGTTATAAACCCTAACAAAATATTTACAAAGATATGTACCTATTTAGAACATTTTACTCTCAAAATTTAACCACGTGATATTTAAATCAGGCCAATTCACTTTTTCCAATGCCCTAAACTTTATGATCTAATTCACCTTTGAAATATCTTGAGAACCTATCCCAATTAATAATTTAAGAGATTACGTCGTAAACATTTTCAGAATAATAACTGACACTTTCAATGGCCTAAACTCTGCCCTTTAATTGCCAGGAGGAGCAATCCCCTTGAATAAAATGTACACAACTATGAACCAACTCCCAAGTTAGTGTGTGCCTACGTCAGAATAACAGACCAGGACCCCCACCCCCCACAATGCATCTGCTGCAAACTAGCAGCAAAACTCCACCACGTGGCATCGTGAGTACATCGAGAGTAGGAGGGCGTCTCCAGAGAATGGGTAACTCAAACACTCTTGAGGCAAATGTTAGAAACAGGGATTGCAATCTCAATGGAACTTGCATTGACCAATCCAGCCAGATGCACCGATTAGGCTTTGATAAGAATCTTCAGACCTCCTTCAGTCGTCATATCTTGCAATACCTTCTGGCCAGTTAAGAGCTGGTCGTTTACCACATACTACTAAAAACTTGAATTATTACTAAGAATTATAAATTATATGAGCCAGCAGACCTACTCCAGCACTAACAGGTCGCTGCGTATCAAAGACTGTTTGCTAATAGTTTTTAAGACAGTTTGCCAATGAATTTTAAAACCCGAGTAACGCAACTCAACCCAACTTATGGCAAACTAAACTAACAGTATAAATGACTTGTACTGTACAACTGAAATGAAAAGTTTTGTCGAGACACCACCGTACAATTTGACCACACCTCATTCTAACATATGCTAACTAGCCTAACTTAAAGAACGTCATCAAAATGCCCATGTATGATCTGACACATACCCCCTCTCACAGACTAGGGAGCAATGGGCACTGTACCATACCCCAAAGCTGGGTATTGAGGTACCTACCACACACACATCGTCCCACATTGGCTTTGATCATCAGTTTAAAGTTCATCTCAGGTACTACAAATATAAGAGAAGCACAAATGGGGCGATTCGTTCCATAAAACAGTACAAGTTCACAGCCCCTGGTGACAGCTCACGTTCTTAGGGGGGGAAGATATACAGGTGTCACTCACTCACTACTACACTCCCCAACCCCACACCCTTCACCCTGTGACTTCCCAGCCCGCCCACCCCAGGCCTCCACTCACCCTGTGCCGACATCGACGATGCACGGAGGCAGCCTGCCTGTCATTATGGGAGGGTTGAAGGCTGAGGCTGGAGGAGGAGGAGGCAGGCAAGAGTGTTATCGTGGGGTGTAAACACTTCCGCCGGCGTCAGCGCCTCGCCCAGGACCACACTCGCCCCTCATTGGCTCCTCCCGCCGCTACTCTCAACTACCGCCAACTTCAATTTCCCCCCTACCATACTACTTGTGTAAAGAAGGAAATGTATATGTTTATCTCTCTCTATTACCGTATTACTTCGGTAATACGTTTATTGTTTGTGATGTGTATCTATGTATGTATTAACACGATGTACTGAACGGGGTGAGAATAGCTTGAGCTACCTCATCTCTTTGTGACTAGGAAATGTATATGTTTATCTCTCAGAATGTTTGGTAATGTTTATTGCTTGTGATGTGTGTCTATGTATGTATTAACACGATGTACTGAACGAGGTGAGAATAGCTTGAGCTACCTCATCCCTTTGTGTGTACTTTACCTCAATAAACTTATTTCAATTTCAATTTGACCCAGTATTAATTCTCCCTTTATTATCTCAATAAATATTCAAAATTATTTATATTCGGTATTTTTTTATCAATTTATTATAATTATTTTGCTCTCCCTTCCTCCCCATCTCACCCCTTCCCCCTTTATGTACCATCTTTCTCGCTCAAGCAAATTCAATTTCTTTCTTTATTATGCACCCGATACCCATCCCGTGGGCGGTGGTGTAAAGGATTACAGAGGCACATAATCGGTTCAGGAACTGAACCCTCTAGTTCGTTTAGCTAAGCAAATAACAATTTTTGACGCTAGTTACAAAATTATTCTCAAGCAAATGTAATCTAAAATGCTAAATTCATTGTTGCTTTCAATAGGAGGCTGGACGTGTAATTATAAGGCATACAACTGGGAAAGGATAATAATAATTATAATACAGTGAAAATATTTGCCTGGAAACGATATATATACGGGTTAGATTACACTGTATTGATACACATGGAATAGCAGTGTTATCATTTCTCTTCACAACAGATAGGGGGATCTCAATCCCTGTGTAAGATACAATTATTGCTGGAAACGTTTCCTTTTACCGGATGCCTCTACTCACCTACTGTTCGGTTTAGACTCTTTTTAAAAGTCCCTCTGGGAATTTGTATTATCTGCCCATGTAGACATGACCAAATGAAAACTATCAGCAAAATTGTTCGCACACCCTGAGTCACTATATTTGTGTGTTGTGGCGTGCGAAACAAGAAATTAATTTAGAGACAGCTCTATAACAATACAGTGGTTGGGTACCTAGTTGTTAACGATTGGCGGGTCGTACTCCAGGTAAACTAGTGGATAAGGCTTACAATGAGCTATGGGATGGGAAAGTCTGAGCCTGCTAACAGGTCAAGTACTTACCTATCGATTGACTGATGAAGATTAAGCCACCCAAAAAGTGGCACGGGCATTAATAGCCCGTAAGTGGTGGCTCTTTGGAGCCATTACCAGTATCAATAGCTGATACTGGAGATCTGTGGAGGTGCTACTGCACCCTGCGGAGAGGTCGTGACCTCTGACTTACCTATCAGTGACTACGCGGACTTGAGGTCAAGCACTCTATGCCCCGCCCACTAGCTTTGTTGTAACCAGTGCGTTAAAGCTTCACTATTATAATAATCAATATCGTCGTCGAACCTTTCCTAAAAGTTGTGACTGGAGGTGGCTTCCACAACTTCTTCTCGTAGTGCATTCCACTTAGTTGTTGACCACCCCCACAGGGTACGACTGACTATACTTAGCCAGGTTTCTGTTAAAAGCTACGAGTATTTCCTTACATTCCTTCGACTCATTTGCGATTCCAGCTTCCACTTGTGTCCTCTTGTCCTAATTTCTCTCAACTTAATGAGGTTACTCTTATCCACATTGTCTATTCCTCTCAGTATCGTGTACGTTGTTATCATATATCTCCTCTATTTCTTCTGTTATCTAAGATTGTGAGATCCATATTTCCTTCAGTCTGGCCTTATAACTTAACCCTCTAAACTCTGGCACTAATCTAATTGTAAGCCTCTGCACGTTTTAAATTTTAGTTTTATGTTTCACAAGGTATCATGAAAAGTATCAAGAATTCCAAGCAGGTGCCGCATATTCCAGTACAGGTCACAAGAGCTGTGTAGATTGCTGTGAGCGCGTCCTGATTTAGTCAGCAGTCATTTATATCTATTCCTGTACCCACCAGTGTAGAAAGAAAGTTCAAGAAATGTGTAAATATTTCATCGAGCTGTAACCTTTTCCACCACTACCCACACAATTTGGAGGATGTCGATCCGAACAATTTCTTCAAAAGGTCAGATGTAACACGAACGTGGAGCAACGGGTTCAAGCTCAACAAACAACAATGTAGGACAAAAAACATATGTTTTTTCACCAATAGGGTTGTAAACCCGTGGAACCGCCTACCCGCCGAAGCCGTAAACACCGAAACTATGCTAGGTTTTAAAATACAGCTGGAAAAGATTATCAGGGCAAATGAGGAGGGGGACCTTTGATAAACCGCCGGCTTCCTGTCTTAATCGAGGCCACTAGCATTAATGGCCCTCATGTAATTAAGTAATTATGAATTTTGCTAAAGGTTTTGACAAGGTACCACATGAAAGACTGATAAGGAAATTACAGGCACATGGAATAAATGGGAGAATTCTGGAATGGATAAGATAATGGTTAAAACATAGAAAACAAAGGGTCGTGCTAAATGGGAATGAATCTGACTGGGGGAATATGCTAAGTGGGGTCCCACAGGGGTCCATTTTGGGCCCAACCCTTTTTGTCATATACATCAATGACATAGATGAGACTATTACAAACCACATCATCAAATTTACAGATGGCACAATGATTTATGGTAAAGTGGGAAGTGAAAGTGATATTGCAATCTTACAAAGAGATCTACATGAACTCCACAGATGGTCAGATGACTGGCAAATGCGTTTTAATGTCGAGAATTTCAGACCTTCCATGTAGGGCATAACAATCCACGTCACAACTATCAAATTAACAGCACTACCTTACAGATAGATAGATGAAGAAAAGGACCTTGGAGTCAGAATCCACCATTCACTAAAAGTTGCACAAGTGGCAGCGGCAGTAAAAAAAACCTAACCAAACCCTGGGAATAATCAAGCTTACCTTTACCTTTAAGGAAAATAAGGTAGTCATTCAATTGTATAAGACTGGTGCGCCCCCACCTGGATTATTGCATCCAGGCATGGATGGAGACCTCATCTTCAGAAAGACATAGATACTCTGGAGAAGGTGCAACACCGAGCAACAAAAATCATTCCTGAGCGTAGTATCATGAACGGTTGAGGGCCAAAACAGCAAACCTGGCATGACAGGGCGGCTCTCATTGAAACTTTATAAATACTGAACAATTTGGAGGATGTTGATCCGGACAATTTCTTCAAAAGGGTAACACGAACGAGGAGCAACGGGTTCAAGCTCAACAAGCCACAACGTAGGACTAAAAACAGGAGATGCCTTTTCACCCATAGGGTTGTAAACCAGTGGAACCGCTTACCCGACGAAGCCGTAAACGCCAAAACTCTGCTGGGTTTTAAAATACACCTGGAAAAGATCATCAGGGTAAAATGGGGGGATCTTTGACAAGCCACCGGCTTTCTGTCCTCGTCGAGGCCACTAGAATTAGTGGCCCTTAGATAAATTCAGATAAATTATAATACATTATGCTGGAATACAGCTGAAAAAGATCAAGGCAAAGGAGGGGACCTTCGACAAGCCGCCGGCTTCCTATCCTCGTCGAGGCCACTAGTGTTAGTGGCTCTCGGGTAATAAACGCACTAAAAGAAATAAAATAAAATACAAATAATAAAAAAATAACTAGCCGGGTGGAAGCCGTACACGCAGAAGTAAAGTGTTGTGAGCAAACACAGCCTTATCTCTCGGGAGGTCCGGAGCTAATGTGGAAGAATCATGTTACTATAATTGATAATAAAACCTAGAAACCTTGAGACACCCGTTAGTAACCACGACCTCCCTTTTGTCCATGTGGACCGCACTCTTGAGACGGGTTCATGTATTTTAGTCCGGGCCTCGCTAGAGCATGAATATTGGGGTCAAAAGCTATTTTTGTTAATAATACGGCTCTATGAGGGGCTCTGATCTGTGACTCTATGTACCACAGATCGAGTCCTAACGTCCCAGCCTATTTTTTTTCACAGTAATCATTATCAAATTTTTTTTCTTATACAATTGAACAACAGTATTGGTGATACCGGGTTCGATCCTCCAAGCGAGACACAAATGATTGGGCACGTTATTTTTTCACCTGGTGCCTCTGTTCATCTATTTTACTATCCCCTCCCCCTTGTTAGGATACCTATAAAAAGCTTAAAAATCACAAGAACATTATCTTCATTAACTGACAACATATACAGTACATGTATATGTATAGTATATGTATATTTTGTTCAATTCCCATTTTAATCCAATTTTGGTTTGGAACGATAGTTATGTGAACGAGGACGAAATTCGGGACAGAGACTGTCAACATGGTATGTCTGTTTCGTACACGAGACGATTCAATGAAGCTCGTTTTCTGTTTTTCATATATACTGTATATATTTATACACTGTCACATTTTTCATCACGTGTTAATTTTCGTGATTTACACACACTGTCATATATATATTTATATATATATTATGACAGTGTCAGACCACGAAGGAAGAATTGAAAGAGGAATTTCCTTAAGTACTTTCATATTTAATTATACATCTTCAGAAGGAATGAAGATCTTCATTCCGTCTGAAGATGTATTATTAAATACGAAAGTACTTAAGGGAAATTCTGTTTCAATTCTGCCTCCGTCACATTTTTCATCACGTGTTAATTTTCGTGATTAAGGTTTCAAAAAAATTCGTTGGCGAATCGTCTTGTGTACGATGTGGCGGCTTGTATCCACTGTCAACACGGCGGCTTGAGAATGGCTTCACACCCCCATGACTCCCGGAGGTGTTGAGGCCTTGGTGTTGCCGGGTGCTGCTTCCTGACCACCACACTTCACCACTCACCTGGCCCGCTACCTGTGTTGTTTATACTAGTTAGTGGGTGGTAGTTTACTAGTTCCAGAGTCGAATATAGTGAACATTAGTCAATGCAAGACTGTGTGGTTTGTCTGGCAAGTTTATCTGCTATGTTTATGCTGTGTTTATCTGCCATGTTGTATTGACACAACTGAGACAAAGTGCTGAAGCAGATTGTATTATACGTAGACTTAGAGAGGCTTGCACCGTGCTTAGAGGCACAAAAGATTTGCTTTAATGTAGTTAATGTACTTAGTGTGCAATAATGTCAAATACGAATTTAAGATGTTGAGAAACCCCCATATACTTAGACTACCACAATGATGAATCTTGGAGTAGTTATCAGTAGATATCTGAAATATACACAGTAATGTCTATCTGTGAGCAAAAAGACCATACTGACTGTATTTTGTGTTGGTCAAACCATACCCTGAGTACACTGAATAATACAGTTTTGGACTTCTAATTCCAACAAAATTCAAAGAAGCATGAGAAGGTACAGTAAATGTGGACTAATATAATTAAGAAATAATTTTCAGAAGATACTCTGATATAAACATTTTTATCTTAAGGGTAGCCTATAAGGTGACCTGAATTTTAATAAGCTCGGTCGTAAGTTTTTTTAATGGCTGGTACAGTATATTTGGCTATGAGAAATAATACCATGAATCTTGGGGAAAGTTGGTGCAATTGAAATGTGCGACAGTTTCTTTGCCTACAAAGCTCTAGAACATTAGAATAAGAACATTAGAATGTATTGTTAACTGATGTATTTTCAAATTCATTACAAACATTTAAGAAATGCTTTGCAGTATATTTTGAAACTATTTATGTAAATAAAGCCATATTTTAACATCACTGTATAAGACTGATGAGAGGGGTGAAAGAAGTAAAAAAAAAAAAAAAAAAAAAATGGATTCCTTGTGCCTGGTTTTAACAGCGATTGTAATTGTATCATTAGTATCAATATGGTACTCTGGTGGCAAGATAAGCTCATTATTCTGTTACTTCCTAAGCTTTTTTTCCTACCAGCAGAATAAGCTGAGGGAGTACAGTAGAGAGCGGGGAGAGAGCTGTGTTCTTTGCTAGTTTGACCTTTAGGTCTGTGTATATAATGAGTGAAGAATTGTGAATTTAATGATGTATCTCCAGTGTTAAGAAAATAATAATGCTTAATTTAATACCCAATTCACTATTATGAAATCATATTTTTTGTTTTAGGAATCACTGAAGCCATTTTTTTTTTTTGTCTTTGCCTCCCATCTTATAAGGAAACATTATCTTCTAGGCAAGATGCTGTTTCTTTGGAGAAGGAGAATCAAACTGTTAATGCAACGACTTTATAACCTTCCTCGTGAGACAAGGTGAGAGAACAAAGTATACGTTGAATCAGTAGTTTTAAGAAATTTGTTTGCAGGCACAGTGTACTTAATGTTTACTGGAAATTGGGCAATTGTATATCAAATTTATTTTAGAATATTTACAAATAAAATTATATAAGTGCTAGCTATAGCTATCGTATGATCTCTTTTAAATATTTAACATTTTACTTTTATTATTAGTAGTAGTAGTTTTATATGTAGTATTATAGACTATAGTGTTATACACATGCTGAAGTAACCTGTAGGCCACCATCTGTAATTGCCTCAATGGGAAGAGGTAACTTGTGAAAGCCCACCTTCCCACACATTATTCCCAAGATTATTTTTTCCCCATAAGTATTTAGAACTGTAGTACAGTATGTATGTACTGTCTTCGTGTCCACAGCTTTGGCGGGTAACAGATTTCATTGGTTCATTACCTAAGGAAAAAATGCATCTCGTATTGTCTTTCCTACATTGAGCTGCTGCCTCATTGAGTTACCATGAATGTTTACAAAAATGTGATGTGGCTTAATGAACCTTAGCAGTCTCCGTGGTGTAGTGGTAAGACACTCGCCTGGCGTTCCGCGAGCGCTATGTCATGGGTTCGTATCCTGGCCGGGGAGGATTTACTGGGCGCAATTCCTTAACTGTAGCCTCTGTTTAACGCAACAGTAAAATGTGTACTTGGATGTAACAACGATTCTTCGCGGCAGGGGATCATATTCCAGGGACCATAGGATTAAGGACTTGCCCGAAACGCTACGCGTACTAGTGGCTGTACAAGAATGTAACAACTCTTGTATATATCTCAAACAAACAAACAAACATAAACAAACCTTTTCCATTGCAGTTGTCTTTTTGTAGGTGAGGTCTCCATGCTTAGATACCGTAGTAAAGATGGGAGTGCATACAGGTTTTGTACATCTGGATGACCATTTTCTTTTCCTTTATATATATACAGGTATATATATATATATATATTGGTAAGAGAAACTTTACAAGCATGTCCTATACAACAATGCTTTTGTTAAAGTAAGATTCCTCTTCTAAAAACTAATTTATGAAGTAATAAATGCATGTGTGTTGAATGTAATGCAAAGGCATATATTTTGGTAGACCATTAGTGGCTTTGAGCTAACTGCTGGTTTAGCCAAGCCTGACAGAGATGCACCAGGATCCGCCATGTGTACTGGGCACCAGGACAACAATCTTAACTCTTTCTACATATGCTAAATGTAGAAAGGTGTGTCAGCCATGATAGTCAATCAGTCAGAAACTTTATGTATAAATGTTAGCACATATATAATTGGGAAAGTTTGCATAAAAAGTACAATACATTAATTACACAAGTATCGCAATGACAAACGTTGACAAATGTCTACTTACTACATCACAAGTAGACATTGTCATTATCAGAATCAGAAGCTTAATTGGTAACATCTTGTTCAAATCATTTCAAGGCTGGCTAGACTAGGCAGGTTTATAGCTATCTAAAAGGACATCAATTAGCCGAGAGGTTGATCATTTGCAACCTGTCTACTGTAAACAGCTTGCCACTTACAAAAGTAAGTAGTATTAAGGGCTTGAGAGAATTTCACACAAGATACAGCTGGTGTGTTAATTCATCTATTTACAAATCATCAGTTTAAGGATATATTACTGCTCATGAAAGCCTCTTGTCCTTGATACTTGTAAACATAATGAATATAACTATGAACAAAATTGTGAATTATTTACTTTTAATTTGTATTTTTTTATAGCAAAAAGATTACTATTCAAAGATTTAAAATCTTTTGTATTGATTTTATTGTATTGATTTTGTATTGCATTGTGTTGATTTTAAATTTGCAGGAAATGGCTACAATGGAAGTATGATCTGTTCATTTTAACAATGCAAGCAGTATTCTACAATGATTTTGTAAATATGGGGTACGTCTTGGAAGTTTTAATGGAACCAATGGTGTGGATTGTAGACCATTTCACAAAGATCCTTGGGCCAGTAAGTATATTATTTTTAACATTTTGAAACTTCATTTAAATCTGCTAACATTATTAATAATCAATTTAGGTGATTATTTTTAACTTTTAATGGAGTCTTCCTAAGTCTCTTTAGTTTAATGTTATTAAAAAAATATGCGTGGTGGTATGTTTTGTTATGCCTTTTATAATTTTAATTGTGCGAAATGGGGGGTATTATTTTGGGGTGCAGCAGTTCATAATTTTGTACATTCATAGTAGCTATATTATTTTTGGAGGCTGGGTTATCCCAGCAATGTAGCTAAAGAATAATGCATCAGCATGCAGACAAGGAGTCACAATAATGTGGCTGAAATGTTGACCAAACCACACACTAGAAAGTGAAGAGACGACGACGTTTCGGTCCGTCCAGGACCATTTTCAAGTCAAATCTCAAATCTAGAAGAAATGCATCATTTTGTCCATAAATACATACTGGCAAGATATCACTAACCCTTAACCTGCACTTGGCATCAATTAATGTATTTATTAGGGTGTACTGTTGTTAGTTCCCACTGATATCCATTCGTGATGATTCTAATGGCAATATATTTGTATTTCTTATGGCAAAATATTATGTATTTGTGTATGTATGCAATATTTTTCAGCCTGTGCATATTGTTAAAAACTGACTTGTATGTCTGTTGTTTTTCAGATTCTCGTTGGAGGCGTAATAATATTAACTAGCTCAGTTGTTGCCATAGTCTACATCATTGGTCTGCCGCACTACTGGCAGAAATCGCCGGTTCTTGCTTCTTTTCTAATTGTATTGGGGCACTGGTTGTTAATAAATGTTGTATTCCACTTCATAATGGCATCAGTTACTGACCCAGGAACACCTCCAAAGGTGAGTCTTTCTGCAATCTGTTGCAGAAAATGTATTAAAAAATGTTTATTTTTATTTTATTAGCTAATCTCTGCCTATTAAAAATGTAAGCTATAGTTCTTTGTTGAGCATATGGGTCTGTGATCTACCTGCAGAGGTCTGTGATCTACTATTTGGTACTGTATTCTATGTTGTCATCATAGAATACAAAATATTTATCCCTTAAATTTGCATGTCATGGACTTTGATATCATAGTTCTGAAGAATTGAAGCATATTTAAGTGAATTTACCTGTTTATTACTTTATTATTATTACAAATTTAGCTTTCCCTTTTTTTCACCCAATTTCAGCTTTCCAAGTGACATCAAAATATTTATTTTCCAGAATCCTTTATCATTACTATTTTACTGGCTCAAATTTTCATGGGGTGGGGAGGCATCGGGCTAGAAGAAACAGGAGAATAATATTGGAAAAGAATATTTAAGATACAGTGCTGTGTTTGGAAATATATATCCTATTTAATCATCCCCTTAATCAATTATTGATTAATCAAGTGTTACTCAACCTCTCTTGGTCCCAAGGTGATCAGTTGACAGCTAGTTGATGACTATATACAGTAAAAGCAAAATATCGTTTGTCGGAATTCGAGAGTAATATTGTACTAGTAATTCTAGAACTTTTACATTTTGCATTTAAATGTTAAAATGTAATTTTGCATTTAAATGTAAAATGGAAGTAATATTTAATATTTACAGGGGATTTTGATCACTGAAGCAGTAAGTGTGTGCAAGAAGTGTATAGCACCAAAGTCACCTCGGACTCACCACTGCTCTGTGTGTAACCGTTGTATTCTCAAGATGGATCATCACTGTCGTATCCTTTTGCAGGCATAATGATTATTTCAGAGCAGTTATTGGTTTGTTTTATAGTTGCCTTTCCATATCTTCTGCTTTTTATTTTATTAATAAAGAATTAATTGCTATGACTTGAGTGCCAGATAAAGTGGTTCACCATGTCTTCTCTTTAGAGCGCTGGATATATAGTACATCGATTACCGTATATAGTTGATAATCCGCTGCCTACTTTCTTATTGCTCTTCTGTGATAACAGTAAGTTTTGTGCCAGCAATTAAATGAATTAAAGAGCTTGAAATTCTTGTTTTTGTTGTTAGAAACAGAATGTGTCAATTATGACCCTACAAATATATAATTAGCTTGCTGAAAGAGAAATTATTTACATTTACATTAATGATTTGTATTTATACAGTATTTTGTAGTTTAGTATTGTATTTTTTTATTAGTTGTTGTCTTGGCTAAACTAATCAAATTAAGTGATTTGAGGCATGTTTCATTGGGGTACATATCTTCGTAATACTGTACTCGAATTAATAATGCAGTGTCTTTGTTTTGCCCCCACAGATCTTTCTTTTTAAAGATCTTTCCTTAAATAAGAAAAACAGCCTGGCTCAACAACTGTGTGGGGCACTTTAACCATCGTTATTTCTTGATGTACATGGTGTACATGGTCTTGGGGACCATTTTCATCCTGACTCTCGGTTTTGAAATTGCATACAAGGAGATATGGCTAGGAGGCGACATGGGCGGAGGTCTAATTGATGCCATGGACTTGGTGATGGATGACGACGAAGAGTTAGAGGGCTACCCAGTCAGGCTCAATGGTACTCATATGATGCCTGTGGTGAGTTCTGTTTTATATATATACCTGTACAGATTATAAAGTGTATTCAGTATACAGTAATTTATATTTTATTCATTATTCATCTAACCATTGAGTTTGGGTGAATTATGTTTGTCTGGCTATGGATATTGTACTGATAAATGACTAAAAACAGTCACTTAGCCTTGTATTATTTAATTTAAGTATATATTGACTGAATTTTTCCATACATCTTGCTCTGACCTCATTGTATACACACACCACCAAATTCCTACTCTTATGGACCACCTACATGCACCCCCATAGCCAAGTATGTAAGGGAGAATCTGCTTGTATCTGCTTGTGTGTGGTCAGGGCATTTAACCTCTAAGTAACCTTGGATTGATATAAACAAATGCAGAAATCACTTATGTTAATGTGTTGCCAGAAGTACTTTGAGGAGTAGCCCAAATAAATATATACTATAGAAAAAAATGTAAAATTATGAAATTGCATGAAAGATGGCCAGCTGCTCTAGACATTAAGGCCCAGAGCAGCACAAGGGTTAACTGATGAGCTGTTAGTCAAGTTTATAGAGTAGGTAGATACAAAAAAATTTCAGTTCTGCACATAGGGATTTAATTTTTGTTGTATGGGTTTGTTTGAAATATAATATATTTCTTGGTTAAGCAGTTAGCTCTCAGTTTTACGCTTCTTTTCACGAATTGTTGGTAGTATGAATCTTGCCTTTTCCTTAATTATAAATTGCTTTAAATACATAAAAATATTATTTCATGGGAAAGTTTAACAAGAATAGCTTACTTACATAGGGGGAGCTTACTGAAGGTCCTACCAGATAAAATGCTTTCTACAATATTACATTTAACACTTACTACAGCTAGTATGTATACTGAAAAACATTCCATTAATTTGTACTGTACAGTATTATAATATACCTTTGCAATTTTACTGCATATATATATTAATTTTATTAAAAAAGGCTTGATATATTTTCTCAGCAATTACATTTTCAAATTATTTTATTATAAAAAAAATCTGGAATTTAGTACCTGTATTACTCACTAATTGGAAAATGCTACAAATAATATATATATACATTTTTTTTTATTAAGACTTGCTAGATTGGTAGACTGATTTAGAGAATTATTAATGTTCTCAGTATGGTGGTACTGTTGGCAGCCCTGTTCTTCTAGAGCCTCTTGATGAACTAGCCGATATAGACCGGAGAATTTATTGGTACCGATTCTCTATCATGTACTCTGGCATGCTGACAACAGGTAAATAGTTTGATACATTTTACCTGTGCATTGGTTAAGTAATTTGAGGAACTTTCTTCAGTGCTTTAAGAATTTGGATGCAATTCATAACCTCCATAAACATACTGTAGGTTCCTCTTCTCTCATCAAAAGTATCCCAATATTTTAACCTTGCTTTCATTATCTAGATTCTTGAGTCTTTTATTTTTGTGGCCTAATATAGTACTGTATCAATGTAATCCCTTGTTCTTGACAATATACTATTGCTTACGTAAGTATGATCTGTTACGACTATGACAAGTCCAAATAAAAAAAATTCATGAACAAGCTACTTGTTAAGTAAATCATTGTCTTACACAGCTACTAAATATACCCTAATAATGGTTTCTATGAATTTTATTTGCTAATTTATATTAGTCTATTGGGTTTTACTTCTTCTTGAGGAGTCATTAGGGAGGTCAAGATAAGAATACAGTTTATTTGAAAATGTCAACCTCTTGGATGATAGGAGCAAATACCATAACATCTTTGAGATATACCAATACAATAATATAGTTATTCTGACAGAGAATGATTGTTGATTAATTAATTTAGTTTGATGCAATAGAGAAGTGATAAAAGTGAATAATAACAATAGTTATGTTGAAGAGTAAAATAATTTTATGTAAGGAAATTTGAGAATACCCTGTAGTGAGAATGAAGGAAAGGAGCCGAGGTATTGCAGGACCTTGGAAAGAATAAGGTTGACATGTAGCAAGAGGTTTGCATGGCATGAAGATGCCAGGATATTTTGTTAGAACCATGCAAAAAAAGTTTACAAATGCAGCTGAAGGGTAATGATTTAACTTTTGATTTCACAGGTGTGTTTTTCTCACTTGGTGGACTGGCCACTTGGCATGGAAGACTGGTGTCAAGAGGAGAGACAAGCATTGAAGCTCACATCAACAAAAAGGAGACTGAAAGGCTGGCAAAAATAAACCAAGTTAGTCAATTATAATTATTATTATTTTATATAATAAATTTTTTAAGTAGATGAGAAGCCCATCACTGTGTGTAAATGTAACCATTTAAAGTGCTTATATTTTTATTATTCATTAAGTTTGTGTTATGAATTAAATTGGTCTCAATATGCAGGAAATAGTCATACATGCTCCAAAACATGTTGAAAGTAAAGTTGTCCCTTGATCTGCACGAGTGTGTACTTGGAGAACTTTGGACACATGAAATTCACACAGATAAATCTTCATGATTACACAACTCCCGGCTCAAAGTCAAATTGATGCTCTGGAAAGCTCGATACAACTAAAGAACATTGTGCTGATAATCAAATAGTTATGTTCATTTGTGATGGAAAATACCAAGTTTTCCAGGGAATGTGCTCATGCTTTCACTCAATTGGAATTTGTTGCATCCCCCCCTCCAAAAAAAATGAAATTTTTAAAAAATATATACAGTACTCGTTTTTAAAAGTTTTTTGTATAGGAAGGTGTGCAAATGCATGTAACATCACAGTACAGTAATGAACTGTCACTCGTCTATATCAGGGATGTATTTCTACTTTCCAAAAGAATTTTGGTAACAAACCTTGAGCTATGTAGAGAACTGGTACAGTACCTGCACCTCCACATTTTCCAGAATTCGTGCAGCTCAATAATTGATTATTACAGCAGTACAATCAAAGTAGACATTAAATATGAGCATACCCTAAACTTGATCTTGATTAAATTATTTTTTCCTGGTTAATTTTAAGTGTTTTTTACAATTGAAGTTGCTTTCTCGACAGATATACAAGAATCCGTATGATTTTGGCGTATCAGAGAATTGGAAAGTGTTTCTTGGTTTAAGCCATGGCAGGTGAGTTTTTTTCTATAACATACTGTACATGGTGACCCATAAGTAAGTATACAACTATTGGGAATAACCACATGGAAAGTAAAGCTCTATCAAAACTGAAGCATGTAGCTTTTTGTGGAGGATCTTTTGGAAAAAGTTATGAGTTTTGAAATAAGACATTATAAAATATCAATGAAGTAAAACTGTAACATTATTAGTCTAACCATAAACATTTGAAATAATGTATGTAATGCTTTTCTGTACCTTTTGTGGTTTATTAAAATAATGTACAGGATTTGCATGAAATCGATTTCCAGAAATTTGCCCATTTTGGGACTATCAAATTTTTGGGATTTTTCATATAGCAAATGATACAGTAAAGTTTATGCATACGCAAATAATATATAAACCGATTTTGGTGTGGGGTATAAATATTTATTTATATATAAATGAGCAAAATAATTTATGTACTTTTCTTTTTAAGAGCATATGCCCATTTTCTTAACTAAGTGATAGCAGAATTCAGTTGTAGCATTGTACAATATGTTCTCCTTTCTGCTACAGACTGAATTTCTGCCCCCTCCCTCCCCACTGTATAATGCAGTGTTAACCACACAAATGGCATCATCCAGCTGGTTATACTTACTCAACCACCATGTATTTTGATGCAATATATTTTGGGTACTTGCTTCATTGTGCTAATAATTAAACCTTTAGCTAGACTCCACGAAATAGTTATTTTGGGTACCCAGCAGGATTATTATGCAACATTATTGTAATACAGCATAATGGGACTTTATGGTATGCTATAGTACTTTCTCTGCCTTTCACCCAGAGGATGGCGACATATTCTTCTCCCATCGTGGCACCCACCTGATGGAAACGGACTAACTTGGCCCAATGCCATTATCTCTGCTGCAAGCCATGACAAAGCTGCATGACACACAGTTTAGAATGCTACATTAAGTTATTGTTGTTATGTATCTTTTGCCAGGGAAATACATTCCCTACTTTCTGGGAAAGTAGATATGTATGATGGTATGTTTTAGGAGTAGTGAATAGAGAAAATAAGCCTGCCTGATCTTTTATATTATATAAATCTAAAATGGTTAGAAAAGTACTAATTTTATAACTGTTACAGAAAATACAATAAGTACCTCAGAAACTTAATGTTCAAAGCCCATGAGTTTTAATCTTAGGTTATTTTTGTTGACAGTATTAAATTTGTTGAGACATTTAAATTTTCAGTATGGTAAAATCATAGAATGCCACCAAGTTAGGCATAGCAGTAATCTTTAATTAAAGATAGGTATTGTTTACATACAATTACAGAAATGTGTGTATGTGCTCTTCCTTTTCTATATAACTTGTACTCTGCTAAAGACTGCGGGTAATGACTGTCTGTGGCTCGGACATCAGTCAGAGAATTGTGCATGTAAATGTTCTTTTAGATAATATATTCTTGGGCTTGCAACTAAACACAATTGTGGTAAAAGATAATACTTTCCAATACTGTATATAATTTGTATAACAGAAGATTTGAATCTCTTATTGGTATATGTCATGTGCCACTTAGTTTGAACAGTAACAATTTCAGTGTCATGTCCCGATTAATTTAATGTGTTAAAATTTTGGTCTGTTGCACTTGCAAAGAAGTTTGCTGACAATTTGGAAAAGGTTTTGTAACTGCTCTTGGGTGGTGGGGGAATTTATGTACACTAACTCTTACCATGACTGAATATAAGAGACTGTCTTATTGACTGTCAGTTGAGATTGCATAATATGCATACTTGGCGTAGCCAAACTCTTAGGTGCTGCTTTCAAGATCTAAACTGGTCCACTTAGTACAGTAATAGTGATTGCCAAAGTATGTTAGTTCAGGTTATTTTTGTTATGTTTTGATGTACTATATTTAATACTGTATATAATTTATATAATAAAAGCTGAGGAACACAAGTTAAACTATTGCAGTATATTTTATACACATACAGAGTATAGTTTGGAAACTAGTAGTTCACTGTCTGAAATGTCATAAAAGGAAAGAAAATACAGGCATGGGAACAATTAACCTATATTAAGACTTGTTATACTCTTCCCTTTTCATGTTTAGATGAGAGGCTAGTTTACCTGTGACTGGATTAATTCTGTTCCTGCAGCTGGGCCCGAGTCCAGGCTTTTCTGGCAACAACCTGGTTGGCTGGTGGTGGCTCGCAGGGCTCCCACAATCTTTGCAACCCCGAATGATCCTGCACTTCTTGTGGCAACCTGTTTAATTCCCTCATATAAAACTTAAACCCTTTGTTCAAACCATATTTGTTAAGTTTCCTTTTTTAGACGGTTGAATAATTGCAGGCCTCTGATGTTCAGTGTTCTCTAAGCTTATGACATCTCAGCTCTTCAATGAGTCTATTCTACACTTCTTACCTTACCTCTTTCTCCATAAGGGAATTATACCATCACATTAGGGTTCTCAGCGTCACACAATCACAACTCACACCTGACAATATATCAACACTTACCTCACAACTCTCAAGTTTGTGTGAAGCTTTCATTTGTGTTCCAGGGATTACATTCTGTGTCCATTTAATTTAGGTCTATTTACTCTATCAATGCATACAGCACTATGTGATTCTTGTGTGCCCCCTACAGCATTTTGAATCTCTCTCTCTCCTCCCTTCAAATGAGATCATAGAGCAGTATTGCAAGTGAGAGCACAAATGAATTGAAAACTAAGGCTTCTGAAAAAGGTAAGGGTTCTGGTATTGTTCAAGCACTGTTCCTTTGGCCCATGCTGTTAGTCCACAACTGGGGCATCCAGTGTTAAGACCTTTCATTAGGACCAATCATGTCAGTTCTGTCTGCCCTTTCATGGTAAGCCGATGGGATAATGTTAGTGAGATGTTCCTGTGCACATCTGAAAGCCAGGATCAGATATGCCTAGGATTTTTTTTGATGGTAATGCCATCTGCCTCAGGGTGGGTTATCCATCTACACGATAATATGTGGTTAAAAGTTGGACAGGAATGTCATTGAGGAAATCTGTTCTGTCAGGTTTGTCATGCAATTTTCCCATGGCCAAGCAGGAGTCTCTTCAGGTGTATGATTCTCGACTCGTTGACAGTTGCATCTTGTATCCAACATTCTGGATGTTGTCCAGACTTTTGTCAGCTTTTCTTGGGTAATGCCATTGTTAGTTGCCATCCTGATACCTTCCTAGTGAAGAATGGAAAAATCTCTCCTGACAAGGCCCTTTTGTTGGGTTGGCATGGTTTGCACAGTTCTGTCCATAATACCCAGTGGCTGTTGTCCCCTAGTATCAGAGTTTCTCGGCATTTGCCTTCAGCAGCACTCTTCCACAACCCACGGATCATGGCCCCTGTTCTAAAATCTACTTATCTCGGCTTATGTGTACATTGGGGAAAGCCAAAACAGCCAGGGGTGTACCTCTGGACCCAATACCTGCTGAAGATTGCAACCCTCATAGAATTAGTTCTTTGCATTATGTATGGATATTAAGGGCCAGAGGTTTTGAGATAATACTGTACCACATCTTTGTGCACTGCTACCATCCCCACTTCCAAAGTCTTCATTGCCAGTGTGTGGTATGGAAAACACCTTCCACTTGTATATTTAATGAATGATTGGGTCCTGGATGTCTGCTGCTTTAAAAGCTGCATTTTCATTGCCTGTTCTGGCACCTTGTGGAAACCTGTGGCACAGGCAAGTTCTATCCATTTTCTGAATGGCCATACTGATTCTTGCACGAGGAAAAGGCCAAGTAATAAATTTTCAAAAATATGGCATTGTGTAAATATAATGGTTGTTTCTGAGCTTGTCTGTCGGTTACTTCCATGCCTTATCCTGTGTCATTCCTTCAGAGGGTAAGTGGGATAGAAAGTGAGGTAGGATCTCTGGCTGCTGCTGTTTACACGAATGGTGGCAGTGGCGAGCGTTTACAAGTGCTTTCTGGCATTAAGGGCTGGATTGTGGATTATCCAGTGCCTTGCTTGCTCCTGCATAGGATGTTAAGAAAATATTGCCATGGCAATGCTGTTTGGATTAGGTGGTGAAATCTGGATGAACAAGTTGCTCACATAAGCTCTCAAGCAAGCTGTGTGTTGTAACAAAAAATAAAGATCAGGTATAGATTAAACACTTTTCTGAGCTGGTTGCTCAATTGCTTCCTTAGGCAATATCCTGTTTTCCTTGGGATGCTGTGAACTAGTCTGGACCAGTGCAACTTTCTCATTTCCAATGCAAGTAATTATTAAAAGACGGCACCAAGCCAGGAAGAGATGTTACGTAGTCTTCCTGGTTTGATGTCTTTTTACTTGCAGTAGAGATAAGAAAGTTTCACTGGTCCAGACTAGAGTTTACAGCATCTCGGGAAAACAGGATATTGCCTAAGGAAGCAATTGAGCAATCGGCTCAGAAAAGTGTTTAATCTATACTTGTGTGTTGTAACAAAAAAAAAAATATCAACTAGGTTGGAGAGCTTATGCAAGCACTTGTTCATCCAGATTTCACCAAGTAATCCAAACAGCATTTGGATGATACTTCAGTCCTGATTTTGTATGAACTGTTAATCTGCATTATCTAGTGCTCCATATTAACAAGAGTACACTCTGTATTTGAGACATTTACTGACATACATAGCCAGGCACCACCATTTAAATATACTGGCACAATTTTGCTCAATAATGTAAGGAGGTATCCTATGTTTATCATATAGAAAACATTTAGCAAAGGATTTCTTTTTCTAATTTATGTTAGCAATGGTAATATTTTGATGTAATTGCAGTACGCCCATCTTCCAAAGGCTCGTACTGCTACTACTACTGGTACATTTCTTACCATTAGTAGACAATGATCTAGTCTCCTAAATGAATTGATATTTTATAATTTAATACTGTACTATTAAAAATAAAGAATGGTCGAAGTTTTGTATTTTAATCTAACCAGTGACAAATGGCTTTGTAAATGGGGATTTTTTTTTTATAAAGTACTTAATTTTATGTTGCATACTTGGGATAGCGTTATCCTATTATTTGCACTAATTAAAATAGTTTTCAAATTTGTCCATGTTATATTGCTGTACTGTATTAGAAATGTAAATTTCAATTACTGAATCCTGATCATCACACAAAACTAAAATTGTAACAACCTATCCACACTATTCTTCACAAATTTTTTTTTTTAGGGCATGGAGAAGCAGGTGTGGTGATGCTTTGATGGCTAGACCACATGAGGAAGGGGGGGGGGGGGGGAGAAACAGTCAAGATAAATTTAAACAAATCAACAGGATGTTTAAGGTGAATAAATATGTAAAACATTGTGATGCTTTAATTTCAATTTCATTTCCAATGCAGTCATGTGGAAGGTCATCAAACAATGAAACAATACAATTCCTTTAATACATAGTTGTCTATAATCCCATGTTTAACCTAGTTCTTTTAGGTTTCATCACATGCATAATAAAAGGCTGAAGGCAATAAATTACTTCAGTTGTCAAAGTGCCCAAATCATAGAGTACAACAATTAAATAAAGTGACGACTAGACATAAATACTGTACTGATCAAACAAGGCTTTCAGCATGGTGAAAAAAATACCAATGAAATTTTTTATTAACTTAATGACAAATTGGTAAAGAAAATAATATAAATTATATCATATACAGGGTACTGGTAATAAATGACTTGCCATGAAACGTAATATCAGTACAGTATAGGGTTATATACAGTGGAACCTCGGCTTACGAATGCCCATATTTACTAATTTTTTGGGTTACAAGCTCAATTTCTTCGTAAAATTTGATTGTTTATGAGCTTTGCCTCGAGTTGCGAGTTTGTTGACACACACGCGAGTTGACCGAGCGCATGGTTCCTGGTGGAACGGGCGACTGCGCCTCAGTTTAACAGTGCCTCCCACGTAGTGACAATTGCGCTTGATTTTTTTCTAAAGAATTTCATTGTTTTTCCAGCTTCTTTGGTTTCTAAACAAAATTAATTATTATATACCATGCCATGGGTCCCAAGTAAGTAAGTAATTATCAAAAGAAGGCACCACAGCGGGAAGGCTATGTAGCACCATCAAATGCGCAAAATAATCAGGGGCGCTAAATATTACTAAGGATGCTAATACGAGAACAGAAACGCATAAGGCAAGCGATGCCATGGGTCCCGAGAAAGTCAGTGGTAAGGTTCTTAATGAGACAAACGAGCAGTGAGCCACAACCAGGTCCTAGTGGTCTGCAGACAAAATGTAGGAGAGAGTACACCCCAGAGAAGTCATCACTGCCTGATGTTATGATGGAAGGGGACTCCCCTTCCAAACACTAACACCTCTCCTCCTCCTCACTGCCTTCCATACACCAACAAGAGTCATCAATAAAGGTAAGCTTTAACTTGTACATAATGAACACAAATATTTTGCACCATAGTATGTATGAAATGTATTTTGAAGTTAATATTTTTGGGAGTGTGGAACGGATTAATTCAATTTACATTATTTCTTATGGAAAAATTAGTTTCGGGTTACGAGCCGTTTCTGGGAACGGATTAAATTCATAAACGAAGGTACCACTGTACTTAAATTTTTAACTAATTTGTTGGAATGCAGGATTTTTCTGTCTGGTTTGTCGAAGAGTATGTTTGTAATAATTACAGCATTATAAAGATTCTTTCAGAAATGCTTGTGTAATTATACACATCTCAAAAATGGATTAGACTGTAAAGCTTTAATAACAGTATCACTGGGGTGTGCGAAATGTGTAGATGCCACGATTATCTCACAAGGAGGATTCACGGCTGTTACGGTCTGCTGAATTTCACGTACCTCTCCAGGAGTCACCCCTCCAACAACAAAGATCAACATCAAAGGTGCATCTCGTGGCATTGGCTTGCTTACATTAACAAAGAGGCTGAAAAGCAATATATATGTTGTAATTAAAGTATCATAAAACAAAACATGAACTACGGGCTCACCATAGCCCGTGCTACCTGGAACTTTTTGTTCCAGTTAGCGAATCTTAAACAACAACAAAACATGAAGGTACAAGAGTTGGCATTGAAGAATGTGCAAATCTTTTCACACCAACAGAAACTAAAGAATATATACAAAAAGTCTATACTGTACATGTTTGAGCATACATGTGACAGCAGTATTATGACATACTGTAGGAGTGTAAAATGTATTTTCAAAAGAACAATAATGATGTTTTAAAATACATCCTCGAGGTCATGAGAAAATCTTGAGACAACAAATTATTTTTTATACAGTACTTCAAAGTGAACCATAAATGAGCAGAGGAGTTGCTTCCAAGAATGCCCTGACTGAATAGACTATAGCTAAAAATACATTAATACTTTACAGTACTGTACTGTAATTGGGTTACAGTGGGTCGGACATGTATATGAGTGGGATTAGGTGGTTATAAATAGGTGCTGCCTCGTATGGGCCAATAGGCCTTCTGCTACCTTTATTCTTATGTTCTTATGTAATTGCAAAATAAGGTGACAAGATCACTTGGTTATGATTTAAACTGAAATGCTGTTAAAAAGAAAACAAAAGAGTGATAATACTTTACCTAAATCCAGTTTTTATAAGATCTTTGAAACCACCAGACTTGTACTCCAAGTCAGTGATCTCAGCTTGAGGAGCAGTGAGACAGTCATACACTAGTTTCTTCAAGAAAGGCTGGTATGAAGCAGGCTGGGCACTATCTCCTGGTATATGCAGGTGCCTGTAATAAACATTATGCTATTTTGTATTTAATTTGTATATTGTACATTTTTTTTTCATTCAAATGTTAACAGTATATACCCTCAGATGCACATCCATATTATCTTGATGTCGTTTTAAGGACCCACATCCCCACAGCCTGGTCTCTGACTAGGCCTCCTGCTTGATGGTCTGGCTAACCAGGGTGTTAAGACACCTTTACATGCAGTCTGATGTGTGACTCACAGTTGATCCGTTACCCTTTGGAGGTGTTAATGAAATTCCCTTTTGAACATTGAAAGCAGTTGGCTAGCTATGCCCCTTGTATTTAGTGGGCAGCAACTATCAATTAGAAACTTTTTGCAAAGGCTGCAAAGAAATCTTGCACCGAGCCATCTATTCCAGGTTAATCAAATGACACTGGCACTTCAACACCTGAGGTTAACCTTTCAACATCAAATCCCACTTCCAACAACAACATTCAAGTGTATATTAAGCGTTACAATCTATAATGAACTTTATAGTGTATATTGGGGGTTAGCATTATAAATATGATTCCATGATAAGTGCTGTTACTCCTGTATGCAGTATTAGACTTTACAGTGTGCATATTAGCCTTTAAAGTAGTGTATTTGGCTAACCCATGAGTATATTATTCTTTATCACTTCTTGCAGATCGGTGGTCAATCCCCCAGCTATGCAAACGGTTGGGCACCATTCCTTTCTTCTGTCCTATCCCAAATTCTTTTCTTCATATCCCTTCCATTACTGTAGTTGTAATAACATAGCACTCTCTCCAGATAAGCACCCTTCAGTGTGCATATTAAGCTTTAAAGCACACACATTGTGCTTTATGTTTTTAAAGTGCATTTACAGTTTAGTGCATATAGAGGGAAGTTTTTAAGTGCATATGGAGGGAACTGCAGATGTGCAGTTATTTCAGTACAAATGTAAATTGTGTCCACCCTACAAATTATGCACTACGCTTTCATACAAAATAAATTAAATCTTTAAATCTGGCCTAAGCTATCTCCTAAGTACAGATTACTGTGATACAGTTTGCATCAACCTGTTATAACAAAATGTGACTAAGGTTACATAAAACAAATACACTAGGTAGCCAGTACTACAAAAAAAATCCTTAAAAACATCAATAAGTAAGGAAGAAGGCTACAGATGGCTACTCAAACTGATTTTACAACTTCAACTCACTTGTAATTTTTCAAATGATCCCTTGTGCTAGCAATAGCATGGAGCTGGTCAGCGACACGCTGGGCAGTCCTTAAAGCCGACACCTCGTCCACTTCCTCACCAACTGTTGAGAGGCACAAATAGCTCATCCATATGCTAGGTGAACATAAAGTTAAGAGAATGATATATACAATTCAGAGAGAAGGATTTCTTAACAAATGTAATTTAAGGAAAGTAAGAGGGACGCGATAGAGAAATATATAACCAATGAATTAAAAGAAGCTGCACACTTTGGTAACACTAAATACCTTTAGTGCATCGACTTGAGAATGGTTCAGGACGGACCGGAACGTTGTCGTCCCTTCACTTTCTATTGTGTGGTTTGGTCAACACTAAATACCTTTAGTACAATTTTTATTTTCTCAATTTAACAAAATTTAATTTTATCCAGTTTTTAAATTTATATCTTGAGATGGTTATCTTGAGATGATTTCGGGGCTTTAGTGTTCCCCCCCTAGGAAGCTGCCAGTGACCGCTGACTAACTCCCAGGTGCCTATTAACTCCCAGGTGCCTATTTACTTCTTAGGTAATAGGGGCATCACTATGAAAGAAACTCTGCCCATTGTTTCTTGCCGGCGCCCGGGATCGAACCCAGGACCACAGGATCACGCGTGCAGTGTTCAGTCCGCTCAGCCACCAGCCACCGGACACGATACTAAACTATACTAATATACTATACTAAACTCATAAAATGCAATATTACAATTTATTGTGCTTTTGCTTTCCTAATTTTACTTTTGTTTTCCTCCACAACTTTAACAGCTGTGTCTGTGTCAGAAGTGGTGGGGATTTGCTGTGTCATGTCTGGAAAAGGTCTGCATAGTGTGGAAATGGTCTACTCTCTTCGTCATATTTGCTCTTGAAGTTATGGATAAAGATGGCTTGCGCTACTTCTTTCCATACATTCCACTTTGACCATCCAAATAGTTTAGTAGTTCTTCCTTACATTTCTTTGATTGGTTTGTATTTCTGGCTTCCACCACCTCTGGTTCTATTTTACCCCATAATTTAAATAGGCCGTCCTTGTACATCTCTATTCCCTCTCCTCGGTATTTTCTATATAATGATCATACACCTCAAGAGTTGTTAGACTGAATTTTCTTAACCTGTCCTCATAGTATAGTCCTCTTAATTCATGTACCAGCCTTGTTGCAAACCTCTGCACTTTAAAAGTTACTTTTTTTGGGCTTTACATGATATAGGTGCCTTTCAGGTTTTATGTACAGTTGAACCTCGATTTTCATATGCCCGTTTTCGTATTTTTCGGTTCTCATACTCAATTTCTTCAAAGAATTAAATTCAGTACTCATTGTTTGCCTCAGTTTTCGGAATTTGTTCATACACATACAGGTCCACCAAGCGCGTGGCGCTTCAGTTTACCAGTGTCTCCCGCCTAGTGACGACCGTACTTGAATTGTTTGTGAAGAATTTCATTTTTTTTGTGCTTTTTTGGTTTCTGAACATAAAAAAATCTTGAATTGAGGTTCCACTGTATATCAAACATGGCAAGTCACATTCTTTTACTTCTTGCAAGACAAGGATGCTTCTAACCAAGATCCTGGAAAATTGTACTTTAAAATACACTGTCCTGGAATAATGAAATACTGGATCAAGTAGCCACCACATCTTTCATCTATATTCATATAAAAAAGGGTTTTTACCATTTAAAATAGGCAGAAAATTACCCAAGTTCTGTAGTTGACATGCCTGTATACCCCAACCATTAAACAATCAACCAATTAACAAAATACTAGCATATACAAAATTACAGTAACTGCTAACCTAATTGGAGAAGATTATCAGAAAGCATCATCTTATCCTCAACAATGGCGTGAGAGAGACGATTGGTAAGCGCATATTCGTCCTTTTGAGTGAATACCTGAGAGCCACCAAGTGACGCCACATATACCATTAGGCACAGTATATCATCCAGTGACACCCCATGTGTTCCTCGGGTTTTGAGAAGCTGGAAAATCTGGAAAAATTTGCACAGTACATATAATGTACAATATTATCTATTAATTTCTTACACGTAGCAAAAAATACAAAGTAATTAGACTGAGTGAATATGAAGACCTATTTTCTAAGCTAGACAGTTGGATACTTAAGCCTTGGACTGTGGGACATGTAATATTACACATTTAAATGGCAGTGCATGGATTGCAGACATCAAAAAGTGACAAAGTAGCTAAAATATAAAATGTTAGGGTCCAGTTCAAATATGCAGTCTATAGCTCACAAGAAAAATAACAAGTTCCACGTTGACTTATAGGTAAGTGGAATGATGGTACCTGAATAGAAAGAGCATGAATCTTTCTATCTTCAAATCTTTCGAATCTTCACATCTTTTCTGTGAAATGCGGAAACTAATACTGGGTAAAGAACCTCCCCGATCTGTAGAAAGGTCCCATCGTCCCTGGTCACCAATGCCCAGGATGGCTAAAAGAGAAACTAAGAACACACACTCCGACCAGAAACCCTCCACCTCCAAGGAGGAAGAACCGGCCCTGAACCCATCCTGTGAACAACATTCCAACACCAGACTGAAGAACAAACCAGAGAGCCAGTAACGATGCCAACCGACTCCCACTGGGACAGAAAAAATAAAAAAAAAGACTTCCCCAAGCAGAGAAGGCTGAAGACTTGTAGCCAGTTTCAATGTCTCCAAACCAAACTGCATGGGGGTTGGACTGAAATATTAACCTCCAGCTCATCCACCATTCTCTTCTAATCAATGATCCAAATCTTAAGAGGATATATCAAGTATAAGTTCTATCTTTGAATGCCTTCAGCTAAAGACTCAATATGGAGTGATGTATAGGACTGGTGATTTGTGCACAATAAGACAAAGAACTGGATCTGTCATAAAAGTCAAGGAAAATACTGACTAGTATTTGACCAAGTAGCCCAGTCGAGACTAAAAAAATTGTCAGGAATGCCAAATTCTAAAATTCTGTAAAGTAATACACATTAGATTTTACATTGAAGTACATATAGCAAATAAACAATCATTACAATTGCATTCATACATTAGAGAGCATTAATTACTCTTATAGTCTCAATGACACAGCTTAGTATATGATGAGCAAGTTCCTAGGTCAGTCAGGTTGACATAGGTAAAGGAATATATCGTCACAAGATAATTGTGACACGCCGCACATTTTTATCATCAACAGGGTATATCTACAACAAAATATCTTTTACTTGCCTGTGTAAATGGAAGGGTTTCCTCTGGGTCTCCAATAGACTGCATGAGGCGTTTCTCCAAGCTCAAGAGTTGGTCAAAATGAACACATCGGGGATCACAGAGTGCCTCAACCACTCCCAAACCTTGCTGCAATCATTTACGACAAATTTACAATACTTTCACAAAAAAAAAAAAAAAAAAAAAAATGCAAATTAAAAATTAGTTGACAGCTTATATAAAATCTTTAAACCAGGGCTCGTCAAAACATGTTTAGATGGAGGGATACTTTGTGAAATGATTAGCACAAGGCTGTTTCTGGAAGACCTTGTGAGTGATGAATTTGCACCGATAAACTTAACTGCAGACAAAAGAAATAAGGATGCATGATGGATCTAGAAATAATGGCTCCAATGACCTTTAGAAGTCTAATTTCTGAACTATCCCACTTGGTTGCACCATAACGAAAAAGTCAGTTGTAAATGTGGGAATGAAATGTGCAGTCAGGAAAGACCCCAGAGAACTTTTAAAATGTTCCTGTAAAGTTATACTGATATTAAGAGGCACTGGAAGATACAGTACATGCAGCTAAATTGAGCGGCAGAAAACTCAAATCAAACACTCTTTAAAAAAAAAAAAAAACAATCCTTCAGAAGCCCTCCTTGGAGACAATAAGCCTGAACAAACTACTAACTGGCTCGTCTGCCTACTCCTCCCATCACCTGAGGGCAGCATTTGAATCCCAAAATGGTCCACATCACCAAACCACCTCATTGTGTACATAGCAGGTGGAAAATCAGAATAAAGTGGCCTGCTCAACCAATACAATATATAATACTGTAATTGTCAAGCACAGTGAGTACACAGTACTCACAGTGAGAACACGGCAAGTTGCCAAGCAAGGTGAGTATAGTGGGTTCATGCTTACCTATACTGTATAATACTTTCACATGGTGCTTCAAGTCTGTGTAGTCTCATTGTTTTTGTTGGTTTGTTTACAGCCAATGGTGAACTAGAATGGGTTGATAAATCATTATTTCAGTCTTTTGTTACCTTAGCCTGAGCCACCTATTACTGGGCACTAGGTGCCTTCAGGCATACTTCTCACTACAACTTATGGCTGTAGACTGTTCGGCTTTCCACCAGGTCATGCCTTGTCTCAGCTTCAGGGTTTCTCTCACTTTTTTTCTGCCAAGAATACGACGCTGGTAACTCTTGCTTTGGCAGCCAGGCTTCTGCTCCTATGACAAACTGGGCAGAGACTTAGATCTGTTTTCTGTGAACCAGTTTGAATAATTTTTCAATGTTGAGCAGTATGGTACAGCACACATTGAATCCACAGCTTGTTTGATGTGGTATGGAAAAGTGTCATTAGGAGTTCAATGATTATTACCCCCTTTGTCTCCGGCAGTTTACCTGCTGGATTTTCAAGCATTTTCATCCAAGATGTGTGACATCTGTAGTGCGTGGTTGTGAACTTTATTGGACCTTTCTTCTCGGCAAGCTGCAGTTGTAGTTGCTGCCAAATTGCAGGCTCAGGTTGATCATTTGCATGAATAAAATTACAATAATTGCAGAAGCAAATGTCATGCTGCAATAACAATGCCTGTGCTACAAAAAATCCTGGGATCAATTGTTTCATTAGAGCAAGAACGTACTGTATAAACAGCACAAAACAATATATGCAAGACTTATACAGCAGCTGCTCTCATCTCACCTGCAGCAAACTAGCATTTTCAGTGAAGCCCTCAATATCAGATGCAAACTGCTGGATATTTTTCTTGATGTTTTCTGGAGTCACTCGAGCTGCACTTTGGCTGGCTTCATCACTAAGGTCTTTCCAATTAGCTGCCTCTAATACCTGCAATAATAATACATGATGATACATATGATATGCCTCTTGATATGAACAGAACTCATATTACACTATCTTAACTAATTTTAGTAAGAGTGTGAAAAGGTGCTTTTATCACTTAATCATTTTTCAGTGTATCCTAAAATTTTAGACAACTCTTTAATGAATACAGATGTAGATAAGCATTGTTTTATGCGTTATTATATGATTGTTTTTTATACCAAGACACTCAAGGTGATATATTTGCTATTGTTTGGCAGAAAAGCAATCCTGAAATAAGTTAATTTATTTCCTTTGACATGCAGATTGCACTACAGACCAAAGAGTACTGAATATCACAAAATTCAAGTATGTTTCTTTGCATGCTAACCTACTTTGAATACAATACATGAACCATAATAAATGAGTGAGAAAAAAATCAACTACAGTATGTATTCCTATTAGATACACACATGTTTATTAATAAGGGAGAGAGCTTCCTTTCCTGATGACATGACCAAGGCATTAAGCACAACTGATGCATGATGTTCTCTGCCTTGTGGAGCAAAGCATCCTGGTATAAGCGTCCACTCACTCGACCTGTGGAGAGCCGAGTATTTGACACAGTAATACAGAGATGGACATATTTTTTTCAAATGCTGCTTCCCCATCTTTATCTTAATGCTCCCCCCATCCCATTAAAGTGGGAAATGAGGTTACGATGATGAACCTGACACATAAAGACAAAAATGTTGACAAAAGAGGTAACGAAAAATGAACCTCAATGTTACATCTTTTCTTCACCAAGTGTGTTATGCTTATGTTACAATCAGAGCCATGGCAAAACTAGAGTAATACACCAGATGATATCACCTATGGAGGCATTACTATAACTAGCAAATTACCATTCTTACATTTCTATTCCTGATGGTTCCATTCTTCAGTATGGTCACACAACATTTCTGCCTGGCAGTGTCGTGCATTCTCACTCTCTCAACCATTCTTTTGTAACTTCTCCTGCATTAAGTCTTTGCAATCATTTATCTTGGCTAAATGTTTATGTTTCATTATTTCAACAATTGCCCTTGAGATAACCCTTAATCTTAAATAAGCAGCAACTTAATTGCTCAAGAGCTGCAGCATTGTACACAATAAGCAAATGGTTCTGAGCACAGCTTTATAATATTTCACTTTGGAAAATGCAGTACCACTCAACAGTTGAAGTGTTCAGTAATGATTTCTCTCACTGTCATGCCTGAATCATAAAAAGTACTACAGTTCCTGTGGTGCAGTGGCAAGACACTTGCCCCCCCCCCCCCCCCGCTTTGCGAGCGCTTTAGCCTGGGTTCGTATCTTGACGGGAAGAGTTAAGGATTGACTGGGTGCCAATCCTAAACTGTAGCCTCTGTTCACCCAGTGGTGAATGGGTACCTGGTTGTTAAACAATTTGGCAGATCGTATTCCGGGGAAATTAAGATTACGGACCTGCCCGAAATGCTGTATGTGCCAGTGGCTATACAAAAATGTAAGAACTCTTGTACTGTCTATATAAATAAATAAAAAATTAATACATAATAATGGATTGATACAATAGTGGGTACTAGTTAAAAGCATACAAGAGTGGATACTGGTTAAAAGCTCATATCACTCATGATGATGAAAATCTACTTACGTATGAACTTTGCACAAAGGGGCCATGTTGACAGCGGAATCCAGCTGGTGGCCATACAATCGTGGCAAGAGAGACAAGATTCTTCCCATCAGAGTCTCTCCTCCATAACTGGAAGCACCTACTAGATCTAAAGTCCGGTCAACTAATACCAGCGATACTTTGTTACCAGCTGTCTGTGAAAGGTGAACAAATATTAAAATAATACAGTATCTGTATACTGTACTATATTTAAACAAAAAATAATGTTAAGAGTATACAGTGCAACTCTTGTCAAACAGATTGTGTTAGATTACAATGGCTACAAGTTATAAACACAATAAATCACTGCAAACAATCTTGAATAATTTTGGGAAACAATTACAATCTTCATTTTTTTTTCTGACCCTAATTACAGTACTATGGTTTTATTTTGTCAAGTAATAGAACACACTTTTCATAACAAAATCCCTTAGAAAAGCATATTTCAATATATTTTGATCAGCCTTTTTTAAAGTTTTTGGCACCACATTCCTGACTACACAGCTCGGCCACAACTATTCTGTTTCCTATCACTGCTCCATCCAAACTTCCGCACAAACACAGGTGCAAAGACATGCTACTAAGTGGCTCCCAGAACTGAAGGGCAAGATCTACGAGGAGAGGTTAGAGGCATTAAATATGCCAAAACTAGACGACAGAAGAAAAAGAGGTGATATGATCACTACATACAAAATGGTAACAGGAATTGATATAATCGATAGAGAAGATTTCCTGAGACCTGGAACTTTAAGAACAAGAGGTCATAGATGTAAACTAGCTAAACACAGATGCCGAAGAAATATAAGAAAATTCACTTTCGCAAACAGAGTGGTAGATGGTTGGAATAAGTTAGGTGGGAAGGTGGTGGAGGCCAAGACTGTCAGTAGTTTCAAAGCGTTATATGACAGAGTGCTGGGAAGACGGGACACCACGCGCGTAGCTCTCAACCTGTAACTACACTTAGGTAATTACAAGCAAAGTCCATTACAGTAAGTCGACCGTATTGTATAAAATACTGTACAGAACATGTATGGTTGGAAATTTATTTTCAGCCTTGTTTTTATGACATATTCTCTGCATGTTGTACAGTAGTTAACATGAAGTCTATACTTATTGCTATATTTATTAAAAAAAATTTAGCTTTGCGGTGTAGCAGCCACACAGATTCAAAGAGCAATGTAGTATGTATTCACAAATTCCTTCACCACTAATAGCCTTTGTTTTATTATACAATACTGTACATCCATTTCACTCATGCAAATTGAAATTATGAGAATTGTGAATTACACATAGCTGTGTAGTTAATAGTAAAGTATTTTACCTTCTAAATGCCAAACATAAAAGTCTTAAAACAGTTTTACTTGTAAAAGCACACAGTGGAGAACATCACAGGACTGATGTACTGTATTATAACCAAAGAGCAAAATTTTTTGCAAAGCTCCTTAGTGTGCCTAGCCGGGAATTACTGTACTTTAAATAATAGCATAATAATATACAGAACATGTAGCACAATATTGTACACTAGTTTCTAATGCTTGGGGGATCTGAGCCAGTTACTGTATGTGACTAACCTTTCCCACAATTGTCTCAGATTAGGTATGGGGTACATAATAAATGAACAAAATCAACGTTATAATGCAGATACAGAAATTTATATAATTTATAAATATTATTATTAAATATTATAAATATTTATAATTTATATTAATTTATATAATTTATTTATAAACTGTACTTATTTATTTTTCAATAAAAGTACATATTGAGGAGTACATCTGGATAGAACTTATACTCAAGCAATTAAACTTGCCTTCCTTCTCTGTCTGGCAAGACTGAAGGCATCAAGTTCAGTGCCTATTATGCGAGCGGTGTGGCCAACACTATAGATCTCATCTCTAGCATTCATTCCCTGAAGAAGGCTGTGAATGCATACCACAAACTGGCGGATTAGCACGCGCATCTCTTTGGGAAGATGATGAAATTCCACCTCGCCTGAAAAATTGGCAATTTGCAATCTCTTTATTTTTCTACTCTTTTTATTATATGCAGTTAAAAATGCGTTTAATATAAATAATTAAAAAATGAACAAAATATCACATATTTTAGAATAAATGCAATGTATTGTATATTAATTAAAATATCATGAAATTATATCAGTCATAAAATTTTTACAGAAAATACAATAAATATGATACCTATACAAAGGTTAATAACAAAATACACATGTTGCTCACCTAAATTTTCCACTGCTTTTGCTTTATCACCTTTGGGTAATGCTTGCTGAAGCCTTGATATTCTCGCAACATCTGAACTCAACAATGGATATAACTTGGAAAAACATGGCATAAATAAAAGATTTTCCGAATATGGTGCTATAACCAAGGGAATGTAAAATATTTCCACGGTATAGTTCTGAAAAAAAAAAAGTACAGTACATACCAATTATAAGTTTATCTAAAACTAATTAATTAAACATTTTGCTCATCTTGATAGTACATGAACTAAATAAAAATGTACAGATGATATATTGTCTTTCTGTAGTTGATTCAGGCCTTATTTACTCTGAGTATGTAAGCAAAACAATTTTAAGGATGCACATGCTCTCCAAGTGTTGTAGAATCTTAAATCAACAAATGAAGCATTTATGAATAATTATGCATGTTGGTCAGTCTAAAAACCTAAAACTAAAATACAGCAATGGAAATTACCATGTTACCCATCCAGGCTAATACATCTTGTTCTAAATTACTCATCAGGAGGTTTTCGTCCACTTCTCGTCCACCGTAGCGAGCATAGGCATGGACATTAGGGTGAGCCGAGGTGGTGATGATGCTGTACTGGAAGCTGGAGGCTTTGATAATGTCTTGTAATACAGTAAGGGTAGTGTCCCGGAGGGCTGTGCTGACCATGAACACTGCCTTGACATCATCCTTATTACCTCTCTGGATAACATATTTATGTCAGAAGTAATGAATTAACCAGTGGCAGCAATTGTCTACAAGTTTATTGTTTCATGTCCATTAAGTACAAGCATAATGCTGTATTAAAAATTAATCAAAGAAATATTAAACATATTACAGTACTTGCTTTCTAGTGATAAGGCTTTTGGTAAGATACTCTACATTTAAATGGCCAAACCAATCTCCAATATTGCATAATAAGTAATGTCTGGCATTGTCTATTTGTCAAATCAAATGATTTGGGTAAAAAGAGAAAGGGACTGTGCAGTATACATAAATGGTAATAATTAACAGGTTTTTAAAATGATCTTCTTAAAATGCTCTGACTCTCTGAAGAAGGACGAGAGGCAGCTAAAGCCTCACTGGCTTCTACTTTATTTATGATTTTGTTAAACTATAAATAAATTATAATTACAGTATTATTTTTATTTATTGTGTCATGGGACAAGCAGCCACTGTATATACACATGTTAGGCTTATATTGAGGTTGCCCTCCCCCTCCCCCAAGGTCAAACTACTGACCCTCCCCCATGATGCAACCCCACAACAAGCTGACTAACTCCTGGGTACTTATTTACTGCTAGGTGAACAGCAGCATTGGGTGATAGGAAACGACCCCAAACATTTCTCTCCCACCCGGGATTCGAATCTGGAATTCCCATTTGTGGGTTGAAAATGAACCCGACTATACTACCGGGACCCTATAAACCACTGGTACTTTATTATTATTTCATAACGTATTGTTTTAATAATAATAATAATAATAATAATAATAATAATAATAATAATAAATGTTTATTCAGGTAAAAGTACATGCATACAAAATGAGTTACAAACAGACTGAAGGATATCTAGATAGAGCTATTATTAACTACAGTATGCCTAAAGCCACTAATATGCCCAGCATTTCAGGCAATTTTTTTGTACTACAGTATATGGATTGTTTCACCATCACTAAAATTTATTAAACTTAATGCGTAACTAGATAAATAGTCCTCAACCTTGCCTATGAAATTCAGATTCTAAACGATGGAGCTCCTGCTACAAAAAGATGATGGGGAGAATGGCAAATAAAGGATGGGAGGAGATAAAAGCAGATGGATGAGGATTAAGGCAACTGTGGATATATAAGGATTGGGTAAATGTCTATAGAAAAACAGGGATAGAAGTAACTGAAAATAAAGAAGGATGATGGTAACTGAAGACATGGATAGGGCTAAATGTTGATAGATAAGGGAGGGAAACTACAGATAAAGACAGGAGTAACAGGAGCTAGAGAAGATTAGGGATAACTACAGTTCATGATAATAAATGACTCCAATGAAAGTGGTATGGGAATATATCTTAGGACTTACAGCAACATGAAAACTCATAGGCCCAAGTCAGGCTTTACCTCAAATGATGAAAATTCTTTAACATTCTTTGCTCCTGCATTGACCAATCTTGTAAGGCCACCGCTCCAGTGAAGACATTCCGCCGTGTTATTGTCGAGAAAGACAACAGCATTTTTAACTTTCTTGCAAGCCTCAGTCCACCACGTTTCAGACACGCAAGCTACAACATCAGCTTGCATTGCACTCAACTAAGCTGAAATTGAAGAATTGAGAGTATCATTTTGTTGGAAAATAAATCTATACTGTAAATGTCCCTGTCCAGGGAATTTACCCAAAGGCTACCATACCTAGTGGGCTCGACGGGGACAGGAAGCCAGTGGTCTGTTATAGATCCCACCCACGATATTCATTAGGATATGAATTTTGTTGAACGATGAACTCCAGTTGAATTTTGAGCTCTAACACTGTCTTGACAGTTATAGCTTCAGCAGGTAGGCAAGTTAAGTAAGTAATTATCAACAGTAGTCACCAAGCCGGGAAGACCATGTTCAAGATAACCATCAGTGTCACTATGTTCAAAAGGCATTTTGAACCAGTACGAGAACAGAAACCCATAAGGCGAGTGATATCAAAGGTTCTCCAGGCATCCCCTATCGAGAGACAAATGAAATATGAGTGGTTAATTACCTAACTACACTCGCCTCACATGTATAGGGTTGTTATTGTTGATTTAGGGGCGATATGTTAACAGCAGCTGACGGAGGGGTTGTTGACACCTGGGGCTACGAGCCTACTCCCTTTCTCCTCAACGCTTACATTACAATTTCATCAGTTACGGTAAGTTATTTAAATATTTCTAATGGAATTTGGATTTATGGGTTCACTCTAATTATAGATTTATTTTGAGCACATATAAATTTATCTTCAGTAGGAACACCATTAGGACATTAATAAACTGTAACTATAGAATATATCAAAATAAAAAAAAATAAAATGTTTATTCAGGTTAAAGTACATACATACAATTGAGTTACAAACATAATGTTGGCTTTCTAGATAGAGCTAGTACATACAATGTCTAAAGCCACTAATACGCAAATATAGATCATCAATGCTGTAATTGTTGATAACTGCAGCTGAACAAATGTTTTAAATTTTAAATAATAATAATACTTTTATTATATAAAACTCTCTCTCTCTCTCTCAGCTTTAATTGAGCTGAACAAAGCAAAACTTCTTCAGTCTCCGTGGTGTAGTGGTAAGACACTCGCCTGGCGTTCCGCGAGCGCTATGTCATGGGTTCGTATCCTGGCCGGGGAGGATTTACTGGGCGCAATTCCTTAACTGTAGCCTCTGTTTAACGCAACAGTAAAATGTGTACTTGGATGAAAAAACGATTCTTCGCGGCGGGGATCGTATTCCAGGGACCTGCCCGAAACGCTACGCGTACTAGTGGCTGTACAAGAATGTAACAACTCTTGTATATATCTCAAAAAAAAAAAAAAAAAAAACTCACTGTCTGTCTGTCTGTCTGTCTGTCTGTCTGTCTGTCTGTCTGTCTCTCTCGCTCTCTCGCGCTCTCTCTCTCTCTCTCTCTCTCTCTCTCTCTCTCTCTCTCTCTCTCTCTCTCTCTCTCTCTCTCTCTCTCTCATGCCGTCATGCCATGTTTGTAGAGCTGTCAGTCCCGTCATGCCATGTTTGTAAAGCTGTCAGTCCCGTCATGCCATGTTTGTAAAGCTGTCAGTCCCGTCATGCCATGTTTGTAAAGCTGTCAGTCCCGTCATGCCATGTTTGTAGAGCTGTCAGTCCCGTCATGCCATGTTTGTAAAGCTGTCAGTCCCGTCATGCCATGTTTGTAAAGCTGTCAGTCCCGTCATGCCATGTTTGTAGAGCTGTCAGTCCCGTCATGCCATGTTTGTAAAGCTGTCAGTCCCGTCATGCCATGTTTGTAAAGCTGTCAGTCCCGTCATGCCATGTTTGTAAAGCTGTCAGTCCCGTCATGCCATGTTTGTAGAGCTGTCAGTCCCGTCATGCCATGTTTGTAAAGCTGTCAGTCCCGTCATGCCATGTTTGTAAAGCTGTCAGTCCCGTCATGCCATGTTTGTAAAGCTGTCAGTCCCTTCATGCCATGTTTGTAAAGCTGTCAGTCCCGTCATGCCATGTTTGTAGAGCTGTCAGGCAGAGTTTCTTTCACCCTATGCCCCTGTTACCTAGCAGTAAAATAGGTACCTGGGTGTTAGTCAGCTGTCACGGGCTGCTTCCTGGGGATGGAGGCCTGGTCGATGACCGGGCCACGGAGACACTAAAGCCCCGAAATCATCTCAAGATATAATCTCTCAAGCTGAAGATCTCCTCTGGTAACAAGACAGCTTATCCTCGATCTTGCACTCAGGTATTAATTTGATTATTCCTAGTATTAGGTTGAAGTAACAATGACTTGCTTGGCAACCTTCAAAGGTGGACTATCACGCCAAGGTCACAGATATATGTAACAAGGTTGTGTTATTTATATACAGCGAGGCGTTTTTTGTATGGTCTACAGTCTACGCACACACTGCTCATTAATGAGTATTGTTTACTAATTTTTGGCCATCTGTGGCGTTCATGAAAATAATGTAATTGGATAAAATTTGTATCATCACACATTTAAGGGCTAAACGAACTCTGATACAGGGGAAGAATGAGCCCATTGTGTGACTATGGCTCTTCCACCACCACCCACTGGTTGGGTGTGACTATGGTTCTTCCACCACCACCCACTGGTTGGGTGTGACTATGGCTCTTCCACCACCACCCACTGGATGAGTGTGACTAAGGCCCTTCCACCACCACCCACTGGATGAGTGTGACTATGGCTCTTCCACCACCACCCACTGGATAGGTGTGACTATGGCTCTTCCACCACCACCACCCACTGGATGAGTGTGACTATGGCTCTTCCACCACCACCCACTGGATGGGTGTGACTATGGCTCTTCCACCACCACCACCCACTGGATGAGTGTAACTATGGCTCTTCCACCACCACCACCCACTGGATGAGTGTGACTATGGCTCTTCCACCACCACCCACTGGATGGGTGTGACTATGGCTCTTCCACCACCACCCACTGGATAGGTGTGACTATGGCTCTTCCACCACCACCACCCACTGGATGAGTGTGACTATGGCTCTTCCACCACCACCCACTGGATGGGTGTGACTATGGCTCTTCCACCACCACCCACTGGATGAGTGTAACTATGGCTCTTCCACCACCACCACCCACTGGATGAGTGTGTCTATGGCTCTTCCACCACCACCACCCATTGGATGGGTGTGACTATGGCTCTTCCACCACCACCACCCACTGGATGGGTGTGACTACGGCTCTTCCACCACCACCACCCACTGGATGGGTGTGACTGGCTCTTCCACCACCACCACCACCCACTGGATGAGTGTGTCTATGGCTCTTCCACCACCACCACCCACTGGATGGGTGTGACTATGGCTCTTCCACCACCACCCACTGGATGAGTGGTCGCTTGTACAAGAAATTTGCTACATGAAATATAAACGAGCTTTGTCAACTGGTGTTGATGGAACGTGTGTGTGTGTGTGTGTAACCATACCCCAGTAAGTAAGCAAGCAAGCAGGCAGCAGGCGGTGGTAGTATCAGTCGGGACGTGGAGTTCGTCCGGTGAACACGCACACATACACGCTCCTCGAGTGACCTTTCCTGCTTCGTCTTTACTAAGCGCTGCCCTGCTGCGTAAATCGCTGATGTTCACAATTTGAACTTCACTAGCCTACGTGGAACTTCAGTAAGAAATTCGGGGAACTTCACTAAGGAAAATTGATTAGGAACTTCATTAAAAAAATCCAGTGGACTTCACTAAAAGGAAAAAAATACTTGGAACTTCACTAAGAAAATCCTGGGAACTTCACTAAGAAAATCCGGGGAACTTCACTAAGAAAATCCTGGGAACTTCACTAAGAAAATCCTGGGAACTTCACTAAGAAAATCCGGGGAACTTTACTAAGAAAATCCGGGGAACTTCACTAAGAAAATCCGGGGAACTTCACTAAGAAAATCCTGGGAACTTCACTAAGAAAATCCTGGGAACTTCACTAAGAAAATCCTGGGAACTTCACTAAGAAAATCCGGGGAACTTCACTAAGAAAATCCTGGGAACTTCACTAAGAAAATCCTGGGAACTTCACTAAGAAAATCTTGGGAACTTCACTAAGAAAATCCTGGGAACTTCACTAAGAAAATCCTGGGAACTTCACTAAGAAAATCCTGGGAACTTCACTAAGAAAATCCTGGGAACTTCACTAAGAAAATCCTGGGAACTCCACTAAGAAAATCCTGGGAACTTCACTAAGAAAATCCTGGGAACTTCACTAAGAAAATCCTGGGAACTTCACTAAGAAAATCCTGGGAACTTCACTAAGAAAATCCTGGGAACTCCACTAAGAAAATCCTGGGAACTTCACTAAGAAAATCCTGGGAACTTCACTAAGCAACCCGGGGAACTTCACTAAGCAACCCGGGGAACTTCACTATATTTAAACAAGATGGCACAGAGACCAGTGAGCGAGGCACTGGGAGAAGAGAAGCCTAAATTCGCCGAACTTAACAACTTGATATCAGAAAAGGTAAAATAAATCAATCCATATATGTAGCCTATGTATATTTTAAGTCATTGTTCGTATATTTTCATTTGGCTAGGTAAGCTAAACTATTTGGTCATACAAGGCGAGTGAAGCTTGTGTATATATAGGTATAGGTTATCTTTTAAGTTATCTTGAGATGATTTCAGGGCTTCGCGTCCCCGCGGCCCGGTCCTCGACCTGGCCTCCCTTTTGTTACACAACCCCAGGAAGCAGCTGTCTAACTCCTAGGTAAATATTTATTGCTAGGTGAACAGGAGCATCAGGGTGAATGAAACTGCCCATTTGTTTCCTCCTCCGCCGGGGATCGAACCCGGAACTTCAGGACTACGAATCCCGAGCGCTGTCCACTCAGCTGTCAGGCCCCCTCATATAGGTATATAAATAAATATAAATATATATATATATATATATATATATATATATATATATATATATATATATATATATATATAAATATAAAACTCACTTAAAACTCACTTAAAAACTTAAACTCACATCCAGAAGAGACTCGAACCCATACTGCCAGAAGCACTCTGCAACAGATGTACAGGATCCCTTAACCACTCGACCATCACGACCGGACAAAAAGAGGATGGTAGCCGAGGCTAATTCCCCATCCCCCCGCCGGTACTCTGATGGTAATCTTGGGCATGGTATTTTATCAAATCACCTCATTCTTTGGGGCACACGTGAGGAACACAAATGCGAATAAGCCTGAACGGTCCCCAGGCACATATGCAACTGAAAACTCACGCCCCAGAAGTGACCCTATTGCCGAACATATTATAACCTCAGTGTGTTAAGTAACAAATCTTAAAATGTTTATAAGGAGTGTATTGGATGTAGTATTGTTGTTGTTGTTTCAGATTTAGCTACTCAGAACGAAGTGTCCATGTAGCACGGGCTATGGTGAGCCCGTAATACGGACGTAGTATTAATGGAGCAAGTAATAAATAACCTCTTGTGTGTTGGACAGGTGGGAGGCGCAGTGGTGTTCGCTACTGATGACTGGTTTGCTGTCGCCGACAATCTGGTCAAGGTGAGCCAGTTCATCCTCTCATCATCATGTTGGTCTTGTTGTTTAACATTCAGCTACTCGGAAATAAAAAGTTGCACGTAGCACGGGCTATGGCGAGCCCGTGGACTTGCAACAAGCGGACTTTCCTGGCACAGGGACGAGGCTGTTACTCATCCTCTCGTCATAGTTCATGAATTATGTACCCCCTATACTCATCCTATGAGCGGTGTATATATAGCAGAGGTTACAAAGGTACATGATGGGATCATTTTCCTTACTCCCGTTATTACCTCACTTCCCACCCACTTGGGCTGGACGGTAGAGCGACGGTCTCGCTTCATGCAGGTCGGCGTTCAATCCCCGACCGTCCAAGTAGCTGGGGCACCATTTCTTCCCTCCATCCTATCCCAAATCCTTATCCTGACCCCTTCCAAGGGCTATAAAGTCATAGTGGCTTGGCGCTTTCCCCTGATAATTAAAAAAAATATTACCTCACTTCCCCATACTCACTGACTGGTAAGTAGGCAAGTACTATACAGCGTCTTTATTAATGTGTTTGTTTTACAAAAAAAACTTGCGGATTGCTCTTATTGGATGTATTGTGTTATTGCATGTCACGACGATTAATATATAAATTGCTACATCTTTGGTTTATTAAATCGGTGTCTATATAGTTATAAATTAAAGCATTCTTGCGTAGGGAAAACTATCATGTTTTCATTATATTTAACATTTCCGGGGTAACTTTTTTGTTTCCCCTGTGCGCGAGTGGTGTGTGTGGTGGGCGTGTGGGCGGGTGTGGGCGTGTGGGTGGGGTGGGCGTGGTGTATATGTACTCACCTAGTTGTGCTTTGGTTCTTTGGTCCCGCCTCTCAACCGGTGTACAGATGCCCGAGCGAGTTACAGTACTATAACTGCGTATCTGTGTATGTGTGTGGCGGCTAGGAGGGGGGAGGGAGGGAGAGGAAGGGGCTGAAGGGAGAGTGTACCTGTAGAAATAACATTATAATCGCCACCCCCCCAATCACGCCTCTATAGCTCTTCCCCCATTCAAGGTCATCATTAATAACAGTGTAAAGCCCCTATAAAGTCCTCATATACAAACATTTATATAGTTCCCACAACATTTGGAAGAGCAGGAAATATAATAATTGCAAGTGTGATAATGTCAGTATGTGGATCTCTAGTTTGTTTTTCAGAGCGACAACAAACTTGTTTTGTTGTTGGTATAGCTATGCCAAGGTCGTTAGGAACGACCAGTCCACCGTTCCCACCCGGGGGCAATCATCCACTCTCACATTGCCAACTTCACAAATGTTTCTAAGCACTTTGATAACAAGAATAACTGTACAATTACAATTATTGCATTTTAACTGCGTATATCAAACTATTATTAAATAGCATTTTCTATCTGATATTAAAACACTTTAACGATGAATTGATGGATGATTGCTGTATTGATTGTTCATATCATTGGGTGCTGTGATAACTAGCCAACCGTTCATGGGGATATTAGTTCACGATCATGAACTTGAAAAGCATTATTGTCTCCGGCATTTACAATGGGCGGGATTGGTTAGCCAAAGGGTTGTAAACATTTATTGGAGTTTGTGCACAGTTATTATAGAGCAAATCATTTACAAGATGGAAATAATTCATACTGAATTTACAAACTTGAAGAAAAGTTCTTACGTTGTGATCATTACAAAATCAAACAAAGTATAAGGATCACATACACTCACACATACCTACATACATACATACATACATACATACACAAAACCATGCACATCTGTTTACATCTATACAAGAAATTGTCTATATGTGTTTGAGTTTGGAGCCAGACAGTAACGGAACCTCAATTTGCAGGGTGACTGGTGGTTGTTCAGGGATGGTCACAGGTGTGTCAGGGGTCACAGGTGTCAGGGGTCACAGGCGTGTCAGGGGGTCACAAGCGTGTCATGGGGTCACAGGCATGTCAGGGGTCACAGGTGTGACAGGGGGGTCACAGGCGTATCAGGGGTCACAGGCATGTCAGGGTCACAGGTGTGTCAGGGTTCACAGGCGTGTCAGGGTTCACAGGCGTGTCAGGGGTCACAGGCATGTCAGGGTTCACAGGTGTGTCAGGGGTCACAGGCATGTCAGGGGTCACAGGCATGTCAGGGGTCACAGGTGTGTCAGGGTCACAGGTGTGTCAGGGGTCACAGGCGTGTCAATGTCACAGGCGTGTCAGGGTCACAGGCGTGTCAGGGTCACAGGCGTGTCAGGGATCACAGGCGTGTCAGGGATCACAGGCGTGTCAGGGATCACAGGCGTGTCAGGGATCACAGGTGTGTCAGGGATCACAGGCGTGTCAGGGGTCGCAGGCATGTCAGGGGTCACAGGCATGTCAAGGTTACAGGCATGTCAAGGGTCACAGGCGTGTTAGGGGTCACATGCAGGTCAGGGGTGACAGGCATGTCAGGGGTCACAGGCATGTCAAGGTTACAGGCATGTCAAGGGTCACAGGCGTGTTAGGGGTCACATGCAGGTCAGGGGTGACAGGCATGTCAGGGGTCACAGGCATGTCAAGGTTACAGGCATGTCAAGGGTCACAGGCGTGTTAGGGGTCACATGCAGGTCAGGGGTGACAGGCAGGTCAGGGGTGACAGGCATGTCAGGGGGTCACAGGCCCCAAGCACCCTTTTTGCATGATAAGGCAAATGATACTGTTATGGTTATCGCCTGCATAGTAGTGGATTCTGCCTGTTCCTTACCACCTATGTATCAGCATGCTCCAACATAAAGACTCAACTTCAACAACAACAACAATATGTACCACACATATTGTCTAGACATGCCTCTTCCCACCCCCCCTCCACCCTACCTTCAGTGAGATACAGCACGCCTGCCATCTAGCCAGCCCTCCTGATGCCAGATAAACGTTTAAAGTTTTTATTCTCATTGTTTTTTTGCCCGCAATTGATACACTGCAGAGAACCCAAGCAGATTTATTTTATTTTGTTTCTCTTTTTTTTTTATTAATGTGTGTTTGGCCCAACACCTGCCAGAACAGTTACTGCTCTATTCCAGATCACGTCACAATACAAATTTCTAATCTCGCTAAATATCAGACTCCATCCTCACTAACATTCATCCGGTATATTATTTTCTACATGATTGTTAATGTGTCCTGGCTAGTTTATTTATTAATGACAGTTTATAGTGAAGATGGTCACAGTGATGAAGGGGAGGTGTTGAAGAGAGTAGGGAAAGCACTGAAAGATAGGGAAGGTGGTGAAGGAGAGGTAAGGTAGTGACGATGATGATTGTAAAGGGGGGGTACCTGGCAGTGGCTGGGTAGTGAAAATGGCTACAGTAATGAAGACCATTGCAGTGATGAGGAGGACTGTATGTAGTGTAGATGGTTAAAGTGATAAAGATAGTGTGTAATGAAGACAGCCTCTGTCACCTGTGCAATGCTGGGTATTCCTTCTAGTATCTATATACTGTATACATATGCACACACACACATGTTAACCTCCCACTCAATAGAAAACTGCTAATGCATATTTTTTGTTACAAATAAAAATTATTATTTCAGGAGAGTGAGGCAGAGTGGCGAGAGGGAGAATTCACCGAGTTTGGAAAATGGATGGACGGCTGGGAGACTCGAAGGAAACGGAAGCCAGGACACGACTGGTGTATTATAAGGCTGGGTAAGTTTACCCCCATCTTATGCAAACTTTTCCCTACTCCGCCCACCTCATGCCCATATCAAATCAAATCAAATGTTTATTCAGGTAAAAGTACATACAAACAAGATGAGTTACAAACATAATGTTGGATTTCTGGATAGAGCTAGTACATACAGTGCCTAAAACCATTAATACGCACAGCATTTTGACGATTGCTTGTTTCGTTTTCTCCCTATTTGCCATCAACACTCATCCTCCCGAGCTGCTATAAGAGCAGTATACCCCAGATGCCTCCTATTTTCAAATATATGTATACCGCCAGTATTGGAAAGTGCAGTAGTTAAGCTGATAGATTAATTGCACATTGACAATGAGACCAACAATGAATTTAGTAAGATTCAAATTTAGAGATGTACAAATACTGTATATGTACAGTATATTGTACTAAAGAAAATATAGAGCATGGCCCCACACCAAGACTGTGAATGCCATGAGCTTTAGAGGAGCACAATTTTCCAAATACTTTCCCCAGTTATTTCCTAACATTTATTTTTATTTATTTATTTATACTGTATATACAAGAGTTCATACATTCTTGTGCAACTACTGGGACACATAGCATTTCGGGCAAGTCCTTAATCCTAATTTTCACACACATCCCCAGGAAGTAGCCTGTAGCAGCTGTCTAACTCCCAGGTACCTATTTATTGCTAGGTGAACAGATGCATCAGGGTGAAAGAAACTGCCCATTTCTTTCTGCCTCTGCCGGGGATCGAACCCAGACCCTTAGGACTACGAAGATGGAGCGCTGTCCGCTCTGCCATCAGGCCTCAGCCATATTTATTTCATTAATATAAGTACATTATTTTTAAATTATAACTATATCATTATTATTATTATGGTAATCATATTTTACTTATTGACACTGGTAGTTTTGTTGAGAATGCACCTCTTATGAATTATCATAATGCATATTTTGCATTCACTTAAATTGTATAGTAGTAGTAGGCATCCATCAGTCTGAGGAGACATCATCAGTCTTGCATATTGTCTTTGAATAAGGGGTAAGTTGCAGCATCAAATATTCATTAAACAATCATTTATGGTATTTAAATTGTTGAATGAACCACATGGTCTCTAGTCTGATGCAAATGTTCCATAATTTCGCCTATTTAAGGTGTCAAAATTGGTTTGTTATTGAAAAAGAACTCCATGAGAATCTTCCCGGTGAAAAGAAAGAAAGAAAGATATACAGTATATATATATACAGTATATATATATATATATATATATATATATATATATATATATATATATATATATATATATATATATATATATATATATATATATATATATATATATATATATATATATATATATATAGTATATATATATTTTATCTTGTCCCTAAAAAAAAAATTTGGATCATGCTTGATACAATAACATCCGGTACAGTGGCATTCGATCACTAGGTTAGTGCAACTGCTTTCTTCCCCATGTCCATGTACTGTATATTGTCCTTGTCTCTCTTCCAAATGCTGGAGCATTAAAGGCTTAGTGCTCTCTCCTTATAATTACCTCACCTTATTATTACTTGGTGGGTGGTGTTGCAGGCGTGGCGGGTGTTGTGGCTGGCATAGATGTGGACACTTCCTACTTCACTGGGAATTACGTCCCTCAGGTCTCCTTGCAGGGAGTCGTCCTTACACCCAAAGGTACCCAAGTCTCCTCATTTTTCTGCTTTCCTTCCTCATTTTCTGATACTTTATCTCTTGCCACATTTTCTTCAGATTGGTTGATATTGCAATACAGTATTTTCAAGAAATGTACCAAATTCCTGTTCTAGACTTGCATTGATAAATTGCACTTATTCTTGACATTTCCTGGAATTCTTCTTGACCTGGAAGACCTTAAATGTCTTGTGCCTATCCACTACATTTTCTGACCCCTCCTAACCTCCCTTAAATTTCCCTGCATGGCATCTACCCTGTACCCCATATGTTACCTTTTATGACCTCAGTTGAGCTTTATTGACCTTCCCCAGGCACTCTTTATTTTGGCTCTTTCGCATCGCTCTACCTTTTCCTGACCATACCCAGCATTTCGTAACTTTTTTCCTTACCTCCTTTTGTATGGCTTCCACTAACCCTTTCTAGCCTCCTGACATGCCATGACCCATTCCAGAAGAGGCCCTGATCCCCAAGAGGCAGAGTGTGATGGGGAATGAAGCGAGTGACCACGACCTTTGCCAGGTGGCTAAACTCCGCTCAGAGGTGTGTCATCCACTCTTAGGTGTTGCCCTAAAATGGAGTAACTAGCTGGCATCATGGCAGTTACAGCCCAAAGGAAGAGATGGAGGGGAGGGGGGAGGAGGGGGGGGTAGAGGTGCAAGTAACAGGAAACGGCAAGTTGTACATTAAATCACAGAAATTTGTCCACTTGTAATCAGCCTTATATATTACAATGTATTCCCAAGATGTACAGTACTGTACTTGTTACTCAAACCGATACAATTTAGATGTATAGAACGGGAAATGTTTTCTGGTAACATAAGATTACAGTAATTATTTACTTATGTAGAATCTGTAAAAAAAATTCTGAAGACATAATAGTCTCAAGACATATCTTTCTTGCCTATCATAGAATAAAAAGTATATACTGTAATTTTCAATAAAACCTTTAAATCTTAGATGATGGTCTATGTTATGTGAAGTACAGTACTGTATTTCACTATAGAAATGTAAGTAAATTGGGTTTTGTTTATAAATTCCCATAATTACTGTACTGTACCAAAATTTGAATTTTGCTATTGAGGATTTGTGCTCCTCTTAATAAAATGATAAATCTTGTTATTACACATAAAAATAATCATTAATTAATAGAATTTAAATGAAAAGCATTTGCACACAGAAATCACAATAGCGTGATGCATCAAGTGAACAAATTCACAACAGCCGTGATGAAGCTTGTGGATTTGAAGGTTCGAAGATTCGAACCCTCGTCACGGCCGGCCCGTGTGGATTTGTTCATTTTAAGAGCATTTGGCATCAGTTGGCATTTGCCAAGCTGGGCTTGGGGAGTAGAAGAACTCCCAGAACCCCATCAAGCAGGTATCATTGCACCCAAAAAATATTACTTATTCAATATATATTAAGTTTGAGACTATTTTAGACAATGCTTTTCTTTATTCATATTTTTGCCTTCCTAAATCCTACAAGAAAAAGACACTGTAAAATAAAGATGTAACTATCCAAATTTCAGGAAAAAGCCTCATTACCTTGGAAAAGGTATCATATGCACCAGTCCATTTTGTTGTGTGGGATGGGGTTATATAAGGAGATAATGCCCCCATGGAGCAAACAATAGAACAATACTGTAATGCTAATATTTTCTCTGCACCCTTACTATACCTAACCCCCCCTACCCTCCATCTCTCACAACTCCTGTGAACCTGGTGATGGACTGCTGCAGGAGTGGGACACCATCATCCCACAGTCAAAGGCACGACCTGGTTATCGTGATACCTGCCACACCTATCTTCGGTCTACCTCCACCCACCGCTACACCCATCTCAGGCTCAATGTCTACCCGGACGGAGGCATTGCCAGACTCAGAGTGTTTGGCTATGCTGTGCCAGACTGGTCTCTCGTCTCTTCTGATCAGGTGGATATTGCAAGTGCTTAACAATAAATGTACACTGTATGTATAAGTTATGTGAAGGATTTATTCATGTTTAGCCTACATGAATAAACACCTATAAAAAACCACACATGAAATGCACATGCCCTAGCTTGTTTACATACAAACACATGGGCCTGTGATGTTTATGCTCATCCTCCCCTGTAATACAGGTACTGTATTTTAAAATTGTGTATACACTGACCATGTAATGTGTTGGGTAGCTGGTGGACCTGGCTGCTGTCGGCATGGGGGGCGTGTGTGTGGGCTACAGCGATGCCCATTATGGCCACCCACGCAACCTCATCAGTCCTGGTCGAGGTTCTACTATGGCTGATGGATGGGAGACTGCACGAAGGCTAGACCGACCTCTTATCCTCAAAGGTCAGTTGCCGAAGTATGGGCTATAGGTCATTAATATGTATCTATATTTATGGGATGATCATACCTATGTGAGTGTATGCTATGCATTTTTTACATAAATCATTTCTTTAGAATTATAACTCATGAATACATGTGTGACACAGCCTAACTACTATATGGGTTTAAGAGTATTAATGACTGAATTCTGAACATAATGTTAATGCTGTACTGTAGATAGGACTACATAGGAATTGGTGTAGGCTCAGATAGTCTTAACTCTTTAGTATAACCAAACAGAGGGCTACAGTAACACATGGTTAGAATTGGCAATATAGTAAATACGTTCTCAATAAATTACAATGATAACATGTAATGTATGAGACAGTTGCGATACTGTGGGCTGGAGGACAGGCTGTGCATAGTCCTATGTCATCTGTCAGAAGAGGCAGAGAGAAGAGGTGTGTCTTCCTAGAGAATCCAACGATCCTTGATGTGCATTTGCTGCCTTATATAGCCATCTTGAGGTTATCTGGAGATGATTTTGGGGCTTAGCGTCCCTGCGGCCCAGTCCTCAACCAGGCCTCCTCTTTGTTATGCACCCCCAGGAAACAGCCCATAGCAGTTGCCTAACTCCCAGGTATCTATTTTACTGCTAGGTAACAGGAGCATCAGGGTGAGAGAAACTCTGCCAATTTGTTTCCGTCTCCACCGGGGATTGAACCCGGAACCTCAGGACTATGAATTCGAAGTGCTGTCCACTTAGCTGTCAGGCCCCCTGGCCAGGATCAGTGCCGAGATATTAGTGGTGTGCAGATCCGTGATTTTCTGCCTGCAGGCTTGTGTTGCGAGGGCCAACAAATCGCCAGCTTCACCGCATCAGTCTAATCTGGTCCTGGTGAAGGGACCAGGTCATGGCTGCTCTGTTGTTCTTTGGAGAGTATTCAGAGATGTTCTGCAATGTGTTGAAAGTAAGTAATTACCAAAGAAGGCACCAAGCCGGGAAGGCTATGTAGCCAATGTGTTGAAAAATCCACACAATCACATAGAAAATAAACTTTAGAGAAGTCCTTTATAATTTATCTTAAAAAACCAAACAACTAACATGAATAATAAAGAACTCATCAGTTCATACATGCTAAGCTTGCCCTAGTCTTGAGTGAAACATATCTGTATTGGAAGTAAGAAATTATCAAAAGAAGGCACCAGGCTAGAAAGAATAAGAGGAATCCTGTAAGAGGAAATACCTGTACTAGGTAAATAAGTCACTAAAATGACATATGAAACCAAAGTATGGCTTCACTGTGGCTTGATTAATTTAATTTATTGCCATGACAGAGATTTTACTAATGTGTGCAATACTGGTAGTCATTCAGTGTCATTATCACTATCACTATAACATCACCCCCATTATCTCAGCTATTTTCTAATACGTACTGTACTTAACGATTCTTAGAATTGGTAAAATAGTCTATTTTAATATTCTCCCGCGTTTCCAGCATGTCAAAGGAGCAAAATGTGTGCGTAATAAAGGGTTTAGCTACTGGTGTTGATTCTGTTGTACTGTAATAGTAAGATGAAAACTAATTTCCTGACTTATTATCATCATGCAAAATTTTCAGTATGGGTAAAGCTGTACTGTATTTCAACCATTATTTTTTTCCTAACAACAGCATACCTTCCATTTTTCTAGCCCAATTTCCTCTTGTCTTGAATAGTATCTGTAATAGTACCACCAACAGTAAAGTGTTCCTAACAGATAACCACAATATAAACTAAAAAGTTTATATTTTGATATTTTTTCTATGTACAGAAAATTCCGTAATCTGTAATCACTACCACTGTTATCACCACAGCCGACAGCCAAGGGATCCTTCAGTTTAATGGGTTTGAGTGGACGGTAATTCGCTTGGGGCACCCCGGCAAGATCCTACAGATTGAGGTTGACACTCACCACTTCAAGGGTAACTTCCCAGACTCTTGCAAGATTGAGGGCTGTCTCCTGCTGGATGAACAGAACCCAGAGGGCAGCATGTGGAGCACTATATTGCCCCCACAGAAGGTGATGGATTTGTAGACTCAAGTTTTGCTTCTATATTTTCTTGGGTAATGTGTGTGTGAGAATTACTTTAACCACTCTTTAATGGGGTGCAATATTTTGAACATTATCAGTATTTAGGCTTGAATATTTTAGGCATAATCAGTATAATAAAATGCAGGACCTATTGCTAGTTCTAAAACAATATAATTTTCAATAAACAGGGAACACTGTCTTTACATTTTTGAGATGGAATAATCTACACAGAGAAATTTGCCATTAATATTTTCAGTTGAAAGCGCATTCCCGGCATTTCTACGAAGCAGAGGTGCTGAAGGTGGGGCCAGTTTCCTACATCAGGATTGTCATTGTTCCTGATGGAGGCCTCAGTAGAGTAAGACTCTTCGGCAGCATCATCAAACCAGCAGCCACGAAGTAGTTGCAAGAATGAAGAACACTTACAGAATACCATTATAGTGTATAATGCTGTACTGTATTCTTTTTTGTTGTTTCCACTCACCAGCATCCGACTTATTAGTAAACCCACAATATTCATCATGTATGCAAGTCTAGTCTCCAAGCTTTGGCATTTTCATTCAAGATCTGTATCTCCTTTAGCAGTCAATTTATCTGTTGTTCCCATCTTTTCTTGAGATCCCCTGAAGTCTTCAGACTGAGGATTATTTCGATTACTCTTAAAAATTTAGTATTATAGGTCAAAACATGCTGAAGCCATCATCTGGAGGAATTAAGTGTCCCATCATAAGAAATAGCATATTGTTCTCTACTTTTGTCATAGTTTGAGATCAGTTTAATTTTGTTTCTTTATTTGTCACCCAGTCAATAAAACAGGATTGTGGTCCCGGCTTAAGGTTGGGTTTGAGAATACATACTACGCATATCTCAGGAGAGCATTTATCATCAATACATTTATACTTAAAATGTAAGCATTATATTATGTATCCTGTAGTTAATTTTCTGTGAAACACTGTTATACATATCTTAAGATATACATTGTAAACCATGGTATTTTTCCTTTCAAAAACTGTAAAGTTGCTTCAACTGAATATCCCTCTTCTTCTTTCTTCTTATCTACAGTATGTATGTATGTGTGTATAACGACAAACTAACAAAAATTGTATGCTTTATGTTTCTGCATATCAAATATATATTAAACCATTAAAATCCTTAACAAAAACCCAATTGGCAGAAAATACTACAAGCAGTACAAATATCTCGGTGTGGATACTAACAGTAAAACTGTGTGAATTTCATCTGAGGCTCAAGAAAAAAATATAATTTCTAAAAACACTTGTTGGCAAGCAAATTTGTCAAATGTGCCAGAATGTTCTACATAACATTCATTAGATCCCTAATTGACTACCATGCCTGAAATGTTTTGCACTTTAGTGTATTTATATAATTTATGTATCCACCAACAAACCACTGTGCAAATGAAAAGGTACAAAGACATGCAACTAAATGGCTCCCAGAACTGAAGGACAAGAGCTATGAGGATACGGTATGCCAAAACTAGAAGATAGAAGAAAAAGAGGCGACATGATCACTACGTACAAAATGGTAACGAAATTGATAAAATTGATAGGGAAGAATTTCTGAGACCTGGAACTTGAAAGTATAAAAAGTCAAAGATTTAAACTAACTAAACAAAGCTACCAAAGAAATATAAGAAAATTCACTTTCTCAAACAGAGTTGTAGACGCTTGGAACAAGTTGGGTGAGGTGGTGCTGAAGGGAAAAACATTCATAAATTTCAAAGTTGGCAAAGAGTGCTGGGAAGACGGGATACCATGAGCGTAGCTCTCATCTTGTAACTACATTTAGGTAATTACTGTAAATTGTTCTAATACCATGCAGTATATATACTGTGTAAATCAGAATTATAATATATAAAATTTTCCAGTATATGTGTGAAAAATGCAATATAAAGCTATTAAGAACATTCCTGGTGTCCTAAGATGCACAAGACTCAACATGAGGGAGAAGTTGGAACTCCTCATCATGTTCAGAAGAATTATGCAGCTAAAACCACCACCTGTATCAGCGTCACGAGTGACTTCCCGCCAGCAGTTTGGAAAAATTATCTGGTGTTCCTGACAGGTCAGCAAGTGCTACCAATTAGTATACAAAACAAGTAGCCTAAATACAAATTACTAATCTCATTAAATCTGTGTATTCCTATTGTGTGGAATGTACCAACTAATGATTTTCTACTTTATATCTGCACCCTGTAATATAAGTAAGACATATCCACCACCAAAACTAATAATAACAATAGTGCTACCAAAAGCAACAAACACATTTTACCACTGTCTCATTAAACAATATGATCAATGTGTTTGTTATGCAAATAATTGTTTCTATCTTGTTATGCTACATTTATGCTTTCTGGTGGCTTTGGGAATGTTTGGGAAGCTCTCCAATTCCCAAGCTTCCCATTCACCATGCAGAGGCAGATTGTGGTCCCGGCTCAAGGCTGGGTTTCAGACATCTGGCGTATTTCCTTACTAGCATTTATCTCGGGAAAGCTACAGAGAACCTAAAAGAACAGAATTTCATTACATTCAATGTAATGAAATTGTTTACTTATACTTGTTTGTTTACTTGTTTACTTATTTATCTGCTTTCAGCAAAATAAAACTTTTTCACCAAATTAGTCTATTTGAATCATTACTATATATATGGGTTATTTGAAAAGGAGATAAACATTAGCTTTAGTTGACTCTAGTTGACTATACTAAGAAAAAAAAAAAAAAAAGTTTCTAAGTAAATTTGTTTTTTGTGATATTGATCAGTGGTGCAGTTGGCTTGGGCAAAAACAAATGAACTTTCTCACTCAGGATTGGTGTAAAGTTATGATACGAATCTTCTTGAGGTTATCTTGAGATGATTTCGGGGCTTTTTAGTGTCCCAGTGGCCCGGTCCTCGACCAGGCCTCCACCCCAAGGAAGCAGCCCGTGACAGCTGACTAACACCCAGGTACCTATTTTACTGCTAGGTAACAGGGGCATAGGGTGAAAGAAACTCTGCCCATTGTTTCTCGCCGGCGCCTGGGATCGAACCCAGGACCACAGAATCACAAGTCCAACGTGCTGTCCGCTCGACCGACCGGCTCCCTGATGCAACAGTGATTTAATATTTATAGTTGATACAAACAAAATACTTAATGGACCCATTAGTACAGTCAGGTTCGTTCTTGACTCGGTAGATAATTTCGGGAGGGACTGAAATAATTGGGTGCATTTCCTGTCACCTAATGCACCTGTTCACCTAGCAGTAAGTAAGTGCTCAGGAGCTATTCAGCTTCTTGTGGGGTTGCATCCTGGCCGAGGTCAGTAATTCGACCTTGGGGGGAAGAGGAGGGAAGGGGGACCCTTGATACCTGTATGTATAAGGCCGACATCAGAGCCCAACTCCATAGTCTCCTGAGACTGATGGATGCCTACTACTAAGCCTAAAGTGTATAAATAAACATCCCTGTGGCATAGTGGTAAGAGACTCGCCCAGACTTTCACGAGCGATTTGACCTGGGTTCATATCCTGGCCGGGGAGGATTGACTGGGCGCCAATCCTTAACTGTAGCCTCTGTTCACCCAGCAGTGCATGGGTACCCGGTTGTTAAACGATTTTGCGAGTCATAGTCCGGGGAAAATTAGGATTAAGGACCTGCCCAAAACACTATGCATGCTAGTGGCTCTACAAGAATGTAAGAGCTCTTGTACATATAAATAAATAAATATAAAGAAATACACTTGCTGCCTGTCTCTCGACACAATGAATTATTATTAATCATTATCAAAGGAATGGACAAGAAACAGGAGACTTTTTAGCACTGTTTTTCACAGACTTAAAATAATATAATTCAGGCAGCCATTACAAGAACAAAGTGATACAAAACTAGTGCACAAGGAACAACAACTTCAACCAGTATAATGTAGGACAGAACGGATAAGTTACAAATGTTAAGAATTTTATTTATTTGTCTCAAACAAAAATACACATTTATTCATGGTTGAGGCAAAGAGACATGTTATTGTTAGTATTTTCTCTTTGTAGATTAAGAAGAAGGAAAGGAAAAAATCCAATAGTGAAACCAACATTAAACATGTCCCAAATAAAGAATCCTTGTTTATATGAAAAACAAAAAAATTATGCTAGTTAGCATTCCAACATACTTTTCACATATATTTTTATTTATATACTATATATACATATATTGCATGAATGCAAGGGGCAAAAACACATCGTAATTCTATTTATACGATACCGACTTAATACATTAGACAAAAACTGACAAAAACAAAATAGACAAAAATGAAATTCCTTGCAATTTTTTTTTTAAGTTATGGCAAGGATCATTCAACAATTGCTATATTTTGCCTTATTTCTTAATATCACTTTTTTTCAAGAGCAGAAGTTTTTATTTCACCGGCGATATTTAGAGTGGATCTCTGATCCCCCATGTCATTGCGAGAAAGTCAGATTCCCGTTCCCTCGGTAGGTTCATATATATCTTGGGAGGCCTTTTGCTACTTGTACCTAAGCCCAGACTAGGTAATGAGGGGGGACCAGCCCAGAAATCAAATCAAAGCTGTGTTAGTGGACAAGTGTGTGTGTTGGCCCCTCGGATAGATGGCTGGAAAGCTAAGCGTCGGCCACCACTCTAACCACTTTACTGGCATGTTTATTAGGACAACATGCAAATATGAAACTTGTGTAACCTCTTTCCAAAAAATAACCCGTGTCCAAAATGTAAGTTTATGTCTGTGGCAACTATTTCTGTTAATACAGATGCTAACTGCTTATTTGTGAGAGTAATATACATGCACCAGTATCTTTAAATACTTTATTAGATGCCACACACAAGCTTATTCATCATGAATTACTCACCAATTTACTCTTGATGGTGTATGAATTATTAACAACCTTCTAAAACAATAATAAAGCTTATGTAGATCAAGAACTCTCACAAACTTTTGTAGATCAAAATCAACATAACTCTCACAAGATGATCAAGTTCTTTAACTCCCATCACGGGCAGCCAGCTAGCGTGCAGCAAATGTGTTATGACTGATATAAATGCAAAGATATAATATATTGCCACTAAGCTACATCCCATTGACAGGTAAAAATGAAAGTGTATACCAAACACAATGCAGCAAACATTCAAACTTTCCCTTTAAAGAAATTATATATAATTTTATTTTAAAATAATTTTTTATTTTACTCAAACAAAATAAAACATTTTTTGTACATTCTGAAAGTTCCAGGTATTCTTTGCTAATGATTCCCCTCAACATTTCTGGCATGATAAGGGTCGAGACAAAATAATCACATAGCCTGTGTGTGTGTGTGTGTGTGTGTGTGTGTATCTAGTCGCACATGTTTTCCTTGTTTTGACAAACATTTTATTATCACACACAGAGATCACACTAACGTGATGCATCAAATGAACAAATCCACAAGGGCCGTGACGAGGATTCGAACCTGCGTCCGGGAGCATCCCAGACACTGCCTTAATCGACTGAGCTACGACAGGATAAAAGGGTTGAAGCCGAAGTTCTACTGAACTTACTGGATGCGCCTGGGATGCTCCCGGACGCAGGTTCGAATCCTCGTCACGGCCCTTGTGGATTTGTTCATATTTTATGATATTCTTGCAACATGGTCCCTCTAACATTCGGCAACTCGTGCTGGACGCCAAGAAGAGACACACAGCAGGCAATATTTCCCACTCGTCTACATCATCAGTGTCCTTTATACATTACACATTTTTCGCTGGGAAGACTACTGTACTTAACGATAATGCTCGGGCAGGCATTTCATTTAGATGTGAACGCGAGAAAGGGTGACCTTAGGATGTGTATGCAGCGCATCAATATTTGTTCTCGTACATCATCATCTTGCAGTGTGATGATGTATCATTTTGTGTAGCACAAGGTTTTCCTAGTTGGCATCTCTCAGGGGTTTACTCTATATACATGAATGGTAATGTAACTCATGTACAATAAATTGAATACATACATGAACAGAAGTCTGAGCAACAAAGGATAATAGAGAAAATAATACAAAAGAAAACCTAAAAAAAAAAAAAAAAAAAAAAAAAAAAAAAAAAAAAAAAAAAAAAAAAAAAAAAAAAAAAAAAAAAAAAAAAAAAAAAAAAAAAAAAAAAAAAATTTTTGCTTGAAAATACTGCAATATAATTCTAACAATGCTGCATAGTTTGGCAAGTACTACAGTATTTGTGTGGATGTGCACTCCAATACGATTCCTTCTCGCATTCATGCACAAGACAAAATGATACATATTGAGTATTTAAAACAATGCCAAACATTACTGAAAGTCCCAATTGAAGATCTAACAAAATATAAAAAAGCATCCATTAAATAATGAAATGCAATATACAAAAAAAAAAAAAGTTAAAAAAATTGGTACACTACAATTGAGAATAAAGTGAGAAACCTCCCGAGATTGCAAATTCAATCAATACTAAAATTGCTAAGACGATATCTTCTGGAAAGAAAGAGTACTTATTATAGTATAAAATTAGTTTTCAGAGACTACCAAACACACTGGCATATGCAGTGTTTTGCTATTCAGCAAATAAAATAAGGCACATCTTAAGCATGAAGTTAATCCTTAGAAACCTCCTTCAGGTATGTAGAGACAATACAAGAATAATACATACAATTCTAAATACTATACCCGGTATATTATGAGAATATCGGATATTATTTCAAATTACTGTAATGATTTGGATTGGATGAAAAAGGGTTGGCCAGAAAAAGAATAACAAGAAAATCGATCACAAACCCAGCATATAATACAATTTAAATTTTTATTAGTGATTAAATGAGGATTAACTGTTGAATGATCCTTCAACTACCCCGGTGATTAACTACATCTCTGTATTGGAACACTCATCATGTCACTGCTGGATGATGTCGTCGTTGTAGATCCTAAATAAATGAAGAGCTTCAACATCTTGCATTTCCCGTCTTTAACTACTGATACCTTTTTACCTGTGGATTAAACAAAGGAAATGCATAAATATCAAACGAAAAGAATAACAAATATAAAGTATAAAGTTATCTTTTAACCTAAAGATAGATAAAGCAAACTTGTGTGAAATAGGCAATCATACAAGTGGGAGAAAATTTGTGGAATGTAGCAAAAGGCTCGAGGGCAAGTATGGAAATAAGGGGAAAAAACTATCATAAACAGTAACTGCCTAACCCCATTTTTAACAATGGATTGCAACCAACATTCACTATACTTAAGCTGTAAATGTACGAGAGAGAATTTCCCTTCGAGGGTCGAGGCCAGACGTTTGGGGCTAGTTTTATTAAACTTTGCATGATTAATTTAATTGTGATTTTATCAGGAGTATCATATGGGAAGGGGGGGGGGGGGGGTGGAGTTGGCCCAGTGGTCTCTGATGGTGGAGCACTGGGCTAACTCCGTCAATGCCCCTTCTTGATGAAGTTTGTGGATGTGAAACATTAAGCCCTAAGTCCATAGACTTTAGATGTTAGCATTAGTTTTCAGATACATACTGATCTTTAAAACACATGTTCAGATGTCAGATTTGCATACAGAGAACAATCTTCTGGTTACATTGACAGGAAATGGGAGTGTGTGGGGAGGAGACTTGGCAAGTGCGTGTCGGCAGGGATGTAGGAGATGGGAAGGGAGTGTGTGTGTTCATGGAGGGAGGAGACCAGGTAAAATCGTGTGTGAATAGGCAGGGAAGGGACAGGAGTGAATGTTGGAAGGACACTGGGAGGGTTTGTGGGGGATATGATTAGGATGCGGGGGAGGATGTGTAGGTGAAAGATGAGGGTATGGGAGGGGTGAGGAGGGTGTGGTAGGGAATTGAAGATTGTGTGAATATGTTTATTGTGATGAAGACAGAGTGTATTGAAGATTGTTACAGTAGGGAGACAGGTGAGTGTACAGGAAGATGAAGTGTGTGCGGGATATCTGGGGCACTGGATCGACCCTGGTACCACTGAGTACCTCAATCATCTAGTGCGTAGAAAAAAAAGATTCTAAAAACTAAATACTGTAGCTGGCTAAGAAAACTTTGTTACATGGAACAAATTTACAGTGTAACTAAGTTTATGAAGCATTAAAACAAAACATACAACATGTCTCATGCATCACTAAAACATTCAGAGCAGAAATATAATAATTTTGTCTCCATAATTATGTACTTTACAATAACACAAATTATACCAAATTGGGGAATAGCACAAGGCCCACTAAACAGCAGTCCAGCCAGGTCAATTGATCTTAACAACTAAATCGACCTTTAGGTAGGTATCTCTTGCACCATTAAGTCTAAGATTGCTGCACCACATATAAAATGACCATACAATATGTCATGATAATAAGCCTCTAACTCAATAGATTTTTTATTGAAAGCATCTAGTACAGTCGGGCTATATTTTCATCAGCTTTATGTATTACCTCTCTCATGATTGTTATGAGCCAACAAGAGACCCACTACCTTACAAGTCACAGTGTGAAAAGGTGGCACAGCCAAAATCACAGTCATCATTAACAAAAGTACAGAAGGCATACACACACGAAGGTGAAATAAACTTTGGACTTAACAAGAGGCACATCATAAACAGCAGGGGCCATTTAGATTAAAAAAAAAAAAAACCCACACCCATTAAACTGCATCAGGACTAAATGCTGGATGGGATCTCTCCACAATACCATGACCAGCAAAAATGAGGTAAATGAGCATCATTAAAACCTCTGGTGACACTACAATAAGGAAGGCCTGCTGTGTAAAAGCATAAAAATGCACATGGCATGGGCCCTCCAAACCTCCATACCCAAACCAATGGAGAAGGGCAAGGTCACTGTAGCTAGACTAAACGAGAATGAACCATTTCCACACTTCTCATAAAAACACCTTCCATGAAGTACAGCCCACAATTTCCCTAACAGGATGATGTGCATGTGTGCAGATGAAATTCATATAATAAACAAGGGCTTAGAAGAGGAGTTTGACCAGTTGAAGGATACCGATGAGCCTCAGGAAATATCTTAGGTTCCCACAATCAGCACCAAGGAAAAGAACTTTTCAATCAAGTTGAAGCAGACTGCAAAGCTCAGACATGCAAAACAACTGTGCATCACACCATGAAGCTAACACAACAACATGGAAGCTGCCTGTTCAGAAACTAAATCTCAAGAATAACCAAACTATAAATTATTCCCTACAGAGCTGCATACATAAATATGGCGAAGCTGGCCAAAAAGTGAGTGGCCACCTACCCTAAGCACTATTAGTCTTACCAAAGTCCAGTAGCACTATTACCGCTGCCACCTGGTGGTGGTCAATGTAGTGAGTAGTTGTGCTAGTTATGTAATTTCAGTATGATTCCTAGTTCCTTTAGAGATCCCAATGATCATTTGAAGGAGTTGTCGAGGGGTTTGATATGTACTTAGGTGTCATAGTAAGCACCTGTTCTCGTATGTATACCAGTGTATGCTCTATAATGTGTGCTTATCTTTAGAATACAGGACTATCAATTTTTCAAGATTATTTTTCGAGGGGCTCAAAGTCACTCAGGGTCTAGCATATTAGCGAAGATCTCAATGGGCCCAGTGAGCATTGGGTTCATGCTTAGAAAGCATTTACTCAATAGTCATTAACTGTGTCCTACTACAAATACATATAATATATTGTACTAAACAGAATTTCCTACCACTTGTTATGGCGACTTCTGTTCTAGTCTCTAGATAAACAATCTTTCCTTTTGCCGTTGCATCGGTCATCTTCAAAGTGCCAAGTCCTTCAATCACAAACAGTTTCTGAAATGTTAATATAAACAAATAATAAATGTATCATAGGCAATTAAATTAAAACTGGCTACATTTTATAAATATTATTTAAGATCAACAAGCAGGAAAAGGTGTATAAATAACCGGTTTCCAGCTTCATTCAAGTAGATTAAACAGAAACCCTTAGCTCCCAGCTGCAGATAAATTGATGAAATACAAGAATTAACCTAAAATTCAATAATTTCCACAAGTACAATGTAAGGGAAAATACAACTAGCAGCACAGACATATTAACCCTTAAACAGCTCCAATTACTACTTGTGATTACCTTCCAGGAACAAATTGCCATATATATTTTTTTCCCATTTGATTTAACTATTTTTTTTGTCAGGTACACCATGATGTAGTCCTCTAAAATAGTTGAGCAGTCCAAGGGTTAAGGGCTGAGAAAGGCAATTAAATAAGATGGTTTCCTCTTACCGTTTCCCTTGTAGTGACCCACACTAGCTGACCCCATTCCACAAAGGCAAATCCTGCATAGGTATCAAACTCCTCGTCTTGGAAGCACCGGGCAAGATAACACCTACAGCGTTTCGATACTGTCTCGATAAAGTTCAAGTCCTTAAACTGTGTCACCTTTATTGTTGGTGGGACTGGGCTTTCCTCCTTTGTCTCTATAAAAGAAGAAAAAATAAATCAGGTGAAAACTTATCTGCCCTTAATGGTAATTGATAGAGGACCACAAAGTAAATACAGTACTGTACTTTTGTGTTTTGCAACTAAAAATATACAATTTCTAGGTAAGTATGCTTATTAGTTGCATTTAAGATAATTTTCTATACATTTAAAGCATGTATGGTTTTGCAATGTGCATTGCAAGACTCACCACATTCATTATTATTTCTACGAGAGAAACAACACACACTACATATGAAGCAGAGTACTACCAAGAAAAAAGTCATGAATTATAACTCATCCAGGATGCCACAGCACAGCCTACTTACTTATTTGTAAAAAATCTCTTACTTTGCCCAAATCACTTTCTGATCCATATGAGTATTCCTGTCCCATTTTGATATTCCTATCCTAGCCACACACAAGCCAAACTTAGTATTAGTGGAGAGGGGCTTCCTAAGTCTTAAAACCCCTGTAAAGAGAGAGAGAAACCTAAATATCACTCAAATTAATATTTAGATGATCCCATAATCCATATATATTATGGCCTCTTAAAACTTCCTTCTCAACAGGTAGTAGAAAGAATGACGACTCTCCCGTCAACGATTCCAAGGATCACCGTCCCCGCAACCCAGTCCCTGACATGGCCTCCTGGTTGGTGGTCTGATCAACCAGGCTGTTCAATGCAGCTGTTCACAGCCTTACATATGAGTCACAGCCTGGTCGATCAGGTATCCTTTAAAGGATTCAACATTTTTCTAGTTATGGGGAAGCTTATAAAGCACACTGCAAAAAACCAGCATTGAATGTGATGAAACGCCATTTTCTAGACGAGCCCCAGAGGCTCCCCGGAGCTTACCGAGCTGATATGTATATACAGTATTAGACCTTGGCATCAGTCGATGGAGTTCTTGCCTACTGGGGACCACGAGCCAGAACCTGGCCACCTCAGAGAAGCACGAGGAGCAGTAGCCTATGGAAACCCCCATGTGTTTGGAAGCATTCCATGTCTGGAATTCCGGGGTTTGACACCCAGAAAGGTAGGCGTAACAAAACAAACCCCCACTTGGTAAAAATTGCTACCTAAAGCCGAATCATGGAGGTAGAACTTCCAAACTAATACAAGCAAACGTCACAAACGCTGTTGCACCGATCATCCACTACAGCATTAAATTCTGAGGCTGAGCATCAAAACGAGTGCAAAAACCGCCGACCAGAGGGTACTGGGGAGATTCGGGGCTCACCCAGAGCTGCTCCCATTCTGTGGGGAGCCCCTATGACTCCCCAGAGCTACCTAAACAAAGAAAAGTGACAAGAGGGACTTACCCAGGAGGTAGCCGCCACTTGTGGCTCAACTCGAAGTTGAGACAACTGCCTGCGACCCAAAGCAACACACACCCGAATAGGCCCAGGAATGTTGACTAAGTAACGTGTGGCCAGGACCCTGTTTAACCTCCAAAATCCCTGTGCCATGTCAACCCAAGGCATGTTACCAGAGACGGCAGCCAAAGCAGCAAACTTACGAACTTCATGGGCATAGATAGATAGACCTATCTATGATTATGAAGTTCGGATAGACCACAGGCACAAGGATACACCACAGGTTGGCTGGACCGAATAACCCCATGGACGACCTGGAAGACCCGAACCCTGGAACAAAGAACAAGGGAAACCGGGTCAACCCAAAACGCATTTCCAGCTACAGAGGCCGTGGCACACAGGTAATGATGCAGAGCCACAACCGGACACAACACATGATGCACTCCCGGCCTGACCAACCAAGCATCAATGACCCAAGGACCCCTTCGGAAAACCACCAACTCATTTTTCATCAGAAAAGGAGACGGCTGCAAATGAACAAACCTACCATCAGGACCGAAAGAGCAGAAACCTCTGTGCTGGAGGAGAGCATGAAGCTCCCTGACCCAACCCCCAGAAGCCAATGCCAACAGGAAAAAAAAAAGAGCCTTGGAAAAACAATCTTTTACCGGAGGGGCCACCACAAACCGAGGAGAAGAGAAAAAGGAGAGCACCCTGTCTAATTACCAGAACAGGTCAGGTGGTGCATGAGCAGACCAGAGGTGAAACAAAGCATGAGAAAGCTTATGGAACGGAGCGGAAGTAACATCCACCGTGAATGCAAGCTGAAGCGGCTTCGCCAGCGCCGCATGATACTAGGCGACAGTATTAGGCATCAAATGACAGTCCTGAAAAAAACAAAAAGGAAAGGACAAGACAACCCCTATCCTAAAATATTTTATCAACCTACGAAAAGATAGAAAATGGGGGAAAGAGCACAAGGAAATTTTATACTGTCGCCAAGACAAAGCTCACAGGTGGGACACCATCAATAAAGCCACCTGATCACCATACAAGTGGTGATAAACCAGCGTCAGAAAGACCAGATGTGAAGAGCGGAGGAGAAAACTGAACCAGCCAGGTACCTGACCAGGCTGATCTGCTGAAATAGGCGGAGCCGTGGAAAACATTGCGAGTTCGTACACCGAGCAAGCAGCACCTGAAACCAAGGCTGAGCCGGCCACCAAGGAGCCAACAGGATTACTCTCCCCTGATAAATCTCCAACTGAACCAGGACTCAAAATAACAGCTGGACCGGGGGAAAGAGGTACAGGTAACCTCACCTCAACTGGTCCCGTCAAAAGGCATCTACCGCGATGGCCTTGCACTTGGGGAAGGGCGTCACATACACAGGAAGATGCCAGGACCACACCGACGCAAAGCGGTCCACGTCCGGGAGTCTATACATCCGGCAGAGCCAACTGAAGGAGACGGCATCGATTGTACATCCTGTGGACAGGGGAATGAACGGAGACAGGCAGCCGCGAACGCCCAAACCGTGCTGTGAGCCTAATGGAAGGACGGATCCCACTGCCCCTGGCTGGCCTGGTGAGCACTGCTCACAAAGCCCCAGCCGAGAACCGAGGCATCCGTGAACACATTGAGTGAGGACTTGGGTAGGCACCAAAGCACTGAACAAAAAAAAAACAAAGAGGAAGCCAGCGACGCAGCATTGAGTGTGGTGGCTGCTTTCCGGAGGGGTTCTTGGATTGTTGATGCTTGATTGGCTAGGCTGGGGGTATATCGTGTGTTGTGTCTGGTTTTTGAGCGCCGCGGCGTCTGTAGCCGTGTAGCCATTTTGGGTTGCCCTGGTTCCTTTCTTCCCTATTCGGGGTTTGGGTCTTCTGTCTGTTGGGTCATTCAGAGTTGCCAGTTGTCTTGATTTGTGTTTAGGGCGTGTGGCAACCGCCTCCCGGGTATGTCCCCCTTTTTCCTTATCTTTGGTTAGGTAGCTCCGGGGAGTCAAAGGGGCTTCCTCCAGAAAACCAGCATTGAATGTAATGAAACACTATTTTCTCGGTGAGACCTGGAGGCTACCCGGCAACACTCCAGTCTGCAATTTTTCATATGCTTTTGATACCCAGCCTCAGAACTGGGGTTTTGGGTAGCCAGCATAAGGGGTCTGGGTCTCCCCCTTCCCCCTCTCGGGGAGAGGGGAGCTGTGCAGACGGCGGCGCGGCAACGTGGTGACGTCATGCTCGTTTTTGTTTGGGAAGTTCTGTCTACTAGTTCAGCTTTCAGTAGCAATTTCTTATCCTGAATAGGGGCCTGTTTTGGGATGCTTACCTTTCTGGGTGCCTGACCCGGTTGATGGCAGACATAGAATGCTTCCAATCACATGGGGGGTTTCTATAGGCCACTGCTCCTCCTGCCTCTCTGATGGGGCCAGGCTCTGGCTCGTTGCCCCTGGTAGGCCTAAGAACTCCATTCACACTAACTGATGCCAAAGTTTACATATTCTGTGGCCCCTGGTAGGTCTAAGAACTCCATTCACATTGATGCCAAAGTCTAACACATCCATATCAGCGTGGATAAGCTCCACAGAGCCGAAGGGGCTCCCCCAAGTAAACCTTATACAGTAATTTCTGAAAGGTCTAATAGACCTGGAGCCACAATTTAATTATTTTGTATTATTTTCATATATTTACACTTGAAGAATTCCATAGCTAATTTCTCTAGTTACAGTATTCAATCTTTGGTGTGAAACTTTGAACAGAATTGTGTGTATTTTAAAAGAATTGGGATACAGTACTTCCCTGCAGTCCATGGTAATTAACTTAAATTTTACAAGTACCTAATAGATTTAACTGACATACAGTGCAACATAGGTACTATTTAGATTTTGAAAGCATTTGTGAAATTTTGAATTCCAGTACCAATTGAACTAACAAAAAAGAATAAATCTTGAGGTTATCTCGAGATGATTTCAGGGCTTTTTAGTGTCCCCGCGGCCCGGTCCTCGACCAGGCCTCCACCCCCAGGAAGCAGCCCGTGACAGCTTACTAACACCCAGGTACCTATTTTACTGCTAGGTAACAGGGGCATAGGGTGAAAGAAACTCTGCCCATTGTTTCTCGCCGGCGCCTGGGATCGAACCCGGGACCACAGGATCACAAGTCCAGTGTGCTGTCCGCTCGGCCGACCGGCTCCCGTCAGGTAAAACAGGTACAGTATAACAGTGAACTATTTACATTTTTCAGTTTATTTTATTGAGATGTGTTTTAAGGCCTTCTTGTTTCATCAAGATTACTTATTATTACTCTATCATTTGAATTACTATTCTTAAGGACTCTTTAAAAGACTGATAAAGTTGGTGTCTTATCTTGCACTTCACTGTACTTACCTAAACTCCTCCTCATTCGCTTTAATGGTTTACTGTCTTCGGCATTTGCTGTCTCATCAAGACTATTGGAGATTGGGGAAAAAAGTTTTCTTTTAGACACTGAAGACTCTGTAAAAAGCCTCTGGGGTGACTTGCGAACACAAGCTTTATGTCTGTTAGAATTTACAGCTGGATGTTGGGAGGTTTGAGATTCTTTATCCTTCTTCTTTCTTATAACGGGAAGTTCTTGCTTGTGATGAATGACATCTACTTCACCATTTTCTAAAGCTCTCACTTCAATCTTTTCAAAGTTCCAAAATTCCAGGGGCTTTGTTCGCACTCTTCCCGAGCGTCTAATTGATACAGTGTCTGTTGAAGTACATACTGTATTAAGGTTCTTTAAAGACTTGGGAAAAGCTTAAGAATACAATTAAAGGGAAACTTTGAAGTGTGTGATAAGAATGTACAGTATTGGGTTAATAGATGTTACTAAATACAGTGGCATTTATATTTAGGAAGAGGACCATTCATAAGAGGTAACTCTTAAAAATAAGAGATTCATGTAACAAATATAGTAGAATATTACCATGGTTGTTCAGTGTTTACAGATGGGATCATAAGAGGTATGGTCTTATTGTGTGAGAGTTGTGCGAGCTTAAGTGCATAAAATAAATAAAAATAAATATATACTGTACAGTACTGAAATAAACAGTACAGTACTGTATATAAATCTGATGTCCAAGTATGCAAACAATGTAGTTTTTATAGCAGAGAATGAGATATATATCATATCCAGATTAATTAAATGTTTTGGTCAAATATTATAAGTACTGTAGTAAGGGAAATTATATTTAAGAATGTTAATACACAATTGGTATATATTAGAGACGAGTCCATGAAAGCTATAGATGTGTGTGGTTATAAGTTGCTGAAATTGGGTGGGGGAGGGATACTTCATGGTTTATTGAGAACAAAATAGCTGTGTGCAGAAAAGATAGCTATAGACAAATGTTAAGTGATAGGAGAGAGAAGAAAGGATGTAATAGCTGCAAAATTTTTGCAAGAAAATATGAAATTGGGAAGAGAGGGGGGAGAGAGGGGGGGGAGATGGAGGAGAGGGAATAGGAAAGGGGAAGAGAGGGGGGGGAGATAGATGAGGAGGAGGGGGGGAAGAGGAAAGGGAAAGAAAGGGAGGAGATGGATGAGACAAGTGGGGGGGGGGGAGAGGAAAGGGGAAGAGAAGAGTAAGAAGACAGGGGGAAAGAGGTGGGGAGGTGAGGGAAAAAGAGGAGGGTGAATAGGGTGAAGAGGGGAGAGATTGGGAGAGAGGGTGGAAAAAGAGGGAGAAGGAAGGACAGGGTGAAAGAAGGAAGGAAACTCTTAGGAGAAAGTGCCTACCCATTATAACTACAGTATATAGCACTTGCAGGGGGGATCGGGATAAGAAGTTGGAATAGGACGGGGATGGGAAGAAATGGTGTCCAAACATTTGGATGGTTGGGGATTGAATGCCGGCCTGCATGAAGTGAGACAGTCGCTCTACCATCCAGTTTAAGTGGTTTGAGGAGACGGGGAGGAGAGGAGGTGGAGAGGAAAGAGGGGATGAGGAAGGGGGGGGTGAAGAGGGGATAAGAGGGGGGAGGGGGGGGAGGAGCAAGACCCTAGCACCACCAAGTACACCATCTAGTATTTAGTATACAGTACCGTATTGATGCTGTAGTCATCAGGTTCTAGAGGCTGACCAAGTCTAAATATAACAATAAGAGAGACTCCCTAGTAACACTAAATATAAATATACCAAATTATCAGCATTAGTCATAGATTGAATCTTGTTAATATAGATTAGTGAAAAATGAAAATGCAAAAGTTTAAATTCAAATATTCAAAATAATATGCTAAAAAAAAAGACAACTGAGGAAAATTTGACTAACCATTATTGTCTGTTGATGCCTCTGTGTTACTCAACAAAACAACACTACGACCAGGATCACTGGTCTCCTTGGACTGTTTATCACAATGTTTGCGGCGGCCTCTAACAGTTGGCAGTCTTGCAGGCTTCAAAATCATTTGGCTTGGTGGATTTTTCTGCAATGTGGTATTAGTTTGGCAAGTTTGTGATGGAAATTCATTTCTTGTGGTTACCAGTGACACAGTTTCCTGACTTAAATCAGTCTCACATTCCTCAGGAATTGAGTAGATGCTTAGCTGACTAGTCATACTACTTTTCTTAAGACGTCTGTAAGGCAGAAGGCTTGGTATCTTAAAAATGCCATTGTCTGTGTTACCAACTCTGCTCGATTTATGCAAAGGTACTTGTTTGTAGTTCCTCAATTTGGATGTAAAACTGTTATCATTAACTGTACTAGAGAGTATGTTTTGGAAACTGGGTTGATCAAACTTCATCTGGCTCTGGGATGCATTAATGCTGCTATTTTCTGGAGTAAGTGATGCTACAGGTAGCATCTGAATTTTCTTCTTGTCACTGGATTTGTAAGGTAACCAATCTGTAAAGATATGTAATAGCAAATATTGTCCCAATACCATGATATATTCCAGTCTACCACATCTGCTAAAACCCAAATTTATACACATCGTTCACAAATAATCTTGATACATATGGCACCGATGCTATTCACTTGGGTAGAATTTCTTAACCTATATCATCAATCATCTGCTTACATATGGTAGATGTAAACTGAAATTGTAACTTGAAATATTCATGGCAGAATACCAATAGGTTACTGGGAGAAGAAGAGAAGAGAAAAAACACTTATAATTTAAATTTTTAAATATATATTATTATTATTAATTGTTAAATTATTAAAAATGCCAATATAGCCCTGTGTTGTAGTCACATTAATGACTACAATATTTATGAAATATTGTAGTAAATACTGAAAATGACTACTACACTACAATACACAATATTGACTACTGACTACAATACTTATGAAACTACGTACACAATAAGTTCAGCTATTGCTGCAATCAGAATTTTGTCTTTTGCATATACTGTACTGAACAGCACAGGACTGTATTCTCTGTATACATTTAAATACAGTACTGTACCTGTATTTAACATTTTGCCAACTCACCTGACTTAATTGTGGACATCACAGATGAACCATTCTCTTGCTCGTTATGTTTTTTGATCATTAATTTTGGGGGGTGTTCTTGAGGTACTTCTGTCTCATTTATCTCTTTACTACTTTTTGACACTTTGCTTATTACCGACACATCTTTATTTTCTGTGGCCTTGGTCATGTCATTTTTGCCCACAATTTTCTTAGACTTTGTCTTGTGTTTATTTGAATTTGCATTGTTGGAAGTGGCCTGCAATGTCCTGCTCTGCCTTTCTTGGCCATCTTGAACAGTTGCACGCTTTTTTAAACTTCTAGTTGTTTCAGTTTTCTTATTTTCTACAGGCACACTTTTGTTCCCATGGATGTACTTTGTAGACATAACATTGTAGATAGAGCATTTGCTTAAGTCGTTCAAGTTATATATAATCGTTTCACTTCTTGATTCATCTGGTTTTTCAAAATTCCAAAACTCAACTGGTCGGACAGTTCGACGGCCCGATCGCCGGACCTCTGTTTCACTAACCATATCTAAAGAAATTAAAGGTGAAATCTAAATACGGTATTAAGGAAGTGATAAAATTATAGTAATATATTAGTTATAATGCCTCACAAATAAAGTTTTTCTGCATACTGATCTGCTGATCATATAATATATCTATAAAAACTATTCTTCAGACGTATTTCATTAGAATACAGTATCAAGATATTTTATGTTTAAACACTGTATGAAACTAATTAGTTTCTCAATATACAGGTGTTAGTCCAAGAAAGAAAAGATAGAGCAGAAACAGAAAATCCCACATATAACGAAAACTCTTTGATCAATAAGAACATAAGCTTGAACAATCCAATGAACTACTGTAGCATCTTTGTTACCTGGCAATTCATTTTATAAATCATGAGCTCTATATCCAAACCAGTATTTACTCAGGCCTTTTCCTAAATAAAGTATAAAATTTGTATCCATTGTTCTATTTATAACCCCATTGTTAATTTTTAAATAAGAATGCAATGCACCTCTATCTTTTTTAACAAGTCTTTCTTGAGGCATGCTATTAAATGTTATGCTGAAGTCAAAATATAAAATGCTGAGCTTTCTATCAGGTGCTTGAAGTAAGCTGAAAAAGAGAGAGGGAAGCGAGATTTGTTAAACACAAGCGGCTCTTATTAAAATAATATATTTCAGTATATGCTCATATGTTTACACATATTCAGTATGTCAAGATTATACTGTAGCTCAATTATGGTCATGCACCAGTCACTCTTCAAGGTCACCATACTGGCAGGGAAACATACAATGATAGCATGAGTTAAACATTACTTAAACAATATATATTATATTTACAGTATATCCCAGATGTAAATATCCCAGTATCCTAATTACCTTTATCACTTAACCTACCTCTGCACTGGTATCTTTGTTTGAATATGGCTTTCTTTTTTTCGATAAGGTTTTCGAGTAACAAGTTATTCATATTAGATAATTACTTAATCTAATTATATTAATTTATATGGTACACAATGTCTGGGTTTTAACTAGAAAGCTGTTTTGTAAATCTTGCATTTGCACAAAAACCATTGTGACAACTATCCAACCTCAAAAATCTCTCAATCATGAGAAACAACCCATCCACTGATGAAAATATCTTGACTAACTACAAACAAGCTTATACAGTATAGCCAACAAATATTCATAAATTGCCCACATGAAGCCTAAAAAACAATAACTAGGCCTAACTTATGTAGCAAATGCAGTGCCTTCAGCTAGGGTGCCACATAACTACTGTACAGTCATTAAGAATGAGACTTAACCTTCCCACAAACTTTACACATGAAGATTGTGTAACCATAATATTTCTACAGGTGCCATAGCCTTAACAGAAACACCAAAGGATTGAGAAAATGCAGAACTACTGGCCCATTTTTCTTATATTTTGCCCCAGAGGGCTAGTTTATTGGGCAGTGTCTCTCATAATATGAGTGAACATAACTACCAAAGCAGCATGTATTACACCCCCCACCCCCCTCAATGGGAAGTAAACCCATTGGTTTACATTGTCACTTGTGTTGCCCAACCAACACAAGTGACAACAAACTTGTGTTGGTTAGGCAACAAGTTACTTGTGCCCAACCAACTCATTCATAATGGGGTGAGAATAGCTTGAGCTACCTCATCCCTTTGTGTGTATTTATACCTCAATAAACTTATTTCAATTTCAACTCGTTCATATACTGTATATGGCTATCTTACTTAATATATATATAACTTACACTTACACTTGAAACAACGTCTCTACAGTATATTTTTACATATAAACGTATGAATAGGGAAACCTGCAGATTATTTAATTTTTTTGAGATATATACAAGAGTTGTTACGTTCTTGTACAGCCACTAGTACGCGTAGCGTTTCGGGCAGGTCCCTGGAATATGATCCCTGCCGCGAAGAATCGTTGTTACAACCAAGTACACATTTTACTGTTGCGTTAAACAGAGGCTACAGTTAAGGATTTGCGCCCAGTAAATCCTCCCCGGCCAGGATACGAACCCAGGACAAAGCGCTCGTGGAACGCCAGGCAAGTGTCTTACCACTACACCACGGAGACTGGTAAACCATAACTTAATTTCCACTTAGTAAAAATTGCCTTCTTTCTTTTGCCTTACAACTGAACCCCCCCCCCCTGTTCTGTAATTAACGGCTCTACAAATATACACAACAACCGAACCGCTAACCTGACCAAAAAACACAAATACTCGCAACCTAACGACTCGGCGGGGGCCAGCCTACACAAATTACCACCAAAACGCCTCCTTAATACCAGAGCAACATTAAGTATCTCTCCCAGGAGACCACCTGTAGCCAACACCGAAGTAGCCACAGGCGTGGACGACAGGTGTAACCCGTGTGTAGTGACCTGTGAGGGCCAGAGAGGCAGGGCCAGAGAGCCAGGGGAAGCCCAGGCACACCTATACGACGACCGCCATCAATACAAACTGAACGGGCTCGCAGGGACCCGGCGTATACCACTGTTTACATTCTGCTCTCTCAATACATTATATAGTTTTTTTACCCTTAAGTGGGTAATATTTGATAATTACAGGTATACAAATTTATTACTAACAAAACAACTCTGCTCTGAAATTCAGAAGGATGAAAATTATCTCATGAAAATTGCTTTTATATACATAGAATTTTTTATGTTTATAATTATAGTGAAATGTCAACCACAAAAACTCACATGTAATCATATATGCATTAAAATTATAATATGAAAACACTTTCCAAGTTCCTAGAGCTTACACTTGAAGCAGACTGTTGAGGGAGACGAGGGACCCTAAGCCAGCTGTTACCTTTCCATGTGGAGGCGACACAACAACAACACATGGTGGCAGACTCTCCCTGCTCGACTCTCGTCACCTACTAGACGTCTCCTGGGCTGCTGGACTGTACTCGTCACCTGCTAGACGGACAGCAGCTGGTGTAGTGACGAGGGTGGACGTGGTCTTCGTCCAGTCACGCCACGACTTCTTAATCATACGTTGATGTGAGCACTAGCACTAGCTATCAATCTGCTGTACGGTGTCTGTTAATCTTGTTTAAATTACCAATCAAGTTGTCAATGTAATCAATCAGAGCTTTAATATACCAATGTGCTTTAATATACTTACTATTCTCTCTCAAATCATTTTTTTTCTTGCAATGTATCTTATCATTTTATTAATTCTGCTAGAATTTACCTACTTAAAATTCGAACCTACGTCTCTGAGCATCCCAGATGCTGCCTTAATCGACTGAGCTATGACATGGTAAAAGAGTTGAAACCGAAGTTCTACTGAACTTACTGGATCCTGCAGCCTCTCCGAGACACAAACCAGGGTTTTACACAACTCCAGCTTGACATAGCTCGAGTGCATAGGGGAGTTGTGTAAAACCCTGGTTTGTGTCTCGGAGAGGCTGCAGGATCCAGTAAGTTCAGTCGAATTTCGGTTTCAACTCTTTTACCATGTTGTAGCTAAGTCGATTAAGGCAGCGTCTGGGATGCTCACAGATGTAGGTTCGAATCCTCATCACGGCCCTTGTGGATTTGTTCATTGATGCATCACATTATTGTGATTTCTGTGTGTAATGAAGAGATGAGTTTGAAAATAAATTCATCCTAATAAAATGTGTGGCTTCCCCCTCTATATAATTCCATGTTATTTTGCAGCTTTGGAGAGAAGATACGTTAAATTAAGTCATAATGGCATCATTAAAGAATGTGATGAAAACCCAGCGTGTGCACAGGGAACGACATCAGCCTCTTGCCCGTCAGCACCTGGGTGCCTTAGAGAAGAAGAAAGACTACAGGATACGAGCAAAGTTAGTCGTGTTACTTACTGTGTGTTTGTGTGTAATGTATTTGATTAAGGTAGCTCTTCATAGTGTGAGAGGGCTCCAGTTTTAAAAGTAAATTGATTGGTTTAACAACAGGCTGATAATTCTTTTAAGTAAATGGCACATTTGACTAGATTGCTTATATTTGAATGTGAAACAAAATTTCATGCCTAGGTATTCTCTTATTAATGCTTGTGTGTGTGTTATTACATTAATAAATTGTGATGAATATATTCATACATTTTAATTAAAAATACCGTAATTCCTTGTAATACATTTGATAACTTATATTAGAATAACTCTTTATAGTTGTGTGTTATTCATATTTTTTGGCTTGACCTTACTTAGACATTGTACTGAGGTAGGACAATTCAGGAACAGTAGCATAGAAAGGCTTCTCGACTTGTTATAAGAGGTAAATAGATTGTACAGTATAGCAATGCCTTTAAGTATGTCATTCTGTGTTTCTTTATCCATTTCTTAAGGATGTTTTCTCTTCTGTGTTATTGTCAGTGCTCTTGTATTTCAGAGACCAAAATGCAAAGCGAGAAGCAATAACAACTCTTCGTAAGCGAGCCCTGAACAAGAATCCTGATGAATTTAAATACCATATGATAAACAGTGAACTAAAGGCAAGTGTTTTAGACTGATGTGTGATAGATATTTAGTTAAGTTGGTTATTAATGGAAAACAATAAATATGTAGAAAATTGATATTGTACTAGCGATGAAATAGTGATGAGTGCTGTTGCAAATGGGAGTATGTAGTGTCCTCATTTTTCAGCATAATGTGGTCACTTGACTAAAGGATAGGGAACTATCAGGAGAAAATCCCAAGCCATTATAACTATGTAACACTTGGAAGGGATCAGAATATGGATTTGGGAGGGGATAAAGGGAAGGAATGGTGCCCAACCACTTGGTTGGTCGGGGATTGAATGCCGACCTGCATGAAGCGATACCATCTCTCTACCGTCCAGCCCAAGTGGTTGGACGTCACTTGACTGATTGATGTGTGGGTAGGTCTTGAAAAATTGCAGGATTATTTTTGTCATATTTGTTCTAGGGCTGAAATATGTAATATACCATGTGAAACAATGATTTGTCTTTTAATATTAGTAATTAACTTGTACTTGCTTTTCCACAGGATGGCATACATTTTGAAAAGGTTGAAAATGAGGAGCTTGCTGTAGGTGATGTTGCGCAGGACTTGACATATGTCACTCATCGTATGTCAGTGGAGCGGAAGAAGATTGAAAAGTTGAAAGCACAGTTGCACATACTTGATGTGGGAGATGATGAGCCAAAAAATACACACACACTCTTTGTAGATGATGAAAAAGAAGGTACAGTATGATTATACCAGAATTACTTTGCACTATATAAAAATGCAAAAAAGTTGTAAGTGTATTGCTAGATACAAGAATATAAGATTAAAGGAAACTGCATTAGGCCTGTTTCATTAGGCTTATTAGAACATAAGAACAAAGGAAACTGCATTAGGCCATATGAGGCAGGTCCTGTTTTTATCCACTGAAAAGTATTCATATATATGTTTACCTACCCTTGAAACAGTACAGTGATCTGTAGTCTATTATGTTACACAGTAATTTCTTCCACAAGTCTACAACCCCTTTTTCCAACCCAGTACAGTATTTACTCGGGTCTTTCCCAAATCTAAACTTGTCCATTTTATGTACATTGCTTTGTGTTATAGTGTGTGTTGAGGTATTTAATATCTTATTAATGTACTCTTTTATAACCATTTTTTAATTGATATACTGTACTTTAATCATGTAACCATTTACTTTGTCTATACTAGATAATGTAAATTTAGATTTTCTCATTCTGCTTATCCCTAAAGTCAGTTTCAGCAAATGCAAAAGACAGGAACATGCTCAGTCGAGCAGGACGACATACTGAATAACCATGTAGTTTTGAGCAGCTTTTGACTCGTGTCCTGGACCTTTGATGCACAGTGCCGCCCTAAGTTTAGGGTTTGGCTAGGGGTTCAGGGTTCCACTTTGATGCTTTTTTATTTGGTATGAACTTAATTCCCAGAATCCTTATCAGATCTTGACTTCCTTGGTTCTTGGACATCCGTCTCCTTGGGGATTTGTTTCTGTGTTTATTTGGATTGTGCCACAGTGGTCTGGTGCCTAAATAGACAAACTCTATTCATCCATTCAGTTAATTTTTCTCTGATGCATTTAATTATTTTTTACATATGCCTCATTCACACTTGCAGCTTTGCCACATTTCAACTTTTGCACTAATGCATTTAATTTTTCCATTTACATATACATATTCTGGTTTTCTAGCAAGACTACTCTTTTTCCATTTGTATTCATTAATTCCTTTCATTAGACTGCCTAATTACTATCTCCATCTACTGCTAATTTTGTTCACCAGTTAATATTCTTTCCTGATCATCTTTATTTTTTACAGCCAGAAAGACAAATCCAGCCAAGTTGTTGGACACGCATCCGGCTCTGCTCGGCAGAAGTTTCAATCGCCTGCGCTCCTCTCAGTTATCTCTTCTCAATAATCTGGTTGATCCCTCATCTTTAAAGGTAGGTTCTCTTAAGTATATTACTTAAAATTGAGTTGTGGTCTTGGGGCTTGGAAGAGTCTGTCTTTGCATAATAGGCTTGGCAATGTGTGTGTTCATTTGCAGGCTATTCATGCCCGTGCCACCTCTTGGGTGACTTAATCGTCATCAATCAGTCATGTGGTAGGGAGAGGAGGGTTCTTGGCAATTTGGTGTTTATGAGGGTTGGTAATGTATGTGTTCATGTGTGGGGCTTGGCAACATGTGTGTTTGTGTATGGGGTAGCTTGTGTGGACTTTAGCAATATGTGTGTGTAGGCCTTGGTAAGGTGTATGTTTATTTGTGGGGCTTGGCAGTGTGTGTTGCTTGTTTGAAAGTAGTTTGTAATTAAAATACTTGGTTTGACTTGTGTAGAAGTTTCCATTCTTTATGACATTTATATAAAATCTTTTAACAATGTGTAAAAATATAGTACAGTATTTGCCTTTTATTTTTAGACACTTTCCAATTCCAAGAAGAAGGCTTACAAGGAATTAGCTCATAGGATTGAGAGGGAAAACAAGCTTCGGATTATGCAAGCAAAACTGGAAGTGCGGAAGAAGCTGATGGTAAGTATTTTTACTCTACTCTAGCCTTGTAAAGAATCTGTAATGAGTATTTTGTTAACAAAGATTTGTGCCTCGGAGAGGCTACGGGATCCAGTAAGTTCAGTAGAACTTCGGTTTTAACTCTTTTTTTTAACCCTGTCGTAGCTCAGTCGATTAAGACAGTGTCTGGGATGCTCCCGGATGCAGGTTCGAATCCTCGTCACGGCCCTTGTGGATTTGTTCATTTTCTGTCTAAATATTAAGTGTATACATCATACTGTACATATATGTAAATTTGGAACCATACCATATGTGTAACTTTTCATCATAACTACAGTAATAAATTGAACTGGATAAGGGAATGCCTACCAGATAGGAAGTACTGTAAAGTGTTACAAGCAGAGAGGTAGAGTCAGGCTGGAGGCAGGACTTGGGGATCCCCCAACCTGTGAAAACCTCTCTTATCTGCTAAAATTAAAACATATCTAGGTCTTCATACAATTTTCTTGCTTGATGCTATAAATCAGTGTGTCTGCTCCACTATTCTTCTGTACATTTTTATAGATATGTACCTTACTTGAAAATTAACCACTTGCCTACCATGTTAAAAATTTCTTGTGAATTAAATATTTCATAATTTCAGAAAAACAAGGCTATAAATGGAGAAAAACCAAAACTGATACAAGCCGGCACCAATGTGATGGCACCGGTGTACAAGTGGCCTCAACAGCGGAAGAAGTAGATCTCTAACTGCCCAAATTATAAAAAATTATGAAATTAATGATTCAAATACATACACAATACTTAAGTGTTATCATTTAGTAACAATTTGAAAATAAAATTCTGAAATTACATATCTTGTATTCACTTTCTCAATTTTGTATTTTCTTTACATAATAGTTTGAAGGTGTGATGTTAGAGACCAAATAATACTCAGTTTAGCCCAGACTGTAGCCAGAAAGTACATACAAAACTCAAGCCTAGGAGCAGAGCGGACAGCACGCTGGACTTGTGATCCTGTGGTCCCGTGTTCGATCCCGGGCGCCGGTGAGAAACAATGGGCAGTTTCTTTCACCCTATGCCCCTGTTACCTAGCAGTAAAATAGGTACCTGGGTGTTAGCTGTCACGGGCTGCTTCCTGGGGGGTGGAGGCCTGGTCGAGGACTGGGCCGCGGGGACACTAAAGCCCCGAAATCATCTCAAGATAACCTCAAGAAGCCTTACCAAGAGCTATTTGGCATCACAAGGACTTCCAAATAGCACACTCGCTAGCAACTGATTAACCCATTTCTCTTGACTATCACTAGGTGGCAACACCACAACCAAGGCTTGGATCAGGGTACCAGTACAGTCATATTCTTGCCCTAACCGGGTCCCACTGCAGTTGTTTGGGTAGGTGGCCACCAGAGTTGTTGTTACGTGATCTGTTATCTCTAGAAACTTTTTCAGTGTGAACTAGGCTTGTGCTATATTCTTTAATACCTCTTCAGTGTATTTAGATCAATCTTGTGTGTGGAGTTTTAACCAACCCATCACCAAAAGTTATTTTCTCTGTACCTGGTATGGTTTGTGTTCTCGGTCTTGCCGACTCGAGAATTTTCATGTACATTTACAATTCTTTGGAAACTGTTCCTGGACAGAAATTGTGCTAATTTCAGCATAAAGTCCTTACATAACTTGGATGAGGCAGTTTTTTTTTTTTTTTTTTTTTTTTTTTTTTTAATTTTTGCCACCAGAAAAAACATTTAAGTGAACTCTACAATCTTTGCTCTGTTCTTTTATTATGTTAAAAGGTGCTGGTGTCATTGCTAACCTCTGAAATCCCCAGCTACGATCATATTACTCCCAACAAATCCTGCAAGTATTCTAAATTCAGTCACTGTCTTACTTTATGTCCCTTTTATTTTTATTAATTGATGCAATAACAGCTTTCTAATCATCTCCAACACTATTGGTACCACTTCTCAAGCCTGGAAAATTTTTGTATACACACAGTATTCCATTTACCTGATTAATAATTTGAGCTCTTATCAATGATGAAAACCAATAGTATTGGCATGTCCACTTAATCACTTGTTACAATGAAGTCTCCACTTACTTCTACTTTCTTGACCAGTCAAGATTATCTAATATTCCCATTGTATTTCCATCAGTCTTCTGGCTACACTTCTTTACATCTCCAAGCAAGTCTTTTTTGTTATCGTTTTTTGTAAGCTTAAATCATTCATTGGTTCAGCTTTTAACTCCTGGCTTTCTTCCATTTTCTTATGCATCTTATTAATTATGTATACAATGAAATACCTTATTTATCACTGGCTTTTAGGTATAAAGTATATAAGTAAAACTTCAAATTAGTTAAAATAGGAGGCAGGCAGAATGAACACCACCAAAATTTTCAGCTTTATTTATAAAGTAAAACAGGTACATCCATTTTCTCAGTTTGCAAGATTCCTAAACTTTTTCTTTTCTCTTTACAAAAGCTTAGGGATCACTTCAGTTTGGACAGAACAACATTCGAGTCACTTGCATTCAAAAATTATTATCTTCCCTCCCATAAGTCAATTGAAAACAAAAATGTGATACTTTGTCCAATAAGAGTCCAATGTCCAATTGTTTGATTTGTCCAATCAGACCACTGGGTATGGGAGCAAAGAGAACTGAAAAAAGGAAGAAACAATGATAACAAGTAACCATATATCGAAGAATGAACTTCAACCAGTTTCTTGCGCACCAAAAGTGAGAAATATTCTCCAGCTTACGAAACAAAAAAGAGGAGCATTATTTGTTACACACTTCCTTCAGTAATGTGAATAACAATTACTTGTATGATATTTGCTAATGAGTAAATGACCATATGATAAAGATTAAACATGAGGCAATTGAAGGTCACCAGTTATTGCTCTTTACATGACTGTCACACCACACAGGATTTATATATATATACTCCAGTATATTACACTTCATAAAACACCTTTTATTACATACTTAAGGAGTGTTTTACGTGCATGTTATAAGGTATACTGTCGTGTCAGAGCATTACACAGTTTAATACATATTGGAAAATTTCTTTGTTGCTAACATTTACCCCAAGGAATAGTGGTATCACTTAAATTACAATACATGATATGCAGTATGGCTTTTTTTTTTTTTTTTTGCAGAATTTATTCTTTTTAATACTGTACAGTTAAGTTATATTAATAAGTTGATGCAATTTGTGAGGAACTAAAGCTAAGTGTGATACTAATACTGATGCACAGAGAGCAAAACTCATGAAATACATCTTTCTAGTAGAAATGAGTAGTTATACTCTAATTTGTGACATGTACAATTTACATTTTTCTTTTTTTCTTGCTGATATTGCATCAATGAAATAAAGAATTGAAACGCAAACAAAAATTAAGTGTCCTGAATAGATGATACATAACCGATAATATTGTGCGCTGCTTCAGAGATGAAGGTGCTGAAGCATTGGGGGAAATAACAATGAAGCTAATTAGGAACAAGGTGAAATAGGCTGGTGAATGTAAACTAATGGAGAAGTTCTTTTTTTCAGCACATGAAGTGGGAATCAGCCTCATTGTTAAATGAATAGGTTGTGAGCAATTATAGACAGTGGTATCTGACAATCCTCTTGAGTGAGGCTAACTTGGGAGTTCCAGACTGATTTAAGTAGTAACCTAACCCAAGCCACCAGCTATTTAGTACAGTATTTAATTTAAGTAGTGAAACTAACCACCATATAATGTAACTGAAAGTTCACATATATATATATATGTATTTAGAAAGTTGGGCATTACAATGCAATCAGGTCGTCTCACTGGCTGAACTTCTTCCAAGCTTCTAAATACAGTACCACTGGATTGCCATGAACCCCCTTGCAGAATCTTCACGTGATCACTGGTTCTCGAAAGTGTTTGGTTTCTTCAAGGATCCCGTATCCAATTTACATCTTATGCTGAAATGAAAAAGAATTATTACAGTATTTTTTACAGCTTTGAAATTTAACTATTGATGACAGACATTTATACTACAGTACAGGTTTCAAGTTAACAGCATTTTATCACAAAATGTAACTTGACAAAACAACTTATACTGTACAGCAGGCATGTGAAACATGCGACCCGCACAAAGGATACTGTAATTCGGTCATTTAAATGGGCAAAATTTGCAGTTTTTATAATTTAAACTTAAACTAAATGACTTCAATTAGTCAGGTGTATGTGGCCCTCATGACAACACAGATGTGACCCATATGGCCCTTGGGGAACTCTCAGTTTGACATGCCTGCTGACAGTATGTAGTTTACAGATTTATACAGTACTTGCAAATGATTAAACCAAGAGTTAAGATATGTTATGTTAAGAATAGACAGAAATGTGTATTAGATTTTGACAATGCAATATTCAAAGTAAGTTTATGCAAATTCAGATTTCTACATATCTTTTTGCAATAAAGTAATATAAAATACCGTTTGCTGCTGTGGCATGAAAATTAAAGTACAGTACACTGTACAGAGTATGCGAGTGTGTGTATGTAACTGATGGTGTGTCGATGCTTCACCTGTAATTCTACAGTTAACGTTCATAATGTAGTAATGAGTACAGGCTGGTATAATAGAGCAGAGCGACTTGTAAACATGGGGCCTGTGCATGTAGTGGGGGGTGGCAGTGCTTATCTAATAGTGACTACAGGGAGCGCGGTCTAGCTCTATATACCCCGCCAACTAGCCTTTTGCACCTAAAACTTTAACAACTAGAAAGTAAAGATGTGCTTTGTTGCATTGGCACATACATTTATGGATGGCAGGGGCCTTCAACAACATGTTCCTGCATTGCATTCGATCCATTTACCACCTGCACAGGGTAGTAGTGTTTGCCTTTCTGACTCTTTTTACACTATCCAGCTGCCACCTGTCTTCTCTCATTTTGTATCACTTTAAAAAACCTATCCTTGTCCACCTTGTCTATTCTCCTTCAGTATTTTGTGCCCTGTACCATGTTAGGTACCCAACCATTTTAATCCAAGTTTGAGTCCCAGTAAGGGTGAAAAATTTGAGCAAGTTTCCTTTCACCTGATGTAACTGTTCATCTTACAGTAAATATTTATCCTGGGTCTTTGGCAAGTGATGTGGGTTGCATCCTGGAAATGTCGGTCATTGGCCTACTGGGACCTCAATATTGTATGACAGACGGTGTTGGTCTTCCTGGAAAGACCATCAGGCTTCCTGTCCTTGACAATTGGAAGTCATATACTCTTTACTCCTTTGCTCTAAGGTTGTGATATTGAATTCCATTAACCTGTTCTCATAACTTATTCATCTTCATTCAAGCCCAAGTCTTGCTGTAAACATCTTTACTTTTAAGGGTTTACTTTGGGTTCCATATCAGTGCAACAGTTTTGTGAGATCAATGCTAGATTCTCTAAATTGTTTTGATTGAATCTTTATTTTAATCTGAAATTCTGTACTGCACAAATGATGATTGAACGAGAGCTACACTGTCCAGTACAAAAAGTTAAACTTTCTGACCATAAATGTTTTAGGTTTCAAACCAATATGAGGACATTTTGAGATTGATTTTACCCTTAAAATTTCTATTAATGGTAAAACTGCAAAGTATTTATCATTAATACCCAATAAAGAAATTTAAAAAATCATCATTTATACAGTAACTAATACTGTAGTACCTGTGTCAGTTTGCTCACCATATGTAATCGGAAATGGGGACCTGCTATTTATCTGGTATCGGTCCAGAAACCATGTAGTCAACTATTTACTAATATATATTTAAAGTATGCTTAAAACTACATACTGTACTCTACATGACTACTTGACTACTTGGGCTAGTTAAAAAATATGGGTCAATAGCCAGATGTAAAAAACCTAACCTATATATATATATTTTAATTTTAAAATTTAAATCATATATTTTAAATATATTAATTCAGGAAAACTTGGCTTATTAGGCAAATCGGGCCTTGAATAGTAGGCTGAGAAGTGAGTTCTGGCTACTAGGTACGACATATATATATATATATATATATATATATATATATATATATATATATATATATATATATATATATATATATATATATATATATATATATATATATATATATATATATATATATATATATATATATATATATATATATATATATATATATATATATTATTATTATATAACTCCATATAAAAAAATTTACTCTTCATAGCTCCATATTACAGGTAAATGAATTAATGGTAATTTTTTGTTTAAATGCTTTCTAGTTAGTTAAATTTACAAATCTGGTACAAAGTATCTAGGAACTGTAACTATAGTAGTGAAACATAAGAGAATCATCTCTGCTGAAAAGCCCTAACTGACCAGGTGTAAAGAAAATAACTTGCCACTAGTCAAGTCCACATGCAATGTACTTGCCATCACACACACAAAGAGGAGTTCACTAATGTACCACAAGTTCACTGTACAAACAGTTTTTAACCTCCATCTGCCCATAAAACCTATAGTCAAGGTCATCAAAACAGAATGCGAGGAAATTGGACTAGGGGGTACTATTGTGGTGTGGTGCTGGCACCTAGTGACAAGCTAGGGCATTAATCTAGTAGGTATTCAGTAGATAGCTAGAATGATACTTGGCAGCCTTTTTTTATGCATAGCTACAACTATGTTTTGAATCAAAATGAGTATTTAACAGTGTCTCCGGCATCATTCGTCTTTTGTTTTTTTAACAAGACTCACTCGTGATAGTTTAAATAGTGTCTGACAACTCTGATTACACCAGATCCTAACAAGGGTGTTAGCTGGATAAGATCTTCCTAACCAGGATGTGGTTACCTAGTGATCTTCCCTTATGTAGCAACCGAGTGAGATAGTTCGGAAAGATCGATTTGCACACAGTGACCCTAAGGGTCCATTATATCCCAAGTCTGCAGCAACTACATACATACCATTACATAGCCATATCCTCTTCAATGCAACAATACCCACAGCTACAAATTCATCTACATACAACTCATACTCCGCCCAAGTAAAACAGAAACAAGCAACACTTAGAAGGCCAGCCAGAGGCTTAAAGCCCGTGCAGGAATATCTCCATCTATTGCATACACATGCTGCCATCACCACAAGTGATCAGAATTGCTTTATCTACATTTTTGTAGGGAGGGTTGGGGTTATAGATCAGTGTCACAAAAGACATGATTTACTAGAGAACAAAGTGATAATTTCAGATCTCACTTATACCATCATCTTTAATGATAAAAACACCAATGATTACTGGCCACTATGTTTTTAGTGAAGTGTTTATAGGTAGGAAAGGATTAAGAAAATCCATGAAAACTGACAAAATAAGAAGATTAACTGCACAATGGTCAGTGCAGTTGGGTCACCAACTCAAGAGGTCCTGTGTTTAATTCCTGCAGCAGGACAACCATTTAGTCATGTTTCCTTTCACCTGATGTACCTGTTCACATAAAAGTAAATTCCTGCTGCATGCAGGCGATGAGTCACAATAACGTGGCTAAAGTATGATGACCAGACCACACACTAGAATGTGAAGGGACAACGAGAATCACACAATCGACTTGAGAATGGTCCAGGACAGACCGAAACGTCTCGTCGTCCCTTCACATTCCTGCTGCATTTTGGTTTGCATCCTGTGAAAGGTCGGTAGTTTACCTCAATCAGCCTAACAGGCTTCCTGTCCTCAACAAATTAAAACCATAAACATGTTAAATACATCAAGTAGTATTAAAAATCTAATAATTAAACAAATATTTAGCAAAATTATACTAATTTTCTTATCAATAGCTGTAGGACCATTCACTAATTTTGAGTACTTTAAATCCACTTAATCGTTTTAAATTTACTGGTTCAGTACTTAAAAGATCATTTTAATAAATATAGACAGTTAACCCTTAAACTGTGCAGGTATATACATCATGGTGCACCTGGCTAAAATAGTTAACAAAACAAATAGGATCAAATTGCATATTACAAAATTGGCGCAGTGAAAGGGTTTAAAAATTAAATCTGGAAAACATTTTAGGCAATAGTCACTTAAGTGATTAAATTATATTCTGTATTATGATCATACTGAATAATAATGTTTCCATAATTTATCATAAGTTTAAATTTTTCACTTATAAATTAATATTTGTTAACTGGTTAATACTTAACATTAGGTGCATAATCAGAAACATGATTGAAATTAAACTGCACACTAAATTTGCATACATAAAACAATTTAATAAATGTGAAAATTAAACTCCTTATTTGAACACAAATAGCACTGGTATTGACTATTTGAGGTTACTCTTTTTCCAAATACAGTCCAGTACCATTACAAACAGTAGTTTTTGATGTATTTTGTGTGCTGCTCAGAGTCAATCTATTGTATTATAAAATTTATATTAGTACTCTATTAGTAAGCTTTTAAGCTTGACTGCATTGTTATTTGATTTTGAGTTACTCGGCAACTATAGAGGTTACTTGGCAAAATATTCTACTGTACAGTGTTTCCACTTTCTCCTACAATACAGTATTTACAACAGTAACAGCCACCGTTATTATGAAAGAGCCCAGTCATCATTATAAGTTGCTACTATTGCTTGAATACAGGTACAGAATTATTAATTTTCTACATTAATATGATACAGTATACAGTACTGTACTACAAATACCGGAAAATGTTTAGAGCAAAAAGAAATGTGTCCTATATTAGAGCATAATGTATTCATACTCCTGGAAAGTAGACATGCAAACTAATCAGTTAATTCTGAGAAGCTTAGACTACAGAAGCTGGAGATTTGCAGTAACCTTCCACACAGCCACACGCTCTTTGCAACTACCTTCAGCTTCGACTTCTTCCGTTTGTACTTTGGTCAGGTTTTCTTTCCCACCTTCAGTGTCAGCTTCATTAATGTCTGCTACTGCATCATCATCCCAAACTCCTCCAGGTCCTTCTGCTTCCTCCTCTTTTACTGGTACTCCAGCATCCTCACCCTCATTGGCTTGTCTCTCTCCTGCTCCTCCTATCTCTTCATCTACCACTTCCTCACCCTCTTCTACCATTGTTTCTATCTCCCCATCTTGTGCTTCTGTGTCTATTTTGTCTTCTACAGCATCTGTCAGTCCTTCGTCTGTGACTGAAGGACATTTTGAAATGAAATATGTCAAGAATAACTGTCCGGAAGTACATGTAACCACCAGATAAGAAATTAAAATTAAAAAAAAAATTAAAAAAATTAAAAAAATATGTTTTTGTCTTTTTGATTGCCTTATAAGAGTTGAGGTAAAAAATAGGTTTACATTGAGGCCTTATCAGTAAATCAACAAACTAGAACATTACGTTACCTTCTGCCGATACGTCTGTTGCGTCAGTTGTGGCTTCAACATGAGCCTCGTCTTCATTCTAAAAATACAGAATGAACATTATTTTTTCCATCATAATTTGTGTTCCCAAATGTACATGCTCTTCTATACTTAATAATGATGGGCAAATTAATTACACCTTCTTGCAGTGTAAATTACTTGCAAAATGTTAGGAGGATGAAGTGGGGAGCTGTTGTGGGAAAAAGTGGGAAACAAGTGTGTTACACATGGGATATAATAAAGGACAAAGCTATGTGGAAGAAATTTGCGAGGGAGAACAATATGCAGTAAGTATTTATGTACTGTATTGTATATGACAATACTCAAGTAGTACTGTACACCTGTTCTTACAGTGTGTGGTGGTGCATTTTTTATGATATATAATTAGTGTAAATAATAAAATGTAATAGTTTTTTTTTATGTTACCTTTCACTGGATTACAGTATAATATTCACACTTTCTAGATGGATGCCACCTTGTCCCATGAAAGTGGAAAATGTGGTTATGATAATGTGTGTATATAGAACGAGACATTTTGATAGGTGTTACTGATCAGCATATAAACGGCTTTACTTACATGGGAATATATCCCTGACCAATGCTATGCAATATACTTTTAATTACTATAAAATAATATTAGGTAAATCTACACAAAAAGAACCTTAAATACTAAAAATTATTATACCTGTACTTATTATGGATGTAGAGATCACAAGATGCTAATGAGATTTAGAAAAACATTAACAAAGTCATTGCAGGCAAAAAGTCGTCTACAAATAAAGTCTACTCTCATCTTGTGGTTTCTATATACTTATAGTAAAGAAATTAACATAATAAAATTAGCAAAATGTTTGTAAATATGAGGGTGTTCATTTTAATTCTCTTACCTGAAAGGAGTCTCGCTGCTTTCACTTCATATGCTAGTCAGACTTTAATGGTCACTTCAAAATATAGTATACCTTTACCATGAAATAGTAATGCTCCCTCCCATAAGGAATTACTGTAGTGCCTTGTCCTATAAATAATTGGGCAATCAGACTTAAGAATAATGACTAATAAGAGAACAAATTAAATAAAACATAACTTTACAGTATATCCATCGATTTCTTTTTACAACCAACATTAGAAGCAAGAATCCTGGAATACCAAATTTTTATTCTTTTATATTCGAGGCTTTTTATGTTATGTTTATGTATTAATTTGTTTATGCAAATATAAAATTTATTAATTGTCATATTAAACCAGTCGCAAATGCAAACAATTTCCAACAAAATAAGCAATACAGTAGTGTTAATTTTTCCACAACAAATTTTATTGATTGAGCCCTGAGGAAAGGTAAGAACAGGTTCTCAGTATTCCAGGTACTGTACCATATATCTTAATTAGTACATAGTGTTCGATATACGAAAAAAATCACACTACTGAAACAAATAAATGACGTTGAAAACCTTAGCTTACATCAGGTTCTCCCCATCAAATTATCAATACAAAATATAAATATTTTAGCTTTTATATTCTCATGCTTTTGACCCGAAACATCTTTGGTTTCTCTATTCTCTCAAATTGTCTTGTCGACTTTTATACAACCCTTACTTGGATATTCCAAATTAAAGCAAATTCATATATCTGAAAAAAATTCTTAGATTTTGCACATTTAGCTATACTGTACTGTATTTGGCACTTTTAATACCAAAGCCACTTCGATAGCAAAAATAACGAAGCACCGATAAGCAACAAAAGCAATGAAGCATTCTGTGGTATTTCCTGTTATACACATTTTTTTGTTATGGTAGGTATTGTTATTTCCAGCTCCACATAATTAACTCACACCTAAGTGGAATATTAATACACAGGATGTCCCATAAGTCTGAAAACATCACTCTTGACATCATTCACACTGACTGTTGACCAGAGATGTAGACGAGGCATTAATGATGATGGTACACACATTGGTCACAGTCTATGTATAAAATAAACATACAATATAAGGTGTTTAATAATTTCATCTCATGGTTCCAGATTTGTGAGATATCCTATAGATTTTTAAATACTGTAGTTAATAGAATATTGGAAACACTGTTAGGCTAGTTAGTCAACTGTTGTTACTTTGAAAGGTCCCTATGTAACATTAAGCACTAAACCAATATACTAGTATATTAGTTAACAATTTGGAAGAGTATAATGAAAGATGTTAATTAGATGTCTAAAGATAAGAGCTTTATTACTGGAAGTACAATTAAAAACAAAACAAAAATACATGCATAATATATATTTTACAGAGAGAAAAAGATTGTTACAAACTACTGTAGTTCTCTTAACCTACTGATTGTTAACATAGATATAAGACCAGTTTGTTGGAAACTTATTAATGATCATTAGACTGAACACACTGAACATAAAAGACAAGTTGTATGGTTAATTCACAAATGATTTGTAACATGCTTCACGAGAATCACCATTAAAGATTTGTTTTAATACATTACAAATTCCGATGCACAAAACTAATAATTACAATACAATTTTTCACTTATTGAAGCTACTAGTCTCGCCACCAACATCCAGTAAGTTTAAGTTTTATTTTTATGAGCATAAATATATTGACTATTAGTGGTCCTTAATGTTGGATCTTGGTGGTCTCTCTTAAGCTTGTATAGCAAGGATGACTATCAAGGAATGACACTGACAGTAGATGAATTCAAATTTAGGTTCTTTCGACTCTGGAAATGTCTGAATACAGTACTAATATTCACCAACTTATTCATTCCACTTTGACTACTGTACAAGATAAACAAAGTGCATGGAGAAAAAATTGACTCGTTTATCTTAAAATTTTATTCTCCAATAGTGGGCATTTCTACTGGTGACTGAGGATGAAATCCTTAATTTTGTAATGACTAAAAAAAAATGCTAGAAAATTTAAGCTTGCCGGGTATTTACAGTTTATGTTCAATTGTGTAGAAAATAACACCGAGTTCGATCTTCTCCATATTTACTATATATAAACTTCAATTATTTTGTGATAAGGAGTAATGATAATTTCAATTTACTGTATTGAGTATAGTACTGTATATACAAATTGAAGATCAAGACCTATTTCAACTGGAATCCCTATCATTCCTATTTAAATTCTTTTTGGATACTGTACAGTATTCCAAGAAATTCTTCTTGGATACTGCACTGTGATTATATGAAGCATGTGACACATTAGTCAGTGTAATAATGATAATAGTTAAATTATTCAATAAAGTAAACAGTATTGCCATAGACATTATTAGTAAATCTGCATTCTGTACATATCTAATCACCTAAACAAAAGTTCATGTAAAATTACCTGCAGTTTGACGATCAACACACATTCCCTAGAGAATGGTCAAAATTATTTTAATTTATAATTCTCTCTACACCAGAACCATTTTGAAGATGTAAATTTGATGTAATGTGGGAGAATAGTGAAAATACGTAGGTTAGGATTTTTTGGCGCGCTGGGTCAGGGAGGGACAGCACAGTGTGCCAAGATTAGGTGCAGGAGATAATGTGTCCGTGTTACACCAACTGTATTGAATTATGCAACAGAGAAGCATATTTAAAGCAATGAAAATGGCATTTCACCAAACATATGGACTTGAGGGGCTGCCTATTAAAATAGTACTGTATGTTTTGTTTCATGGACTTTAACCTAGGCATTATTACTCCTGGTTGTGTTGGTCATATTTTAATTTTGATACACAAGGTATTAGAAAGTAAAAATAATAATTTAACATGATTAAATTTAATTTTTTTTTATTATACCTACTTTATGACCAAAATAATACAATACCTATTACTGTAAGACAAAAAATATAATTTTACTTGCTAGTGAGAATATTATTTTATTTAAAAATCTTTATATTTCTACATAAACATTTGTGCATAACTGATTCATGTAGTTAAATAAAGCCAGCCATAATTAGACATGTTTTTCTGTTGCCTACACTTAATTTTTTTTTCAGTGATCTATTTCTTGGTCTTGAATAGCAGAGGTCTCCTACACCCCTACACACTCCTTAGGTCAGCTTATTACCTGCTAGTTTTAAAAATGGTATTCAGAAAATATTAAAACAAGCATTAGTAATGCACCCAATTATGCAGAAATCTCAAAAGACAAATTTAAAGCTGCATTGAAAGTGATAAAAAAAAATTATTGCTTATCTCAAAATTATGCCGTTATGCACACACTTAAATGGTGTGATTGTTTCCCCAACATAAACCTCAGTATGGAAATTAAAGCGAGTCAAACAAAGTGTAGCAGCATAAATTTATCCTAGCAAGTGGGTTTATAATTAAGATTTTTTTTTTTTTTAGGTTCAAATGTAAAGGGCGTCCTAATTTAGTTACTGGACTTTATCGTAAAAAGCTCTCATCTCATCATAGATTAAAGATTTCCTTTATAAGCAGCAAACATAGGACAGTAAGTGCAATTGAAAAGTATAATGCATATAGCAATAATCTATTTTTGAGCTTATGAGCAACTTTTCTATCAAATTTTTAGCCAATATTCCTTGTTGCTTGTTGAATACAGTACTGTACAAAACTATTAGTCTATGTAAACACTTCACAAAAAAATTACAGTGAAAACCAACATATTCTGTCAATCTTCCCATGGGTAAATGCTTTAGATCCATGGAATTTATATATGGTAATTAAATACATACAGTACAGTATTAGAAATGTTCTGTTGCACTGGGACACACCAAAGAGGGGTCAGCCAAGTATTAGCTATCTATAGATGTGATAGTGCTAAATCTATTTATGAAACCTACTCCAGCAAATTATAAGCCCAAGCTCTTGTGCTAGTTATTGTCTGGGATAGTATGATCAACTTTCATGATACAGGAGGAACAGCACTGATGTTTACTAACCAACACACATTGCACTATAACCTGGGCCAGCATTTACAGAGCACTTACTTACATGTATGCAAGATCTGTCTCTCTTACCCTGATTAAACAGGGGGTGGGGGGCCTGCCTATGTATTTATGAATTGCACAACGAGGTCATTTTCAACCCAAGGTTACTAATGTTATTAGTAACTTTGTAGTTTATTGGAGCTCATAAACCATTAAATGCAGACTAAGCCACCATGTCTGAGGTACAGATTTTTTGAGTGGATACAAATGCTCTCTGAATCCTAGCTCTGAACATCTAAGTTTATGAAAGCAATCTTAAATTGTCTTGTTCTGGATACACAGATAACAGTTATGAATGCAGAACTTTTATAAAGTATTCAAGTGATGCTAAATACTTTGATACATAAAAGTTACAAGACATGTACATGTACAAGTTACATGTACTCTCCTTCAGTACACATTTGAATGCTCTAACTTGACAAACTATTAATCCATACATCGTTTGTCATTTTATAAATATGGAGTCAAATAACTAGTTTAGAAAATATGGCTACACGAGATGATTGAGATTATACACATGGTTATAATTGTTTGAGCAGATCAATCTTATGCAGTAAACAAAGAAATAAGTAATGCATAAAACTTGCACATAAGGAACTATTTGGGTAATTTATGGAGATGGTAGCATGAAACGCAGTTTGTTAAATCTATATGCAATTTAAAAAAAAAAAAAACACATTCACGGTACAGTACTGGCACTCATTGTTAGCCCATTGCAACTAAACAAGCAATCATATACGGTAACACCAAAGCACAAATCTGATGCGTGGGTGGCTACATACACCACATCCAAGGCCGATTGCAAGCTGGGTTAGTGCACCCCTACCTCTCGACTGGCAGAAACGCCATTGGTCAACTGTGGTGTCTCACTCTGTTTCTTTGCCTTCGCTCTGTCTTCAGGGAGGATACCAGTAATGCCAATCTTGATACCCTTTTTCTCTTCCTCTGTCAGTTTTAAGAACTCTCCAAGTGAATCAGTTTCATTTGCCATATCCAAGTCATCAAAGTCCTGAAAGTTTAAGAAATGTAAGAATTTTGCTTTTCATTTATTAACTAGAACTATCCAGGTAATATGGCTGTAAATTTGTCTTAAAAAATGCATGTGTACTATATTATTGTATAATGTATACATTATCACTAAGAGTCAATATGTCCTCTTAACATTTTACAATTATTCAAAGTGGCTGAATTGTAATCAGAATCTCCTTAGGTAACACAAACTTAGTCTTGATTGTGCTTTACTTATAAATTTTATTGTAAACTGATTTTAAGACCAAGGGGATGACAAGTTCAGTTTCATTTTTGGAACTTTCCATTCCTTTTCCTCATTAATGGAAAAAAGGGCCACACTGACAACTAGATGCTGTTGCCAGAGTGTATCCTGAATGTGACAATGTCTTTCAAGATCATATGTTAACATTGGTTTTTTCCCTAAGTAGGGGTTATGTATAAATGCTAATTGTGTCCAAGAACACTAATAATCAGTGTTGCATATAAGATAATGTTTATTCAGGTAAAAGTACACAGATTCAAAATGAGTTACAAACAATGTTGGATTTCTAGATAGAGCTAGTACATACTATGCCTAAAGCCACTAACACGCACAGTGTTTCGGGCAAGGAAATATGCTATAGGACCCCATGTTCTACGCGCTATAGGACCCCGTGTTCTACGCGCTATAGGACCCCGTGTTCTACGCGCTATAGGACCCCGTGTTCTACGCGCTATAGGACCCCGTGTTCTACGCGCTATAGGACCCCGTGTTCTACGCGCTATAGGACCCCGTGTTCTACGCGCTATAGGACCTATATTCTATACCCTATATTCTATATCCTATAGAACCTATATCCTATAGCACCTATATTCTATATCCTACAGAAATGATATTCAATATCCTATAGAACCTATATTCAATATCCTATAGAACCTATATTCCATATCGTACAGAACCTATATTCTATAACCTATAGAACCGACATTCTATATCCTATAGAACCGACATTCTATATCCTATAGAACCGACATTCTATATCCTATAGAACAATTTGAGGCCTTATGTGGCAGGCTGAAGAGTCCCAGTCAACTACAGTACAGTACAGTACTTCACTCTTAGTGAGCTAAATGAATAAAATAAAAAAAACATGCAGCAAAGTAACTGGTCAAAACATTATTTGATCAAAAAATGATAACTAGCACACAAACGTACTCCACAATAGTCGGCCTCGTTGAAAATTTGTGGTGTCATGGGGACCCTGTTGTTTCCTTTTGGCTTAGCATTTTCATTCATGTAATCTTTGGCGTCTTCCTGGCCTGGGTCGGTGATGTCGATGGTGATGAAAGGTATGTTCTTGCTCTCCAGGATCATAACAGCTCGCTGTTGGTTTTTTTTAACCTGAAATAATAAGTAACATTAAGCTTTGACATTAGGACATATTTTGGAGCTCTGTGCAACACTGATCTTTTTTTTTTTTTTTACTCAATAAAAATAATGCCAAATCTATTTGTACACATGGTACATGTTCCTTTAAAATCTGAATTAAAAGGGACACAATATAGAGTCAAAGCATAGCACAGCCATGGCAAATTGAAAATTACATACTGGATACAAGCATTTTATAATACAGTGGACACTATATCCTGTGATGCTTTTTTCAGTTCAAACAGGTGTGAAAGCGCAAGGCCTTGTGGAAAAGTGGACACTACTTTGGGGTCGAAGTGAACTACAGGGTCGTAGTTCTAAGGGCCTGGGTATGATTCCCGGTCACGGCAGAAACAAACTGGCAGAATTTCTTTCACCTGATGCACTGTTTACCAAGCAGTAAATAGGTATCAGAGTTAGGCAGCTGCTACGAACAGCTTCCTGGGAATGTGTGTGTATTAGAAAGAAATATATGTAGAAGACAAGAGGAAACAATAGATCAGTTAGAAAGGGCGGGTCCAAGAGCTAATAGCTCGATTCTGCAGACACAAGTAGTAAATACATGCTAATATATCGTGCAGATTTGCGTAAATAAACCATGCCAACTCAATTATTTTGTTGCCATAAAATAAATGTAGTTTTGGCATGACAAACTGATAATTAACAATAAGTGCATTAGTGTGTAGTTATTTTAGGATAATTGCTAGTGAATATTCTCGGTCAGGGCCAATAGTGTAGTGCCACTTGGCGCCTGCACTCCTATGCAGTCAAATTCCTATATTTTTATCCGCCAAGGGAACAAACTCAGGCTATGATATTAAATACAGAACAGCTAGTATTCCACTACTGATCAATTACTATCCATATGCAGCCTAGTACTTGTAGGTGGCACCTATGTCCAAGTACATACAAAATAACGTATGTACAAATTTTTTTTTACAAAATAGCTGAATTAAGGAGCCAAATGCATAACCATCTAATTAAAGTCACGTCTAGTTCTGGAATACATCGGAATGACACCAGATACGAAAGTCAGATGATCAAATTACATGGTAGCCAATAGATCTACCACACACAAAAAAGGTCAGAAGATGGGTAAACTGACTTTTTTAAGTCAATGTCATGAATTCACGTGACCAAGCAACACAAACTCAGGTAAACTTGGGTAAACCTGTTTAGGAACTGATGCCAGCAGGCTGGACTTTAGCACACTACACGTGTCAAAGCAATGGTCTGCTGCTACTCCTGTCACTAGTTTGGCACAGGCTGCGGCTGCTCTTGGCTCGGCCGACGGGCCTTGTGAATTGTTAAAAAATATGTTTACTCCTGTTGACGCTTTATGTTATAAAACTTTCCTATGAATATGTCTTCTTAAACACATACAGATGAATCGAGTATTTGCGAGACAATTACTCACTTAAGTAAACAACAAACGTGAGCACTACATAAAAAGTATTATTGTTGCAGAGAGTATTGCATTGAGGGCCTAGTGGAGGAGTCAGAAGCTAATTATACACAGCAATGTGTACCCCATTTATTGATGTATATACAGTATACACAGTTTACTTTATTCCTGAATATACTCCAAGAATAAAGTATACTTCCTAGTTGGTCAGTGAGCTACTGCCATGCATCGTGCAGTTAGTTGATAGGCCTTAAGCTCAATACCAAACAAATCTGGATGGAAGTGTTGGTGGTGATGGTAATAAAGGATTATTTAGAAGTTTTAATATGGTAAGAGAAGGCCCGAGTAAATAAATATATATTATTAACCAATTTCTTTGCAATGCTCATCATGGTTAGATAAGCAAAACAAATCATTACAATTCTAATAACAATGATAAATTACAAGACAGGAAACCCAATTACAGTAATGTATCTTTTTCAGTGACATAGCATATTCTGCAGCTTTCTGGTTTAGAGATGTACTGTATTGCCAAATAAACAAAACTAGAGATGCATAAAACTAGAAAGACGATATTACCATATAGAATATTATAACGATTAGTTAATGTCAAGTACCCAGCTAAGGATATTCTAATGGTACTATATGACCATTATTTTTTAATCGAATTAATAGCATAAGGTTAATTTAACCTGTTAAATTAACAATATAAATTGAATGATTACAGGTAAGTGTTGACCCCATTAAAATCTGTACTTCAGTACAAAAATACTGGCCTAGGTGAGGTTAGGTAAAGATTGTCTTAATTTGTATTTTATACTTTAATGTATTTCTTATGTATGAGCTATTAAAAAGTATATAATGTACAGTACTGTACAGAATGTGGCAAGTATAAAAGTTAGTTAGTTTAGACTTTCTTAATTATTCATTGATTCAGTGTTTGATTTGACATTCATTTATATTACAGGTCAAGTAGACCTACAATTAAAAAAATGCCTTATGAGGGAACTATATTTAGTAGTAAAAAGTAATGGTATACAAATATATCTTTCTTATAACCATTCACAGGCTTAAATTTCTATTTACTTAATAGTTATTCAAATATGATATTTTGATATTTTTGTTTGCAAAATATATTTAATACTAATTAGAGAAGCACAGAATATTTTTATTTAGTGTTAGATCAACGAGTCTGGGTGCCGATGGAGTTAGCAGTCATTAGCTTTACCTAAATTTACCAGAGGGCCACCACCCCTCTAGTGGCCTCGGTGGGGACTGGAAGCCAGCAGCTTGTCACGGGACCTGCCGCCGATTTGTCCTGATTATTTTATCCAGCTGAATTGTACCAATGAATTTTGACATTTAACAATGAAATTTGAATTATACCAATGTTTAGGCATTTATGGCTTCAGCGGGTAGGCAGTTCCATGGGTTTATAACCCTATGGGTGAAAAACATCCGTTTTTTTTCAGCTCTGACATTCAATGTTCAGCCGCGTTTGTTTATTTAATAACTACAGTACTGCCATTATCTGTGTGATCATTGTTATTTGTCTTTTCATAAAATGCATACAAGGAGCACATTGTTAGTAGGAGGGGGCTTGCCGACAGAGGTATGTCAGGATTGTCTGAGAAAAACTTGACTTGTGAACGGTTTACATAAAGGTAAGAATGCTCTGGAGGTGTGAAGATCTCCACGATGTTCTTAGATTTTTCCCAACAACACCGTTTCATGGTGTTCTTAATTAATAAGAAGATCGCGAGAGATCAGTGTTTTGTAAACAGTTTATCAAATCGCGACGCAACCACCAAGCTCGCACTTAAGAAGGAAACGTTTCTCAAGTACTTGCGTAACCGTTTTATGACTCTGGCCCCCAGATCATAGCGAGTAAACAATAAAGATAAGCAACAGCTGGTGATAATGCGGCTTTATCAGGTGACTAGACCGGGTGTAGAGGGAACTACTCCACTACACCCTTCACCGCCACAACTACGTCCTACAACAACCACCACCCCTACAGCTCACGCCAGACCCATACTAACGAGTTTGAACAAGCAAGACATGCAAAACCTTTATTACAAAACAAACAAGGAAATATAAAAGGAAAACACCCATAAGCTTGAGGTTGGCATACAGAAGGGGAACCACACAGGCCCTGAGTGGAGTGAGAGACAGATGCAATGGAAAAAAAACCCTCTGCAAGGCATAATGGACTTCTTCAGCCAAAAACGATGACGGGTTGTCAGCCGAGAATTTCATCACGGTCATCCAGGCAGGCAAAGAAAACGAGATTAATAACTTAACCAAGGGTGTAAGTCAGCAAGTTCCTCAGGCTTTATGGCTTGAATTATTTGTCTATCACCAGTGTCTTCCTTGTCCCTATCAGCCTTCCTCTCAAGCCCCCCCCCCCCATCTCCTCTCTCAGCCCCCTTCTATCTTTATTTTGATCCCTCTATCCTGGTCTATCCATTTGTCAGTATCCAACCAGCTTTGTCTGCTTGGCTGACCTCCACCTTGAGAGATGGTTACCTTGAGATGATTTCGGGGCTTAGCGACCCCGCGGCCCGGTCGTCGACCAGGCCTCCTGTTTGCTGGACTGGTCAACCAGGCTGTTGGACGCGGCTGCTCGCAGCCTGACGTATGAGTCACAGCCTAGTTGATCATATTATCCAGCTAATAACTATTCACTTGAAAGCAATGCAGTTAAGCATTGAAGCATTGAATCGACTTGAGAATGGTCCAGGACGGACCGAAACGTCGTCGTCCCTTCACCTTCTAGTGTGTGGTCTGGTCAACAGTTAAGCAAGACTGACAGTTCAGTCTGTGATCGTGTTAGCCCAAACAAGACGGTTAATTGTAACGGTTATTCACAGCCCCCGTTAACAGTTAACGCCAGCACCACCAGTCCACAGACGCCAGCCACAGCTTATCCACAGCTGTGAAGGAGAGTCGACACAGTCAACACCAACTGGGGCGCTGATGGCTGAGTGGACAGCATGTTGGATACGTAGTCCTGTGGACCGGGGTTCGTTTCCCGGAGCAAACAGATGTGGCAGAGTTTGTCACCGTGATGCCCCTGTTACCTAGCAGTAAATAGGTACCTGGGAGTTAGACAGCTGTTACGGGCTGCTTCCTAGGTGTGTATGGGGGGGGGGGTAGTAATTAGCAACAGTTGATTGACGGTTGAGAGGCGGGCCGAAAGAGCAGAGCTCAACCCCCGCAAGCACAACTAGGTGAATACATACACCAGACGCCACAGTGGAAGAGACAGGTTACTCTGGCAGACACCACCCACACTCCGGGTAGGGTCTAAGACCTGAGAAAAGTATGTGCCAATCTACGTCATCACTACTTAATGAACAGACTTAAGCCTGACTTAAGGAAAATAAGATGCCTTCATTCATAGACGGGGAAGACCGGGAGGATGTGGGGGGGGGGGGGAGGGGAAGGAAGGAATTATCAAGGGAAACCGCCAAGCCATTATGACTATACATCACTGGGAAGGGGTCAGGATAAGGATCTGGGATGGCAACCCGTTCTCGCAAATTCATAAGTCAATATTGACTTA